AATTGCTGGCAAAATGACATTTGCCACGGGTTATTCGATGCAGAATTCAACGCTGATTCTGATGCTGCTTTCCGTTTCTGCCTTGGAGCACTCTCTCAAAAGTTGAAAGCGTGCAAATTTTTGTATGTTAATGGAGAACAATTAACTTTGTAAATTCAAAAAAGGAAAAGAGAAAAGTGGAGCGGACTGCCTAGGGGCTTTCTGCCTCGTATTCTACTGCCACTCGCTCACCAGCGCTTTCTAAGCTCTCTAGGAAATCTGGTTATAAATTTTGGGTTTGATGATGGTGAAATCTTATATAAAACTTTGTAGGCTCATAACTTTTTTAATAGAGTTTCTCCATAGCAGAAACGGAAAGCAGCTTCAGAATCAGCGTTGAATTCTGCGTCGAATAACCCGTGGTAAATGTCATTTGGCCATCATACTCAGTTCAAATTCCTTTGTAAATATCGAAACACTACTCATTATGCCAAATTTCAGGTTCTTCGCCTCAAATTCTCAGAAGATTTTAAAACGCATGAGGTGAGTCGGTACTTTATGTGTAAAAGAGTCAAGATTCAACATCAAAAGCAACTTTTAGCTGACCGAACCTTACACAGATGATGGTCGACAAATCCCGTGTTCATCTCATGTCGTTATTGATGGAAAAGGGAATATGTTAATTGGTAAGTAGCTGAGAGTTTTCCCTTAATATACGATAAAATATACAATAAAATATCCCAAAATGTTTTATCATTAAAAATCATGCCAAAAGTTAGTGCAAAATAGAAAACGGATTGCGGTGAGTGTAAATGCAAATCTTTTTTTGTCATTCAATTGTTTTTGAATACAATAAGATAGAAACTAACTTGAAAGTTATGTTTTTTTTAAAAAGTTATTGCAATCTTGCTTGTGAAACATTTGAAACCCGCCCGCCCCTTTTCCCATTAGCAATCTAACTTTGAGCTCCAATTTCTTGATGTTGAGCTGTTCCATTTACATATTCTTGGTATCATTAGATGTGCCAAGTCTTTCTCTATCGTTTGGTAGAAAAACTATTTAAATTGAACAGCACAACACCAAGAAATTTGAGCTCAAAGTTGGTTGCCATTGGGAAAGGGAGCGGGCCATTGTGCCTTTTATACACGCCCTTTTGCCATTGGCATTGAACTTTTACCATTGAACAGCTGAACACCAAGAAATTTGAGCTTAAAGTGGGATTGTCAATGTCAAAAGGGGCGGAGCGCGTATAAAAGATCGCACAATGGCCCCGCCTCCTCTCCCAATGGCACCATCCTTGAGCTCAAATTTCTTGGTGTTGTGCTGTTCAATTTCAATAGTTTTTCTACCAAACGATAGAGAAAGACTTGGCGCATCTAATGATACCAAGAATATGTAAATTGAAACACCAAACACCAAGCAATTTGAGCTCGAAGTTAGATTGCCAATGGTGAAGAGGCGGAGCTTATCAAATGTCCGATAACTTTTTTTCTTTACAGGATCCGTTGGTTTGAACGCCGTCCACTGCAAGTATACCCCGGAAACGATCAACGCGCATTAGGAAATTCTTAAATTTTGATGTCTAGATCAAATAAATATCCAAAAAATTCAAGTTCTTTGTTTTTCTTTGCAATAAATCAATCATTGACCTTTCTTTTTCCCAAAGAATTGTCACGGGGAGCGGAGGAATTTTCCCCTAAACCCTGTCCACTGTAAGTCCACCCCGGAAACGATTATTGCCTATTAGATTAAAGTTTTTTTTAGCATTTCTTCTGGGATTTTTATTGACCATCAATAAGCTTTATTCGGATTAAAAAAGATTGGGATTTTGATAAGATTTATTGAATTGGAGCATGTCGATCGATGACATCGGTTGGGTGAGCTTTTGATGAGTTCCGAGGGATTTTTTCGTAGACAATCATCTAGAAATGCCTTATCAATCATCAGTTAAAGAGTTTTTAACCTTTGCAAAAGCTTTAGTTTTTGGGATTTGCAGATTGTGAGAGTCAGAAAATGCCTTGGTTCTACGTAATCTCTATCTTTTGACTTTTCAACAACAATCTGATTTTCAATAGAAACCTGATTGGGTTTTAAACTAAGTCTTGACTTAAATTGCTAAATTCTTAGCTTTGTCTTTCAGTCAAAGAATGTCTTTCAGTCTTTTTGTTATAACTTTCTCTCTAATCGCTGAATAACTTTATAAATTTGGCAGTAAGCTTCTAGGTTTTTCGTTTTCCTTTGAAAATTTCATTTAAATCTACTGATTCTACGCTGAGATATTAGAAATTTAAGAAAGGAACAAGACTTAGTTCAAAACTTAATAGCTGGTAATAGCTATTAGGTTTTGATCAGAGCTATCAGAGTCCCAGCAGCTCTAGATCTGATTGCAATGAAGCCAGATCGATCATAACAAGGCTAAAACCCAGATCAGGACCTATCCTTGCTTTGATTTTCCTTCCAGATCGATCATAACAGACAAGGGTGATACCCAGATCAGGACTTGACCTATCCTTGCTTTGATTTTCCTTCTTACTCACATCATCCTCACTCTCCTCATCATTTGTCCTTCTTTGTTCATCTTGATCTCTTGATCTCAAAAACTCTTGATCTTTTTGCATCAAGCGAATCAGTTTTGAGACCAAGTAGAGCTCCAACAGTTTCTCAAGACCAAACTAGAATTTCTTGACTTTTGATAAACAAATCTAAACAATCTAAACAATCTTAACACTTTTGATAAACAAAACTTAACAAATAAAAGTCTCACATAAAGAAAAATGTATGCTTGTGGCGAGTCAGTGGCGGGGAATTCGTGAACACATGCGTCAATCAAATCATCTTTTGTCAGAGTTCCTGAACTTTTGAAATTTTGGGAAATTCTAATTCTAATGCTCACCGTTTCTTTCGTTTTTCGCAAAGATCCGGCCAAGTTTGCAGAAAAGTGGAATTGAGATGTAATAGAGGAAAAAGAGAATTGGAGTGAAAACACAGGGGATCTAGATCATTAGAAGATTTCCATTTTGTAGAAATGAATAAAGTTTAAGAATGTTTATTTTCAAAAATCCTACCAATACAATAAAAAGTGGCATTAAGAATTTCCAATTGTCGTTGATGACAGAAATGGCCGCAAAAGCGTTTGCGGTGAGCATTCTGAAAGTATCAAAAGATCAGGAATGTTTTGGTTGGCTTTAGATACTTTTTAGGTATATAAAGACAGCCAAAACGCGTTTGCGGTGAGCATTCTGAAAGTCTCAAAAGATCAGGAATGTTTTCGCTGGCTTTAGATACTTTTTAATAGAAGGATTATGAGATTTTCGTTAGCCAGGGTTAGAAAGCTGTTCTACATTGAATGACATCATATTTATTTCAATTAGAGAAATTCTGACCAAGCTACAAGCAATCTCAAAGCAATTTCTCTCTAGAAACTACTCCTAATCCTAAACTACTCCTAATAAGCTGTTTTAAATGTCTTATATTTAATTTGGCTTAGAATTCCATCTAGTTATGCCTTATGTTTTTAAATTTTTAAAAAACCGAAACTGGCGGCACGAGCGGGGGTCGAACTTGGGTCGTATGAGCTAGAGACAAAGGCACTCGCACTGCGCCAGAGCATGTCCGAGTGGTTAACCCGGATTAACCCGGGCGTCTCTCAAACGAACGGAGGAGAAAGGTCGCGGGTTCGACTCCTCTCAGCGCCAATTTTTTCCTTTTTTTTCCAAAAACCTTTTTTTGCTGGTCTAGTAGATACTTTTTGTGTGCAGATCGACAATGGCAGCATTCTCAAAAGCGTTGTGAATCGAGAACAAATGTCCGCCCAGTGATTGGCAACTTTTGCGCGTTATGCCACACCGATTTGGCTATTATCGATGGAATCAAAAATGGTATAGCTAGTTAATACAGTAAAATTGATATATAAAGAGACTAAGACGTCTGTCTGTCTGTCTGTCTGTCTGTCTGTCTGTCTGTCTGTCTGTCTGTCTGTCTGTCTGTCTGTCTGTCTGTCTGTCTGTCTGTCTGTCTGTCTGTCTGTCTGTCTGTCTGTCTGTCTATCTTTGCTCATTCCTCCTCCGCTCCCAGTGAGCCATTTCAAATAACTTTTAGTTAGTTTCACTTTTAATTACATCTAGTTGTGCCTCGTGTTTTTAAATTCTTAAAAAACCAAAACTGGCGACGCGAGCGGGGGTCAAACCTGGGTCGTATGGGCTAAAGACAAGGGCACTACACCAGAGCATGACCGAGTGTTTAACCCGGGCGTCTCTCAAACGAATGGAAGAGAGAGGTCGCGGGTTCGACTCCCCTCGGCGCCAATTTTTTCCTTTTTCCTCCAAAAACATTCTTTTATATTACCAGTATTAAATCTAGCTTTTTCTTGATTTTCCAAACTCACATTGCTCCAAAAGTTAAATAATTCGTGGAGTTGAGCGGCGCCATCTCATAAACGGCAAAGAAAAGAGCGATATTCGCCATGATCATCAATAACAATGAGGCCTGGAAAATAGGTATTAATCTTAAATTTCAAAAAAACACAAGTTTAGCCGTTTTGATAGCAAATTTTAGCTTTTAAAAAGCAAATTTTCCCAACCCTGAGCCTCATTTTCACGAGATTTTTAGCAGAATTTGTATGGTAGATCTAAAGAAGTGAATGGAAATGATTTTTAAGATGATGATTTTTAATTTATAATCAATTCCAAACCTTTAATATCATGTGTTTAACTGGCGGCTTTACATAGACGAATTTTGTCTCTGATTCGTTCATTTTTGTGCTAAATTTGATGATTTATCTTAAAAGAAAAGGAAAAATAGTATGAAAACTTCTAGAAAAACTATCAAAATAGAGTTATTTCAGATGAAATATTGAAAAATTAGTTAAAAGGAAGAAGTTTGTTATGTTCTTTGCGCTCTGGTAAACGCACGCTTTCTGCCACTCAATCTAGTGTGTTAAAAAGCGAGCGTTTACAAGCAGCTCAAAGAGGAAAACAGATTTCGTAAAGAAGTGTATTTTAAGTTGCCGAATTTCACGCTTTCTGGTACTTTCAGAAAGCTCAGATTCAGAAAGCGAGCGTTTAGTGGTGAGCAAAAAAAGCAAGCGGTTTTTCATTGCTTTAGCTTTCCATTGCTTTAAGCTTTCCATTGCTTTAAGCTTTCCATTGCTCTAAGCTTTCCATTGCTTTAAGCTTTCCATGGCTTTAAGCTTTCCATTGCTCTAAGCTTTCCATTGCTCTAAGCTTTCCATTGCTCTAAGCTTTCCATTGCTCTAAGCTTTCCATTGCTCTAAGCTTTCCATTGCTCTAAGCTTTCCATTGCTCTAAGCTTTCCATTGCTCTAAGCTTTCCATTGCTTTAAAATCTCCATTACAGTATGCTTGAGAAGTAAATAAGCTTTAAAAAAAGTGAAATGAAAGAAGTAAATCAAAAATTCAAAAATTCTCCGTTCTTTAACTGAAATCGATTCCTCTTTCCGATTTCTCTTCCCGATTTCCCAATGAATTCTTCATTTTGTTTCAGAATATCGAAAACCAATACATTTTTCTCTCTTTTCTGCTATTTCTCTCATCTTTTCGGAACAAAAACAGTGAATAAGAATTAAGTGGGCAAAAAATAAGAAAATCGTACAGAAAATGGGAAAAGTTTCTATAAAATAGCTTTAAAAAATGAAAAAAAAAGCTGAAATTAGTATAAAAATCATAAAAATTACCATTTAAAACAGGATTCTCCGTCTAAAAATCAAAGTTTGCATGCAAATTACCATTCAAAACATCATTACCGGTTAAAAATCAAAATTCGCATATAAATTAACATTTAAAACAACATTCACCGTTTAAAAATCAAAATTCGCATATAAATTACCATTTCAAACAACATTCACCATCGAAAAATCAAAATTTGCATACAAATTACCATTCAAAACATTCCCCACCGTCTAGAAATCAAAATTTGCATATAAATTAACATTTAAAACATTCCCCACCGTTTAAAAACCATAATTGAATACAAATTACCATTTAAAACACCGTTTCCATTCTTTTTCAAAAACCTATGACTCCTCTCCACTTAATAGCGCGCCCTGGCTACCGTACCCTCACCGCCGTCAATCAATCCGCGTATATAAGGCCATTTCGTCCATTTTCCCTTTAATGACGTGGAGTTAGGACCTTGCTTTTTCTTTATAAGTCCCAAAAAATTGGCAACCGAATATCACTCCAATACAATTAGAATTACAATTAGAAAAACAACAAAATAAACTTATAAAATAAAGTGATTCCATTTCGGGTAATTAAAATGAAAAAAAAAATGGACGAAATGGTCTTATATACGCACAACGCGCAACGGCCTTATATACGCACAACGAAATGGTCTTATATACGCGCATTGCTTGACGGGGGTGAGGGTACGGTAGCCAGGGCGCGCTATTAAGTGGAGAGCAGTCACAGGTTTTTGCAAAAGAATAAAATTGGTGCTTAAAATGGTAATTTGTATTCAATTATGGTTTTTCAATGGTGGATAATGCTTTGAATCTAGATTTGTATGCAAATTTTGATTTTTAGACGGAGAATCCTGTTTTGAATGGTAATTTGTATGCAAACTTTGATTTTTAGACGGTGGATAATGTTTTGAATCGAAATTTGTTTGCAAATTTTGATTTTTAGACGGAGAATCCTGTTTTGAATGGTAATTTGTATGATTTTTACACAAATTTCAGCTTTTTTTTCATTTTTTAAAGCTATTTTATAGAAATTTCTCTCATTTTCTGTACGAATGTTAATTTGTATGATTTTTATACTACTTTGCTAGCTCGAGCGCGCTATTAAGCGGAGAGAAGCCACGGATTTTTTGAAAAACAAGTTTAAACGCCATTCACTGTCTAAAAATCAAAATTTACATGCAAATTACCATTTAAAACACGAGCGACTAATCTGAAAATCGAAATTTTCCCATTTTTTTCCGAAAATGAGTGAAAAGGAACCGATTTCGTTGGCTGAGTGGGTTTTTAAATGAGTTTTGAAATGATTTTGAAATGATTGTTTTTAAACAACTTTTAAATTTACGTTTAATTTCTTAATCTTACAGTAGCTAGACGTACAATTTCAGCTGCAAACTGTAAAAAAAACCTTTCTCGTGCACTGAGTTCTTCTCTATTATCGCAAAAAGAACTCTTTCTGATACAGGAAATTTGTTGTGAAGAAATCAGTGCACTAGAAGGCTTGTGTTTTCATTTGTTTTTCGAGCAAACTCTTTAACTAACATTTCTTTTTCTTCTTTAGTCATTTCGATGATCTTTCTCGTGTTCGTGTTCATCCTCGTTTAATCGATCTTCTCAATTTCGATGATTTTACATCCACTCATCACATCAACAATCCCACGATGATCCCAGTTGTTGCGAGGATTCGTTTTTTAATTTTCTTTTAGAATAGCTTAGAATTTGAAGTCAGTTTTCTTTACCGTAGCACAACTAGAACAGCACGAAGAAGCAGCGCTAATCTAGAAGCTATGACCGGTCAGGCGAGGCCTGGAAAATCCACCTTTAATATCTTTTTCTTTTGATTCTTTGTAAAGTTAAATAACAGAAATATGAGGCTAGAAAAAAAGGACGACTTATTTCTGGTCACCCTGGCCCTAGAAACAGCCCCACAAAAAAATGTTTAGATCTTACGGTAAATGATAGTTGAATATCAAAAGTAGCGTTATTCCTTTTATCCAAAGCTTTTGTCCTGTATATAATTGAAGGCTGTCCGTCCGTCCGTCTGTCCTTCCGTCCGTCCGTCCGTCCGTCCGTTGCCGGTAGAAAAAATCTGACCTCACGGGGAACTCGGCCACCCCAAAAACCTGTAAGGGTATTGTTTTTGGAGCTACGTACGCAACTTTCATCTCGAGAACGGGAGAAGTTAGAGCTCCAAAAACAACGCCCTTACAGGTTTTCCGGGTCGCCGAGTTCTCCGTGAGGTCAGATTTTTTCTACCGGCAGCGTATTGCGTACTTCGACCCTAGATCTCAACCCCCCAGTGCACCGATTTTAATGGTTTCATGTCATTCTATTTTTCAACCCCTCAAAATCGACCGATCCAAAAAATAGAAGAATTCGTTCAAAACTATTTTAAACGATGGCCCTTCGTCCAAAGCGTAAAAAACGTTAAAAAGTTAAACTATTTTATTACCCACGACCCCCTTTGAATCTCCAAAAAAAATCCATATGATGGACCCTTATAATTTTTTTTTGAAAAATAACGTTTTAAATTTTAGTAGGTTTTAGGTTTAGATCTATCCATAGATCCCCCACAAGAGGGGTCTAAAGTCAAAATTTTGAGGGGTCATGGTTGTAGTTCATCTAATACAGCATTTACGGTATGCTGAATTTGAAGTCAGATTTGAGACCTGTGCGCAATTTAGTAAACGGGTTTGGTCAAACGGAGTCTGGCGTAGTCGCTACTCAGGGCTCGGTTCCAATTAAACAATTTCGATATGTGCTTTATTTTTCGATAGAACAATTTATATGGAGAATTTCTTTGTGCGACCGCGCAGCTGATTTTAAACAATTTTGGCTCTTTTTAAACATTTCTTGCTCTTTTTAAACAATTCTTGCTCTTTTTAGGTGAAAGGAACCGGTGAATGGAGGCTCTCTTGCGATAAACCCTATTTCTCGTTGGATGCTTGTGCGGAAACCACGATTAAGGTAGCTCTTTTTTACTGTAAAAATATTTATACTTATAAGGGAAGGTAAACGTGGTCAATTGGCATCTGCTGAATACCATTTGACGCAGAATTTCACGCTGATTCCAAAGATGGTTTCATTTTTTGTTGAACATTATTCTGGCAAGAGTGATAAGGGTCTAAAGTTTTGTTAGGACTCTGAAAATATGGGTTTTTCGATCTTAGGCGCTTTCTGGGCGTTTAAGAGCTAACAAGAGAAGGTTATGGTGGTCAAATGGCATCTGCTAAATACCATTTGACGCAGAATTTCACGCTGATTCCGAAGATGGTTTCATTTTTTGCTTTGCGCTACCCTATCAAACGTTATACGAGTTTAAAGTTTTACAAGGCAAATGATGAGAAGTTAGTTTTCCAGGTATTTCCAGGTATTTAAAAAGCGTCGGTGGCTGAATGGTAGTGGGTTGGGATGAGAAGCGAACAAGCGAACATTGTCTGGTTGCCTTGTAAAGCTTTCAACTCGTATAGCGTTTTATAGGGTAGCGCAAAGCAACAAATGAAACCATATTCGAAATCAGCGTGAAATTCTGCGTCGAATAGTATATAGCAAATGCCATTTGACCACCTTTACCTTCCCTTATTGACTTTATTTTAATTATAAACGCTCAGAAGGCGCCTAAGACCCAAAAACTCATATATTCAGTCCTAACAAAACTTTAGACCCTCATCACTTCTGCCAGAATAACGTTTAGCAAAAACTGGAACCATATTCGAAATCAGCGTGTAACTCTGCGTCGAATAGTATAGAACAGATTCCATTTGACCACCTTTACCTTCTCTTGTTAGCTTTATTTACCTTTATTTAGTTTATAAACCTTTTCCCTTTTCCAGGTCACTCGCTCGATCGATTTCCCGTTGAAATCTCGGCGTGTATCGATCGGTTTCCTCCCTGCCGTCCCGCCAATCACTACGGTAATTTTTTTTCTTTTAAAAACCTAAAAAGTGTCATTCTTAGTCAAATCTTACCATAGGTACTCAGCTTTATTTTTATTTTTATTCATTTTCTTATTTTCAGGCGATTCCCACATGGCGTGAGTCTCCGCACTTGCTCTTCACGCTCGGCTTCGTTCCATTTGACATCAATATTAGGTCATTCTTTGTATTTTTAAATACTTTTTTACATAGATCTATACTAATTCATTGAAAATCTTTAATTTTTAGATTCCGTGGCAATTTCCCATGGGGTGAAGAGGTGGCTGATTTGTGTAAATCGTTCACAGTGCCACGCGATTTCGGCCAATTCCTTCACAAGCACAAAATTGGTACAAACGGCGTCGATCTTGTAAGAGTTTATTGTTTAAATTATTAAGCAGAAAAAAGCTCAAGTAAATAAAAAGCTTTTTTTATAAGAATCAATTATTCTATTGGGTTGTCCAGTTATGAATGCGCGTTTTTACTAGTTTGTAAATTTCTCAAGATATCGAACAGATGTATATGAGTGTTATATATCATTCGAAAGCTGAAGATCTCCTCTACATTTTGGAATAAAAAGGTTTTTGAATTCGTTCAACTTTTTGGGAATATGACTGCACAAAAGGAGAGTTCGTTTTCGAAAAAACCCATTCCAGCTTAGCTATTCCTCAAGTTTTATGGTGTAAAATAATCGCCCAGAAAAGAAAAATAAAGATGCTCTGAAGTTATTATATTTTAAAAAAAGTTGTATTGATATATCTATTCGCCAAACATCAAACGGTTAACTCAATTTGAGCGGAGCCAAAACCTGATCCGAAGGCACCCTTCCATGTTTTGGCCACCTCTTCTTCTGTGCAGTCAATTTGCCCAAAAGCTGAACAAATTCAAAAACTTTTTATATCAAAATGTAGAGGAGATCTTCAGCTTTCGAATAATACTCATATATATCTTTTTCTTGATTTCGGTATCTTGAGAAATTTACAAAATAGTAAAAAACGCGCATTCATAACTGGACAACCCAATATTTTATCTTTTTCTTATGTTTTCAATTACTAAATTCCAGGAAACAATCTCGATTCACGATGCGAATCTCATTTCGGTGCTTTCATCGCTCAATTGTGAGGAAACAATGCTTGAATACGACACGCAAATGGTAAAAATTTGTAATTTATTTAAACAAAATAGGATTTCACTTTAAATTTAAGAATAAACTAGGATTTTAGTGGTTTTTTTTAGTGAATTTAGCTTAACAATTTGGTCGATAAAACATCTAAAACAAAACTTTTTCGAATCTTTTAAGATAGATACTTTATTCATGAAATAAAATGCACAAAATTTAAGATTAATACACGAATTTATACAAATAAACACTAAAAAGGATCGATAAGAAGCAACACAATATGTAAGTAAGATATGGGTAGCACAGATAACGTCAAGAATCTACTAGAGTTTCAAGATCAAGATCAAGATCATCTAGAGATAATTTAAAGGTTTTGAAACTATTGGACTCTCTAAAAACTTGAGTGTTGAGCTTCTGCGAAAACGAAAAGACTTAGCTTGCTTTTTGTATCACGAGAGCTAGTCATAGTGGATCCTGGCTGACTTATAATTTAAAGGTTTTGAAACCATTGGACTCTTAGTTGATCCTGGCTGACTTACAAAACTTTCTAGGCTAGGCCAGGTCAAGCCAGTCATGAACAATCATTATCATGAGTGTGATCTGGCTCTGGTCTGGAAATTCGGTCCTAGAATAGCCTTGAAAACTATTTTAGGACTAAATTTTCATAAAACACTTATAAAACTATTTAAACAAACGCGAATACCGTATTTTCTCTAATAGTAGCGCCTGAGCGTTGTCTAAATTGCTCGAAATTTCGAAAAGCGCTTATCAGAACCTATCTATGTCGGGAAATGTAGCTGACGATGAGATCTAGTAGGGGATTCGAGTGTTGAGCTTCTGTGAAAACTTTGAAAGCCCGAAAATAGTGACCAACTCGGCTCGCTGGGGTCGCCTAAATTGCTCGAAATCTCGAAAACCGCTTATCAGAACTACTATTAGAGAAAATACGGTAAAACAAAACAAACAAAACATAAACTTATTGGAGGTGACTGGAGTTTCCAAAAATGAAAGAATCTCTCCATGAATTAAAAGAGAAAAAGAAAAAGTGTAAATTGAACTTTATTTAAAGCATTAATTTTTAAACTTTGTTTAAATTATATTGCAAGAATTTTTGAATTTAAAACCCAACTTATTCATTGTTCTGTTTACAGAAAACTGATGGTTCATTTCCATTCCCGAAAGGCAGCCTTTTTCCATTCACCGATTTGGATGAATTCGATGAGGAAAAAGAGAAGATATCGTTGAATGATTAGAAATTATTTGAAATCATTTGAAAATCATTTAAAATTATTTGAAATTATTTGAAATCAATTGAAATCATTTGAAATCATTTGAAATCATTTGAAATCATTTAAAATTATTTGAAATCATTTGAAATCATTTGAAATCATTCGAAATTCATTTGAAATTATTTGAAATTATTAGGTTGATGCAAAAGTCTTTTTCATTTTTTTCGTACTTCTGTTAAAAAGTAACAAATTCACCAATTAATCTATAGTTTGCTCTATAAAAAAAGTGTTTTTTTGTTCAATTTCCACCTTTTTAAATGAATTTCGGTTCACTTTCAAGCAAATTCGAGAGTGAAAAACGCCTTTTTCGTAAAAATCTATAAAAAACTCTACGGAAAAATTGGCTGAATGAATTTCTCTGAAATTTTGGCGAAATATCAAACGTTTTTTTTCTCTATCTTTTATCTATTGACACGAAGATAGGTTTTCTTTAGCTAAGGTGTCTAAACCGCATCTTTAGCTAAGGTGTCTAAACCGCATCATCGAGTTAGCCCTTTTTGACTACCCGACTTCATACTCTCAAGAAAATCCAGGCATAAAATATTTTTAAACCCGTTTTAATGTTATTTTGCAGAAAAATAATTGGTTTTTCTAATGAAATCAACCGTAGTTTAATTGGTGCATTTGTTGGCTTGAAACGGCAGACGAAAAGGAACGAAAAGACTTATGCATCAACCTAATAATTTGAAATCAATTGAAATCATTTGAAATCATTCGAAAATCATTCGAAAATCATTCGAAATCATTTGAAATCATTTGAAATTATTTGAAATCATTTGAAATCAATTGAAATCATTTGAAATCATTTGAAATCATTTGAAATCATTTGAAATTATTTGAAATCATTCGAAATTCATTTGAAATCATTTGAGATCATTTGAAAATCATTTGAAATCATTTGAAATCAATTGAAATCATTTGAAATCATTTGAAATCATTTGAAAATCATTTGAAATCATTTGAAAATCATTTGAAATCATTTGAAATCATTTGAAATTATTTGAAATTATTTGAAATCATTCGAAATTCATTTGAAATCATTTGAAATCATTTGAAAATCATTTGAAATCATTTGAAAATCATTTGAAATCAGTTAAAAATCATTTCACTTTCTCGATTTCTTTTAACGATTCAATGCTTTAGCCTTTAGGCTCTTTTTGTGAAATAAACTTTTCAGTGCTTTGTTTACGGCAATTTTCTCAACAAATTTTAAACAGATGCTTTCAATCAACAAAAGATTTTTGGAAAAATAAACCATTTTCTAGAAGCAAACAAACGAATTTTCTCAAAAAAAATGATTATTTTCTTCGTTTCTTTGTTCATTGTTGGCGCAAAAGCCTCAATTGCAAGGGCTGATGATCATTTGGAGGCGAGTCAGGTGAGTGAAAAATTACCCTATTTGTTCAATGTCGCAAACTTATCTTTAAATTCAATCTATGGGGATCAAATCTGTAAGTTATCGTTACACTTCTATTCGGTTGAGTACTATTTGTTGATCTGGGTTACTCATTGCACTTTTTAGAAACAACTAGCGCTTCAATTAACAGTATTTATCATTTAAAAGCTTGAGTACGATGTGTTGGTAAGGCTTATTTAGGTTTTATCGTTTAAAAGCTCGAGTACCAAGGCTTATTAACAGTTTTTATCATTTAAAAGCTTGAGTACGATGTGTTGATAAAGCTTATTAACAGTTTTTATTATTTAAAAGTTTGAGTACCAAGTGTTGATATGGCTTATTTATAGTTTTATTATTTAAAAGCTCGAGTACCAAGGCTTATTAACAGTTTTTATTATTTAAAAGCTTGAATACCAAGTGTTGATAAGGCTTATTTAGTTTTTATCATTTAAAAGCTCGAGTACCAAGGCTTATTTACAGTTTTTATCATTTAAAACCTCTATTTCTAAAAGTAGCTTTTAAAAATGCCTCCATTTTGTCATTTTTCAGAGATCAAGAAGGGATCAAAAGCAGAAAAGGCCTTAAAGATTTAATTTAATTTAATTCCAATTTTGATCTTTGAATATCTTTGAATCTTTCAGTATCTTTCAGTATCTTTCAGTATCTTTCAATCCCCTTTTCCCCTTTCAGCTTCAATTCCTCCGCTTTGTTTTACCGGATTATTTCTCGAAAGTGAGTGACAATCAATTAGAAAGCATCACAGCTTATCAAACAGGTTTGTTTTAAAGTTTTCTTTAAAGTTTTCTTTAAATAAAAGAAATATAAAGTTGAAAGAATTTGCTCGAAAGTTTTATCGAAAGTTATCGTTTCTTTCAGATGAGAAACTCAGCTACAAGCAGCAAAAAGACGAGACTTTCCGTTACTTGAAAGAAAATAGTATTGATAGGGAGATTGTGGTAAAGATTTGAATTTAGATTTGAATTTAGATCTCAAAATTTAAATCCTAGCAACACTTCGAAGACTATTACAAGTTAGAGGCGGCGAAACGCGGCCGTTTTCACAAATTCTCCGAGAATTTGGCAAAGGTAAAACAAAGAAAAAACTCTTTCCTTCAAATGAGTTCATTTTTATTCTATGAAAACCCGAATTCCTTCAAGTTTTCAAATGTTTCCATTCAATTCCAGGCAATTGATGACTATTTCGCCATTTACAACAAACGCGATCGTCCGATGAGAGAAAATAAGCAAGAGGTCAGGGAAAAAACAAAATAAAAGTGCTGGGAAATTTGTTTCAGAGGAAAGTTTTTCATTTAAAGTTTTATTTAAAACATTGTTTCTTTAACTCTAGATCAATGCTTTGATCAATCGCTTGGAGAAACCGATTGCTGGAGCGCTGAAGATCGCGATCAACGAGTTGGAGTCGTCAAAGCTGCTTAATGCTTCCAAAAAGAAAACCGTTACTGAGGGAAAGCGCGATGATTTGGGAAATCTGAATGTCGATATTTGAAAGATTTGAAAGAGCAGATTTTACAATAAAATTCATTCTTTTCTACTATACAGGGTGTCTGATAAAAAAAACGTTTTCAAATCGAATTTCCTAAAAAGTTCTAGTGGCTGCAGATGGCCGCTTTAGTGTCAAAAGCGTTTATTTGTGTTGAGGAATTTTTCAACATATCTTGATACCCCGTACATGAGATTCTGATTGCCATCACACCATCATGGGTGCCATCACAGCATCACAGCATCACAGCTCTCACCATCAGGAGCGCCATCACAGCATCACGGCTCAAATAACAACAAAACATCTTATTCAACTTTCCTGTCATGAAAGAAATGCCAAGTTTCTTTAAAGTATCAAGTCTTTAACGTTTATTTATTTTGTGCTAGCTTTATTTTATTATCTCTCACAGGCTAAGCAAGATTTTTCAAAAAAACAAAAACTGATAGGTTCCACCGAGATTCGAACTCGGGTCGCAGGATTCAAAGTCCTGAGTGCTAACCGCTACACCATGGAACCACCGTTTGGAGGGGGCTTTTTAGAGTGTTTTGACGGCTTTCGGTGACTCTTCGGAGATGTTTTTCAAATTCCAGAAAGGATTCAAAATCCAATCAAAAAGAGAAATTAATTTACTTGAGGAAATTACTAACTCAGCTATAGTAACTATTTAGCCGAACAGTTCTATGCATTCCCACTATAACCCGCTTTCTAAAGCATGTCCCAGCTACTGTAACCTAGCCCTTCATCTCCCAGCTACTGTAACCTAGATCTTCATCTCCCAGCTACTGTAACCTAGATCTTCATCTCCCAGCTACTGTAACCTAGATCTTCATCTCCCAGCTACCTTAACCTAGATCTTCATCTCCCAGCTACCTTAACCTAGATCTTCATCTCCCAGCTATCTTAACCTAGCCCTTCATCTCCCAGCTACCTTAACCTAGATCTTCATCTCCCAGCTACCTTAACCTAGATCTTCATCTCCCAGCTACCTTAACCTAGCCCTTCATCTCCCAGCTACCGTAACCTCATCGTATGATCTTTATAGAAATTTATAATTCCTATCTTTATAAAACTTTTAGAAAACGAAAGCTTTCGTTTTTAGCAATTTCTCTAAACAAAACCTTGCCATCTCACCTGTGTCAAATTCATGTACAAATCTGAATATGGACCATTCTCGATGAACCAAAAATTCAGCCCATCGCTCACCCAGATCACCAGTAAACCCGATAAAGACTGTCTTTTTAAAAATTTATCTTTTAAACTCAAGAATTTAAGCGATTCAGAGCTAATAGAACCTAATGGAAAATTGAGAAAATTTCAGCTAGCCGATTAGGTTTGAATGCTTGAAAAAAACCAGGTATATGGTTTGGAACTTCTTCAGCTAGCCGATTAGGTTTGGAACCTCTTCAGCTAGCCGATTAGGTTTGGAACTTCTTCAGCTAGCCGATTAGGTTTGGAACCTCTTCAGCTAGCCGATATTGTTTGGAACTTCTTCAGCTAGCCGATTAGGTTTGGAACCTCTTCAGCTAGCCGATATTGTTTGGAACTTCTTCAGCTAGCCGATTAGGTTTGGAACCTCTTCAGCTAGCCGATATTGTTTGGAACCTCTTCAGCTAGCCGATTAGGTTTGGAACCTCTTCAGCTAGCCGATTAGGTTTGGAACTTCTTCTTTTACCATTTTTTATCGCTGCAATTTCTGTGCAAGCCAACCAATAGTTCAATTTCAATGGGCACGGTTACATTGTTATTTTCAGAGCATTTACGGTATTAATCTTTTCCTTGCTTTCTTGAATTCAATATTTTATTATTTATTTTACATAGCTATTAAAAACAATCTCATTCCTGTACACCATAGATTTTCCCCAGCACCACCAACGCATAGCCGAGCCCTAACATGAAGAAATTTATCTGAAAATGATAAATTTTCAACTTTTAAACCTTCTACCATTCTGTGTTCAATAAATTTCACTATTTTACAAAATTATATTTTCAATTCTTTACAGCTTTAAAGCCACTATACAGGGTGCGCCAAAAGTTCCCGTACTTGTATTTTCTGCATTTTTGGTAATTCTAGATAAAAGCTAGGATTTTAAAAGTAAGAAATTCGAATTCCTCGCGAAAAACTGGTTTAGAAAACGTTTCTGGTTAATTTATAAGTGCAATACTATTTAAGACAAGTGATTGAGAAGAGGGTCCGCTCAGGGGCGCTTTGATCGCACATTTTTTGGGACTTCAGGCTTGTAACTTTTATGGATCAAAAGATTTTCAAGAGCCAAGATGTTTTTCGAAAACTAGACATAAAATGTGACATTTTTTATATTGGGTGTATAATACTGTGCCCTGTACTGTGCCCTGTACTGTGCCCTGTACTGTGCCCTGTACTGTGCCCTGTACTGTGCCCTGTACTGTGCCCTGTACTGTGCCCTGTACTGTGCCTTGTACTGTGCCCTGTACTGTGCCCTGTAACTGTGCCTTGTAACTGTGCCTTGCAACTGTGCCCTGTACTGTGCCCTGTAACTGTGCCTTGCAACTGTGCCCTGTACTGTGCCCTGTCACTGTGCCCTATAGCTGTGCCCTATAGCTGTGCCTTGTAACCGTGCCCTGTAACTGTGCCCTGTACTCTGCCCTGTACTGTGCCCTGTAACTGTGCCTTGCAACTGTGCCCTGTACTGTGCCCTGTCACTGTGCCCTATAGCTGTGCCCTATAGCTGTGCCTTGTAACCGTGCCCTGTAACCGTGCCCTGTAACTGTGCCCTGTACTGTGCCCTATAGCTGTGCCCTATAGCTGTGCCCTATAGCTGTGCCTTGTAACTGTGCCTTGTAACCGTGCCCTGTAACTGTGCCCTGTACTGTGCCCTGTCACTGTGCCTTGCAATTGTGCCCTGGAACTGTGCCCTGGAAATGTGCGACCAAAGCACCCCTGAGCACCTCGTAATTTTAAAATAAATTAAAGACAAAAATGTCCTTTCACTTACTCGATGCGGAAAATTCTCATCAATTCGGAAAGCCATCGCCAACGATAATTTATTTTCTTTTGATTCAGCTCTTTGTATAATATGATTGATTAAAGGAAGATGCTGGAAATGAGTTTATTTTAAGTTTTACCCCTTTTTATGCACCTTTTCATTCCGACTTCCAACAATGCTCGTGTTGAGAAGCAAACGTTTTGAAAGCTCGAGCATCTGAACTCATTTTAAGCTTTTTTCAAAGTCAAATCTAACCTAGTTCTATTCGAAAATTGTCTTTTAAATAATAAAGGTAGCTGGGAGATGAAGATCTAGGTTAAGGTAACTTTTTTAAATTAAAAACTCACCCTATAACTAGCGGTAGCTGGTGGAATCAAGAGACATCCGACGAGAAGCGCCGAGATGAACATATAGCCTGTGAAAAGAGCGACTTCACTTCCCGTCAACCATTTCCTTTGACCAATCACGATTCCGAGAGCATCAACCTGAAATGATTGATTGATTTTATTAAAGTACAGCGAGCTACTGTGCTATTATGAAAATGGATTCAGGTTCAACACCAGTTCAAATGACTCAAGAACGTTTTTAGTATTAATTGTTAAGAAATTGTTTTTTAATCGCTAATTGTTATCTAAATTAGCTTTAGATTCAGCTAAATTGGCTTTAGATTAAGCTAAATTGGCTTTAGATTCAGCTAAATTGGCTTTAGATCAAGCTAAATTGGCTTTAGATCAAGCTAAATTAGCTTTAGATTCAGCTAAATTGGCTTTAGATCAAGCTAAATTAGCTTTAGATTCAGCTAAATTAACTTTAGATTAAGCTAAATTAGCTTTAGATCAAGCTAAATTGGCTTTAGATTAAGCTATTAGATTGGAAAGAAAGTTCTCAGAAAAAGTTGGGTGAAATTTCTTAAAAACGAATCCACTAATTCAAGAAAACTTTGTTCTATTCTTTCCAAGACTCCAAGAAATTACTCTTAAAAAAATGAAGGCAGCTTTTCTTTAAAGTTTTTGAGACTTTAAAAAAAAAAGTATGATTAAGCTTAACTTTAGCCCACTTTTTGCATCATAAAACTGCACTTTTTGCATCCTTATGAGATAAAGCTAGTATAAATAAGCAATACGCTCTATAATCTCTATTTTTGACCAAGAAATTTTCTTACAGAGAGGCTGTAAAATCATAAAAGTCATTTTTTCGTGTCATCTTCTTGGCACTGTGATTCTAAAACGTTAAAGCATTAAATCAAATTTGTCTTTGTCACACCTTTCCTTATTTTAAGTACTTGATTTTAGGTTTTGAATGGGACCAATGGCCTATTCATTAACCCATTAAAAACTTGTCTAAAGACCGGTCACTCAAAAAGTGACCAAGTCACTTTAGCTGAAGAAATCTCTTTTTTTACCTGAAGCTTACTCTCATTTTTTTGTCAAAAACCTTTTGAAATATAATCAAGGTTATCAAAAGACCTGGGAAGAATTGATGGCTTGATTTTAGAGAAATCAGCGTGCAAACTTTTTCTATGAGCCTTCTTGAAAACCTAATTAAAACCAAATTTGATTCCAGACTCATAAGGGAAGGTTAACTGGCTGAGTTACCAAATCCTATGCCATTCGAATTTTAGCTGATTCTGAATATGTATCCTCTTTTTGCTTAGTGATAATCTGTTAGGAGTTGCATCTAAATGACAGCTAAACGACAGCTAAAAGACAGCTGAATGACAGCTGAATGACAGCTGAATGACAGCTGAATGACAGCTGAATGACAGCTGAATGACAGCTGAATGACAGCTGAATGACAGCTGAATGACAGCTGAATGACAGCTGAATGACAGCTGAATGACAGCTGAATGACAGCTGAATGACAGCTGAATGACAGCTGAATGACAGCTGAATGACAGCTGAATGACAGCTGAATGACAGCTGAATGACAGCTGAATGACAGCTGAATGACAGTTGAATGACAGTTGAATGACAGTTGAATGACAGCTAAATCACAGCTAAATCACAGCTAAATCACAGCTAAATCACAGCTAAATCACAGCTAAATCACAACTTTCTTGAAAAAAGCAAAAGAAAAGTCCGAGCTGGGATCGAACCTGTGAAGTCTCGCCCTGAAAATGAGAGCTCTACCCCTCGACCACGGCTGCACCAGGTTCCCAGCCGTAAGAAGGCCTCTAAAACCCAAATGACCACATTTTCCTAACAGAGTCCTAACAAAACATCAAACGCTTATAACTCCTGGTTAGTAAAAATAAATTTCAGAATCAGCATCAAATTTTGCGTTGAATAGCATAGATCGCATAGCATTTGACTCAGCCAATTCACTTTCCCTTGTCAGAATCATTTCTGTATCAGTTCTTTTCAACTCACATGTGTAATCAGCGCGCCCAAGAACCCGATATTCACATATCGTCCAAAAGTGTTATTCATAAAGCGCACAAATGTCAGCAGTTCTTTTTGTCGATTCGAGATGTGGACAAGAGTTTCATAAGTCTAAAGCTTTAGCATTTAAAGAATTTAAAGAATCAGCTTTTCTTCACCATTTCCTTTTCCGAAGTATTTATTGTTTTTCTCATTTCCTGATTGAAATGAGTTAAATTCGTAAGCACTGGACCCCATGAAAGCACGTAAATTGTCGTAGAGAAGCAGGAAAATGCGGCTGAAAAGTGGAAAATTCGAATTTATTATTGATTTTTGTTAAATTTGACTTTTCATTTACCTGCAATGATTCGAAGAAATGGATCGGCGCCCCAGAAATTAAGGAAATCGCGGGGACTTTGGCTAAACTTGAAGAAAATATAGGACTTTTAAGGGATTTGAACAAATATTCAGCTAATTTACAGCTAAGGAAGCTATTCAGCTATTCAGCTAAGAGATGTGCAGCTAATCTTCAGCTAAAAAAGCTATTCAGCGCTTCAGCTAAGCAATGTTCAGCTAATTTTCATCTAAGAAAGCTATTCAGCTATTCTGCTAAGAAATATTCAGCTATTCAGCTAAGTGTCCAGCTAATCTTCAGCTAAGAAAGCTATTCAGCTCTTCAGTTAAGCAATCTTCAGCTAATCCTCAGCTAAGAAAGCTATTCAGCTCTTCAGTTAAGCAATCTTCAGCTAATCTTCATCTAAGAAAGCTATTCAGCTATTCTGCTAAGAAATATTCAGCTAATTGATCCAAATTCTCATCTCGTTTACTTTCATTTGGATAAAATTGTGGACCTAGACTTTTACGGACAATTTTTTCGACTTTTCCTGATGAATTTGAGGCTTTTATATGCAAATTTTGTCTATTTTCTCGAAATTTCTCACGCTTTCTCCCATTTTCTAATATCATCAGCACAATGCGAGCAAACGATGTACATGAGAAGAGTCGAGAGAATCAATGCGACAATGATCACGATCATTTTGGCGATTGGTTTTGGGGGAGAACGCTGAAATTGTTGGCAATAGATAAGAAAGTAAAGAATCTGTAAAGAATCTGCAAAGAATAGCAAAGAATAGCAAAGAATTTGGGGAATTGAACCATCGATCTTCTGCTAAGCAGGCAAATACCACTGAGCTATTCGCGCCTTCTTTCCCCAAGACGAAATAGGAAAGACAAGGAAGAAGACAGGAAGAAAGACAGGAAGAAAGACAGGAAGAAAGACAGGAAGAAAGACAGGAAGAAAGACAGGAAGAAAGACAGGAAGAAAGACAAGGAAGAAGACAGGAAGAAAGACAGGAAGAAAGAGAAAGAAGTTAATTTCTGTTTACAAGTATTACTTTTATTACTTTTTCAAATTCTCAATTCAATCAACTTACATCCGTGAGTGCATCCAATCTCTTTTCCACTCCAGAAAACGCTCGTCTTGTCGTCATTCCAGCGAGAAAGCCAACTGAAGCAGTTCCATGTAAAACCATACCGAATTTCACATTCGTTAACAACCAGAGAATCGAGAAAGACTAAAAGATTTATGTCATTGATTTAATAGAATTCATTTTATGAAACTTTTCTAGACTTTTACAAGTCAAATCCTTCATGAAACATTTGTAGAATTGATTTTAGCATTTTGGCATTATTTTGGGATTATTTTGTTTGTTGTTGTTGTTAGAGGATTGTTAAAAAAACGATTTAAACAAAAATCCGATAAAAAATTCACATTATTAACTTGATGCTCAATCACAACGTTTTCCATAATCAAAATCGTCATAATGATCGTTGTGGTGATCGTGTAAAAAATCGCTCTCGACATTTCGCCATTTTCTTTCGCTTGTCGAATGCTAAAACAAAACAATATTGTAATTAGGAAAGAAAACACAGAAATTCTCATTTTATTATCATTTTATTATCATTTTCTCATTCGAAAACTCACTTAAAAATCGAGTACGTCAAATCTAGCCCTAAACATTTGATAATCAATCGAAAGACGCCCAAAAATTGTTCTCGAATCGGCTTTTCTATCAGCATTTTTCTAAATCAATCAAAAATTGTTTGAAAAAGAAAATAAATGATTGAATGATTTTGTAAGAAATATATTTATAGTTTGATCTTTATAATGTTTTTTGAGACCATGTCTCGGTGTGGTTCAATGGTAGATGTCTTGAAAACGAACAATAGAGAAAAGGAACCAAATCTGTAGAGAAAAGGAATGAATCTATACCGAAAATGAACCAGATCTGTAGAGAAAAAAACCAAATCTGTAGAGAAGAGAAAAGGAACAAATCTATACAGAAAAGGAACCAAATTTGTAGAGAAAAGGAACCAAATCTATACAGAAAAGGAACCAAATCCGTAGAGAAGAGAAAAGAAACCAAATTTGTACCGAAAAGGAGCCGAATCAATGGAGAAAAAGAACCAAATCTGTAGAGAAGAAGAACCAAATCCGTAGAGAAGAGAAAAGGAACCAAATCTGTACCTAAAAGGAACCAAATCTGTAGAGAAAAGGAACAAATCTATACCGAAAAGGAACCAAATCTGTAGAGAAGAGAAAAGAAACCAAACCTGTAGAGAAAAGAACCAAATCTATACCGAAAAGGAAGCAAATCTGTAGAGAAGAGAAAAGAAACCAAACCTGTAGAGAAAAGGAACCAAATCTATACCGAAAAGGAAGCAAATCTGTAGAGAAAAGGAACCAAACGTGTAGAGAAAAGGAACAAATCTGTAGAGAAGAGAAAAGGAACCAAACGTGTAGAAAAAAGGAACTAATCTATACCGAAAAGGAACCAAATCTTTATCAAAACTTTCCCTTATTAGGGCAAACTTCGCTCAAACTGGAGCAACTTGGCACTATCACAATGACTTCAACACTTGCGTGTGAAAAAAGGGATGAATAGAAAAAGGAGCGCACAACTGACTCAAGAAAAAGCTTAAATAATGGGTTTTTAAGTACACAAGCTACGATAAACGGACAACTGAATATCGTCTAGTGGCTGATTACGGTAGTTTATCCATCAACTTTGAATTTTGACTAACTGCAAATTCGGCAATTCGCCACAGATTTTGAAAATTTCTCTAATTTTCTATTTTCTTTACGACTTCTGACTGAAGATTGAGAAAAAAAGAGGAAAAATGAAATTTAGCTTTTTATTTACAGTACTGGACAATGAAATATGATATTTGAAAAACGATCATCACTTTCGCGCGTCTGCAACTCCTTTTTCTTTGAGTTTAAACTATTAGTGTTATACATTTTCTGAAAGCTCTTTTCAAGGGCTACACAATGGTAATATTAATATTTAGAAATACGGTAAAGACATGGGAGTTACAGATGCGCGAAAGTGACGATCTTTTTCACGATTTCATTGTCCAGTAGTGTAGCTTATTTATTAACTTATTTATTAAATTATTTATTAACTTAAAAAGCTCTAAAGTTTAGGAAAATTTCTTTTAAATAATGATTTCAAATAAGAATTTCAAATAAGAATTTCAAATAATATTTTAAAATTAAGGAAACTAAGGCTGGTTTGAGTCTTTTTGAAATGGCAAATTTGGCAATTTGGCATTTGGCAAATTTCGTTGAGAAGGAAAATTGAATGATCTGTGCAAGTGTGACTGAAAAATTGAGTCAACAATGTGCCAGATTAGAAAAAGACAAAAGAATTGCAGCATTGCTTACTATTAGAGGCAAACAATGATGGATTTTTTACCGGAAAACTCCAAAAACGCAATCTTGACCGCTTTTCTTCTATGACGAAATTTGGAAAGCCAACTTTGACACTAATTTTCTCTATGTTTTTATCGATAAGTCTATAAAACAAATTCTACTTTACTATAACCAAATTTAATGAAGATTCTAATGAAACCAACAATAAGTTGATTCAGCTTCTATACCTCGAGTTATAGACCATCTAATTTGATCAACTTTTCCAGGTAGGTGGTTCAACTTTGACTCAAATTTTCTCTATGTTTTTATCGATAAGTCTACAAAACAAAGTCTACTTTACTATAACCAAATTTAATGAAGATTCTAATGAAACCAAGCATAAGTTGTTTCAGCTTTTATACCTCGAGTTATAGACCATCTAATTTGATCAACTTTTCCAGGTAGGTGGTTCAACTTTGACTCAAATTTTCTCTATGTTCTTATACATGAGTATACAAAACAAATTCTACTTTACTATAACCAAATTTAATAAAAATTGATGTAAAGCGATTCCCGGCAAAATTTGTAAGCAAAAAGAACGTTTCTAACCGGAAAAAAGCGTTTGAGATTGTGTTTTCAAAGTTTTTTCGAAGAAGTTTGCGGTAAAGGCTTTTGGTTTGAGGAGCTTTAGTTCAAAACTATCATTGAAATAGTTCAAGATTTTAAACAAGTTCAAAGTTATCATTGAAATAGAGGTAAAGCTACAGTAACCCTTAGCATTTCTCTCATTAAAGTCTACTTTAAATTACAGTTACAGTACAGTAAGCCACTACAGTAAGAAAGGATTTCCAGTATCTTGAAAACTTTAAAGAATATGAAACTGAAAGAAATGAAATGAAAGAAAATGAAAGAAAATGAAAGAATTTATGATAATAAATAACTCTAACTCTAACTAGATCAGCTTTCAATTCTTGAATTGAAGTTTTCAATCAAAGCTTTCAATCGAAGTTTTCAATCAAATCTAACGAGCATCAATAGCTTTTTAAAGACCCAGCTCAAGATTTAAAGGAAATTGAGCTTTTGAAAGGGAACTTGTAGTCGAAAATCAAAAAAAACTAAGTCAACAATGGATGATTCAGAATGGATTCAGAAAATCTCAGTAGCTAAGGTTAAAGAAAAGAATTTAGATCAACGAAACAACTCTTTTTCTCTCTTTCTTCACCTCAATATTTACTTTTTAGCCCTTTTGAATCCTCTTTTGAGAAAACAAGATGTTTCAGTGATCTTCGGTGTAGATTTCTAAGTGCAAATATGTGATGTGAGTCAGGAAATGACGTCGAACGGTTAGAAATGGACAAAATTGAGAAAAGTTGGTGCGAAACTTGCAATAGTTGAGTGCAATAGTTGCAAATGTGTTGAAATCTTGGTTTCTGATGAGTTTTAAGTCAAAATCTTGGCGATTTTACGATTTTACATCGGAAATGAGAACGAATTTAGCGATTCAGCGCAAAATTTGACCGTGAATCCGCTAAAAAGAAGCTAGATTTAAGTCAGAATCAAGTCAAAACCAATCAAGTAAACCAATCAAGTAAAACATCTCAACTTACAAAGAAAGTAGCAAGAATTGAAAGTAATTTTTAAATCTAACTTTAGATTAGATCTGAATTTGTGTTTAGCAAAAAACAAAAGGAAAAGCAAAATAAAATTTTTGCTTTTTTTAACTCGCTTTGCTCTTTTTACATTTTAATGAACAAAATTTTGATTTTAACTTAAATTCTAGATATTTTTATTGATACTCGATATAGTTTTATGCTTATTATTGAAATCAATTACTTTCTAAGTAAATCTAACCAAAAACAACCTTTCTCTAATGCTCCTGCTTGAGTCAATGCTCCTTTAAATGCTCCTGCTTGAGTCAATGTTTACTTTGTTTACTTTACTTTTGTTTTGCATCAAAAACGGACGATTTTTTCGACTTTTCATGATGAATTTGAGTCTTTTATATGCAAATTTTGTCTATTTTCTCGAAATTTCTCACGCTTTCTCCCATTTTCTAATATCTCGGGTGTCTCGCAAAGCTATTAGCCCCGAAATATACCTCCTATTTGTAAAATTTCATGCTGAATCCGAAACTCTAATCAGATTTTGAAAATATTGCTGCCTCAAAAAGATATCGGCTCTTTTTGGCTCGTGAGACAAAACGCCGCATTTCTCTTTCTCCAATGGTCTGCTTTCCACAATTTTTGTTTTATTGGATGGAGCTCAGTTAGATGAACATTTCATATCAACATCATTTTTTGATAAGACTTTATCCCAAAAAGTTATGGCCGTTTTACTGGGATACGCGCAATAGAGGCCTTCTATAGCGCAGTCGGTAGAGCGTCCGTCTCTGGGGCGGGAGGGGTTTCGTCCGGTGGACCACAATAGTTTTAAGTTTATTATTGAAATATTAGGTTGATGCAAAAGTCTTTTTCATTTTTTTCGTCTGCCGTTTCAAGCCAACAAATGCACCAATTAAACTACGGTTGATTTCATTAGAAAAAGCAATTATTTTTCTGCAAAATAACATTAAAACGGGTTTAAAAATATTTAATGCCTGGATTTTCTTGAGAGTATGAAGTCGGGTAGTCAAAAAGGGCTAACTCGATGATGCGGTTTAGACACCTTAGCTAAAGATGCGGTTTAGACACCTTAGCTAAAGATGCGGTTTAGACACCTTAGCTAAAGATGCGGTTTAGACACCTTAGCTAAAGATGCGGTTTAGACACCTTAGCTAAAGATGCGGTTTAGACACCTTAGCTAAAGATGCGGTTTAGACACCTTAGCTAAAGATGCGGTTTAGACACCTTAGCTAAAGATGCGGTTTAGACACCTTAGCTAAAGATGCGGTTTAGACACCTTAGCTAAAGATGCGGTTTAGACACCTTAGCTAAAGAAAACCTATCTTCGTGTCAATAGATAAAAGATAGAGAAAAAAACGTTTGATATTTCGCCAAAATTTCAGAGAAATTCATTCAGCCAATTTTTCCGTAGAGTTTTTTATAGATTTTTACGAAAAAGGCGTTTTTCACTCTCGAATTTGCTTGAAAGTGAACCGAAATTCATTTAAAAAGATGCAAATTGAACAAAAAAACACTTTTTTTATAGAGCAAACTATAGATTAATTGGTGAATTTGTTACTTTTTAACAGAAGTACGAAAAAAATGAAAAAGACTTTTGCATCAACCTAATAAATCACTTTCTAAGTAAATACTACCAAAATCAACCTTTCTCTAATGCTCCTGCTTGAGTCGATGCTCCTTTAAATGCTCCTGCATGAGTCGATGCTCCTTTAAATGCTCCTGCTTGAGTCAATGCTCCTTTAAATGCTCCTGCATGAGTCGATGCTCCTTTAAATGCTCCTGCTTGAGTCAATGCTCCTTTAAATGCTCCTGCATGAGTCGATGCTCCTTTAAATGCTCCTGCTTGAGTCAATGCTCCTTTAAATGCTACTGCTTGAGTCAATGTTTACTTTGTTTACTTTACTTTTGTTTTGCATCAAAAGCCAGTCTTGGTCTTCAGCTTTTCCGAAAAATAATTAAAAAATAAGTGAAATTTATTTCATTAACACAAAATGAGATCAAATTTTGTCATTTATGGCATTTCCAAGTGTCGAATCTGTCGAATGGCCACAATTGGATGTCTCGCCTTTTCGACGCCTTTTTGGATTCGTTTCCCGATTCGCATGATGATCACGAAGAAAATGAAACCGCACACTGAAAACCGCAAATGAAACCGTTTTGCATTCTAAGATTGATTCCATTTAGCTTTCTAAAAATCGAGTTCTAAGATCGAATTGCAAAACTTCAGTGTTAGAAAGGTCAACAGCTGACAAGGACTGGCTTCTAGCCTGGCCAGTGCCTGGTCAGTGTTCGACCAGTGCTTGACCAGTGCCTGGTCAGTGCCCGACCAGTGCCTGACCAGTGCCCGCCCAATGCCAAAAAAGTAAAGTTAACCCGGATTTCTGCCCATTTCAGTTAGTTTCTGTTAGCTTTTACTTAAATCAGCCCAGATTCTCTATACATTTCTGCGAAACGAACCGACAATCGCCGCCCCAATGGCCATCGCTTCCCACGGGGGTTGAGTAGCCAAAAAGCCCAACACCGATAGGTATTCTAATGCGTAAATCATAAAAGCAAGCACCTAAATTTTGAAAATTCTAACTTATATATCAAAATTTACCAAACGATGAAAGTGAGATCCAAGAAAAGATCCCAATGGAGCCATTGTGGCCGAAACTGGGGTCGTTACTGCCAGATATTCCCAAGCAAGCTGAAATTGCTGAAATTGCTGAAATTTGCTTGGAAAATTCCTTGGGAAATAGTGTTTATACGTATTTTTTCTATAAACAAACTTGTGGAATGTGACCTTCGAAGATGGCTCGCCAGTAAAAACCCATAATTGAGTTGATCGCTGAAAAGTGGCTGTAAGAATTATATATAGGGTTTGCCATAATTGTCACAAAGTATCACGCGCTTTCAAGGACAATAACTCGTTGATTTAAGCTTCATTTCTGGTTTTTTCTGTGTTTTTATTATATTTGGAATATAATTGAAACTTTTTTATATAAAATGTGTTTTTTAGAAGGGCTGGAAAATTCCAATCGACAATCGATCATCGAATTGCGAGTCTCAGAGATTCATAAGCGTTTTAAAGTCGACAGAAGTATCATTTTCCGCACTATTCAACGCTTCGAAGCTACATGAACACCAAGAAGCGGTAGACGATGCACCAAGAAGCGTTAGACGCTTTGTGACGTCTTTGTCTTTGTGACGCACTATTCAACGCTACGAAGCTATGGGAACAATTGCTGATGCTGAAGCTGTAGGCCTAGAAGCTGTAGACGTTCAACTGTCGTCACAAAGGCAAACAACAAGCGAGGGACCGAATTCGGAAGAAGCCAAAACAGAGCCTGAGCCAAACCAGGCAAATGACAAAGAAGATAGCGATTTCAAGCATCTCATTGCGTCAAATCCTCAAAAAACTCAAACTTATTGCTTACAAGAAAAACAAGGCTTAACTTCTTTTCAATGTCGCTAAAAAGAAGCAAAAATTGAGTGCAGATCAGTTATTGATTCAATGGAATCGATCATCACAATAACTTGTTCACAGTTGAAAAGATATTTACCGTTGAAGGTCTTCTTAACAAGCAAAATGATCGAGTATGGGCTAAATCTGAATGCTACGGTTTCTCGAAGTGCACATCCAGCTCCAAGTGTTCTGCCAAAACAACTTCGCGGACTTTATTTCTTTTTCTGAGTGGCCACCTAGCTCTTCAGACCTCAATCCAATGGATTTTTGAGTGTACTCGGTTCTAGAAGCCAAGGCTAGCTCAAAGCGCCACAAAAACATCAAAAGCTTGAAGAAATCACTGTTGAAAGCCTGAAAGTCTTTTCCTGGTCTGATTTTACTATATTTCTGAGTCAAAAGCTAGACTTGGACCAACTTCTGACTTCTGGCCTTGACTTGCCTCTTGAATTCTAATTTAAACAAATGAAGCTGCGATTGATGCCAATTAGTTTCCGATTTTTAATTCCGAATCCAATTCTTTCTTTCTTTCTTTCTTTCTTCCTTCCTTTCTTTCTTTCTTTCTTTCTTTCTTTCTTTCTTTCTTGCTGAGAGCTGAGAACACTTGGTTGCAATAGTTGGGCACATTCGTTCCAACAATTGATTTCTTTGCTCTTGATATTCAAATCAATTTTTATAAAGGCTTTTAAAAGTTTCAATCGTTCCAATCGGTTAATCTTTCCTTCCTTCTTTCTTTCTTCCTTTCTTTCTTTCTTTATTTCTTTCTTTTCTTTAATTCCAATTCAGTCACCTTGCAAAACGACGGTCGTTGGAGTGGCGGTCTTTTCGCTGACTCGGAACAAAAGAGTGAGTATCGCAAAGACGACAATATCGAGACCGGTTCCCGTCAATGCTGTGCAAATGCCTAAATTCAATAAAGTTAACAAGGCATTAAAGTTTAGATGCAAAACCAGAATCCAGAAAGTTTTCCTTTACCTCCAACATAGCCTGTAATCAGCAAAACAAGCGCTTTCCACGTGTTGAACTCGGGAATCGTTTGGTAATGCTAAAATATAAAAATACATTTTCAGATAGTTAAATGCTAGAGTTTGGGGTGCGAACCGCTTTAACCTTATCATCGAGGATGATTTTGCTTCAGAATAGCCGAATTGCACAAAAAAGTTAAAAGGGTTTCCCCAAAGCGCTTACAACATAACAAGAACGCGCAGCATCCAACACAAGATTCATACTCGTCGGTGGCGACACAAATGTTAGTAAGCTCTTTCTACAATGTTAAACCGGTTATCTAAACAGGATTTAAAATCTGAAGGGTAGCATAAAGTAAATTGAATTTATAACTTTACTGTTTATTAGTACAAAACCAGAATGCAACGATACCCATTACAAAACAGCGTGCGCATCAAAACGAAACAACAAAGTCCCCCAAGAAAGAAAGCAAAAGCAACCCGCCGAGCAAAAAAAAATAATTTCGGGAAGGGAGAAAAAAGACGAAAAGTGCGACGCGAATAATTGCAAAATAGGAACGCAAATAGGAAGGAAACGGACGCGACCCTAGTTTAACAGAATAATATAGCTTTTAAAGCTTTTAAAGATTCAAACTTACAATCCTTTTCTTTTCCGAATTCAACATGTACAAAGAAATTGCGAACGAGGCGCCAACTGCAATGAAAAATGTCTTTTTAGCCAATTCGTTGAAGAGCTCATCTAGCTAAAAAAAGCTTTATTATAATTGAAATAATTGAAATAATATTGAAATCAATCTTAAACAATTTGAAATTTAAAGGAATTTGAAAGGAATTTCGTCTTATTTATTTCAATTTCACTTACCCAAGTCAATCCGACAATAATCCCGGGAATTGATCCAAGTCCGCACAACAAAATCGCTCGCTTCTCGACGACGATTTGCATGTAAACGATGACGAACATGGATGTACTCATTCCTGAAAGTTTTAGCTTTAAAATTCCCATTTTAGTTTTCATCAAACAAACCAATTGATTGCTGCATTAGGGCATAATCTCTTGATGTGTTTGCATCAATATTCAACAAAAGTGTCATCACTGGGAAAGCGACTGCTCCACCGCCGGCAGAGGTCATACCTGAAATGGTTTTGTGAGAAAACAAAAAAGCTTTTTGACAAAAACAGCATGCCTGTCAGTGACGGGACTCGAACCCACCGCAAGGAGCGCTACTGGTCTCGTACTCTAGCCCACTACCCACTAGGTCACCGCTACCCTTTGACGCGTCGCGTGTGGCACCCTCTTATTAGCTAGGAGGCCCGTATTTTCACTCGATCTGCTGCTGGTATGCTCTTTTTTGTATTTCATTTTTTAAAGCACCCGTATTTTCAAAAAAAGCCTCTTTAATATCAAAAAATAGTCCTGAATTTCAGCTATTTTTTGATACCTAAGCGTACATTGTAGCATAAAGCAATACGGTTTCTATACGATTCCTATTTTGTTCCAATACGGTTCCTTATACGATTACTATACGATTCCTATACGATTCCCATTTTGTTCCAATTCGGTTCCAATACGATTCCTATACGATTACTATGCGGTTCCTATTTTGTTCCCATACGGCTCCAATACGGTTCCTATACGGTTCCTATTTTGTTCCAATACGGTTCCGATACGGTTCCAATACGGTCCCTATTTTATTCCAATACGGTTCCAATACGGTTCCTATTTTGTTCCTATACGGCTCCGATACGGTTCCAATAGAGCCCAATATAAAACGCGTTCAAAACTTGACTACGGAATTATTATGGGAGTTGGGTCCTATTATAAGATTTACGATAGTTAAGGATCGATTTCCCTGGAACTGGAATTTGTACAATTTTTTGTGAAATAAAGTTGTCTATTTAAAGCTTTAAATGAGGCAATAATAGTAAATCACTCAAATTTGCCGCTAAACTAGCCGAGTTTTGAGGTTGGGTAACTAAAAGAATTTTTGAATTTAAAAAGCAATTTTTAAGTCATTTACACGTTAGAATGGAGTCGTTAGTTAAAATGAACATTTCCTGTAAGTTTTTAAAGCTTTTGACGAAATTATTGTCTAAAATTTACCAGAAATACATGACCCAAAGATCATCGTCAACGGGATTTGCCACCTCGTTGGGTAAAGTCGAAAAAAGTCAAAACGAAAAGCCGTCAAGATCCAAATTGACTGTAAAAAGTTGAAATTTCTCGTGATTTCTCGTAATTTCTCGTGATTTCTCGACATTTTACCTGTATAAAAACGAATGGAATGAGTAAAGCGATGAATTTTCGGTGTTTCTCGTGGAAACTATCCCACCATGACGGTTTCTCCGCGAACTCCTTCTCGATCTCGAGAATTTGACCTGAAATTGAAATTAGATTATAGAGATAAGCCTTAATTATTGAATAACTTTATAAATAATGATAATAAACCTTCAAGGAAATATTTTCCAATGAATTCTTTGAGTGTTTTTCGAGGTTTTTTCACTGGCGAATTGAGGGACATTGCTGAAATTTTAGTCAAAAATTCTAATCAAAAATTCTAATCAAATAGCCAAGAAAACTAGAAAGACTATTGAGAGTTAGGAAAAGATTTGTGAAATGATCTAATTTTTAGAAAGTTTTGAGTTGATTACAAGGAAAAAATCTAAGAATTTGATGAAAAGAGCTCGATAAAAGAGTAAAGACGTAGTTGAAGCTGAAAAACGTAAAAAAGCAGAGTAAAAGTATTTCCTTGTGGCTAGGTTTTCTAAAATACATCTATTTTAGAAAAATATTGTAGTCAAACTGCTATTTCACATTGGAGAAGCCAAATTTTGGTATTATTTGATGAGGAATCACAAGGCTTAAGTTAATAAGATCGAAATTTGGCTGATTGAATGGAAACGAACAGTTTGGTTACGGGATTTTGTTTGAAATAAAAGATTTTAAGAAAGAAAGGAAGGAAGGAAGAAAGGAAGGAAGAAAGGAAGGAAGAAAGGAAGAAAGAAAGATTAACCGATTAGAACCGTTGAAACTTTTAAAAGCCTTTATAGAAATTGATTTGAATATAAAGAGCAAGAGCAAGAGATTTGAATATAAAGAGCAAAGAAATCAATTGTTGGAACGAATGTGCCCAACGATTGCAATCAAGTGTTCTCAGATTTCAATTATCTCAAATATTGTGAGCTGAGAACTCGAGTTTGACAAGCATTGGCTCCCTGAGACGGTGGCGTGTCTTCGTCAGAGCTTGAGGTCAGGGTGATTCCTCCAAGATAGCTCAGGGTGACCCCCTCCTCTACCGGGGAGTGCTTGGGCGGATTTGGGGAGCTAGTAATAGCCCCCTCCCAAGTGCTGCAGTTTTTTACTCTGATTTTTCATGGATTTCACTTTTTAAAGCTTTCTGAGCTTTTTCTCAAGGCTCAAGTCAATAATATGAAAATTTTGCTGATTAAATGGAAACTAACAGTCTGGTTACGAGATTTTATCTGAAATAGAAGATTTTAAGAAAGAAAAGAAAGAAAGAAAGAAAGAAAGGAAGAAAGAAAGAAAGAGAGAAAGATTAACCGATTGGAACTATTGAAACTTTTAAAAGCCTTTATAGAAATTGATTTGAATATAAAGAGCAAGAGCAAGAGATTTGAATATAAAGAGCAAAGAAATCAATTGTTTGAACGAATGTGCCCAACTATTGCAACAAAGTGTTCTCAGCTTTCAATTATCTCAAATATTGAGAGCTGAGAACTCGAGTTTGACAAGAAAATGGATCCATTGAGGGGAAAAAGCTGAAGATCTAGGGTCACGAAGGGTATCGAAAAAGAGAAAAAGAGAAAAAGAGAGAGATTTGGACACTCTTTTCGTGTTCACAGCAAACTCTCAAATATTTGCATGCACCCATTTGCATGTACAGGGGAAAAGGAAAAGAAAAACCATGAATTTACTTCTTTTCTCCTTCTTTTCTTCTTTTTGTTTCTTCTTTATGAGGATTATCGAGAACGGTTTCTTGAGTGGAAACAATAATCAGTGAGTTTTTGAATTTGAAATAAAGAAATCAATTTTAAAATTTGTAAAACCTTTTGTCAAAGGTTTATCAAAGGTTTGTCAAAGGTCAAAGATTGTTAGAAAAGGTTTTTTATTTTGTAAAAGTTCAATGATCATACAGAAAGAGTTTTCGAAAAAGTCTAGTGTTTTGAAACGTTGATCACTTCGATTTCTGGTAAAGAAAATTAATAACAAGTAGAAATTTTGTTGTATTTAAGGTGATTCTATTGAAAAACTAATGCAAATCTAAATCTAGAAGACTATTGGAGTATTAGATTGTCAATTTTTCAACGATCGTTTTTGGCAACAACTTGTTGATTTCATGGAACGCAAAAAAGAACACTAATCCAAAAGGTATTCTCCATTATTATCGATGACTTCTTGCCATCTTTGGAGGTTCATCTTCTTGCCAATTCCTTGATACCATTCTCAAAAAAACTGAGCGTCCTTCTGAGCAAAGTAGAAATCAGATGCGTTTTTGACTTGTCCATGATCATCGAAAAGTTTTCCATAGTGGAATTGCTTTAACAATCGAAACAAATGGTAATCTGAGGGTGCTAGGGTGAATAAGGCGCATGTGGTAGAAGTTTCCAGCCAAGCTCGTCGAGTTTTTTTTTGTGAGTGACAATTTTTTGTTTTGCTGTGTGCGGTTTTGCGTTGTCGTGCAAAAAAAGGGATCTTCGAGGGATTGATGCCCAATTTCTTCAATGAGTCACTAACTCTCATCAACTGCTTTGAGTAGAAATCAGCATCAATGTTATGCATAGGATTCACCAACTCATAGCACATCAAACTTCTCGAATTCCACCAGCAACAGAGCATAATCTTCTTCATTTATTAGACAGAAATCATGAAAATTTAATTTGAAAGCCTTTAATTTGAAAGCCTTTAATTTGAAAGCCTTTAATTTGAAACCTTTAATTTGAAAGCCTTTAATTTGAAAGCCTTTAATTTGAAAGCCTTTAATTTGAAAGCCTTTAATTTGAAACCTTTAATTTGAAAGCCTTTAATTTGAAAGCCTAAACAAAGGTCTGCTAGAGATCATTTGCGAGCTTGCTAGTTGAATCGAATTTTATAATTTGAAAGTTTCGCAATAGATAAATGTAGCCAAGATTTAGTGCTTTAAATCTCTATCTAACACTTGGTTGTTTTCACTGAAATTAACCCTTTAACAACTACAGTACTAACCAAAACATTATCACCTTTGAATTCTCCATCTTTCTCCATGTTCTCCTTTGAAGAGCTATAACTCAAAGCCTTTCCATCTTAAACTAGAAGTGTTATAGTGATTCTGAAAGCTTAAAACAAGCTCTATAAAATGGTGTATTCGTTTCTTAAAATTATCCTGATTTTTGACACATTTCGGGGAGCGGAAAGTAGAGTTTGAAAAACAGCGACGGTGACGCGAAGTTGGTCTTTTTCGAACTTTAATACAGCAATAGATACTAAAATCAAAGGTTTTCCGGGGTAGTTTTACACGTTCTTTCCAAAAAACACGGTTTCAACATGATTAGAGCACGGCATGAACAAGAAAAACAGCGCTGAAATGTTCTTTTTTTAAATCCCAATTTTGCGCAATTAAATTTCCAAAAAATTATGAAAACTTTGTTTTCTTTTAGGCAGGGTTTTTTGTAAAAATTTATTCAAAATCTCGAATGATTTCTTTTCTCTTTTCAATTCTCAATTTCAATCCTCGATGCGGCTTTGTAACAATCTCTTCTCTCAGTTCATTCTCATGAAATCCAACTTCTGTTGGGAAAAGTTTGTAATTTTTGATTAAATGCATCACCATGACTTTCTCTTCCAAAAGGGCAAAGCGTTGTCCTAAAAATTAGCATAAACATTTGGAAATTCGTCAACTATAGTGCAGAGTAGTCAGTCACAGTTAAGATCTGTTTACTGGGTGATTTATAAGTTAACTAATTAAGCACAAAGATCATTAACTTATTTTTGGTTGATCTAGTGAACGTGTTTCCAACAAAAAATCCAGCTTTTACATGGTTTTCACCAAAGAAAGTCTCGATGCTGAACTTTATAGACGAAAAATAAGCCTACTGTATTTAAAAAGTGAATCCTGAATGAAATGAAAGTATCTCTAAAGTGAAAATATTTCTAATCGAAAGTGAAATCGATCTATTGTCTTTTCCTCACCGATACAATTCCTTAGCCCAGCCGAGAAAGGAATCAAATCGTATGGGTGTCTCGGTTTCTCGTTTTCTGGCGCAAAACGCTCTGGCTTGAATTGCATAAAGTCATCACCCCAAACCTAAAAAGTTTAGATTCTAATTATTAACTTTAAAAACCGTTTCAAACCTTTCTATTTCGATGAATAATCATCGGATTTATCCAAACAACACAGCCTTTCGGGAGAATGAATTCACCTATAGAAATCGTTTTTAAATTTTGATTTAAACTTTTAAATGATTACAGGTTCGGAAAAGTATAGCTCAGCTCAGCTCCAGCTCAGCTCAACTTAGGCTTAGGCTTGGGCTCAGTCTCAGGCTCAGTACAGGCTCAGGCTCAGCTCAAGCTCGGGCTCAGCTCAGCTCAGGCTCAGGCTCAGCTCAGCTCAGCTCAGCTCAGCTCAGCTCAGCTCAGCTCAGGCTCAGGCTCAGGCTCAGCTCAGCTCAGCTCAGCTCAGCTCAGCTCAGCTCAGGCTTAGACTCAGCTCAGGCTTAGTGCAAAGGCTAGCGGTTAGCGCCTCGCACTAAGTCTATTTGGATTTGAGCTGAACCCCCATTTTCTGGATCTCAGCCAGTTCCGGAGTTAGGCTCAGGCTTAGGCTCATGCTTAGACTCAGCTCAGCTCAGGCTCAGGCTCAGCTCAACCCAGCCCAACCCAGCTCAGCTCAGCCCAGCTCAGCCTCAGCTCAGCTTCTGGAACATAAACATGGTATGCCGACTTTAATGTAAAAGTGTTAAAAGTTTAAGCGATATTTGCAATTATTTGATAACAACAATCTACATTGTATTTCGATTTTTAAAGTAAAATTTCGTCATCGGCTTTCGTAAAGGAAAACTAGATTTTCTGGAACATAAAAATGAAATATTTCTCTCATTTGGTTATTTCCATAAAACTCGAAACATTTTGCAAGTGAAAGCTCTTATAAATCAGGAAAATAATTTGGAAACTGAATGTTCCCATAAACAAAATAATAGTAATAGTCATTGGAATATCAATTTTTAAATCTTTCTATGAATTAGTCAGAATCAGTTTTTATTTGGAATTGCTGAGTTCAAGAGCTTACAAAATCAGTTATTCTCTACAAGCGTTCGTGAAATTTTGCTAATTTCATCAGAAATCGGTGCAGAATTTGATTATCAACAAGAATTAACGATTCCAATTGTATTTCGCGTAGATTTTACTTGTTCAAAGCAACAATTCCCTTTTCGCACCCTGTAAATGAAATTTTAACCTGATTGAAAATCATTTTGAATCTCTCGTTGAACGATGGGCACTGGCGGGAAAATTCTAGCGGACTCTTTGATGATTTGATCGAGTAATGGAGTCTCTTTGATCATTTCGTGAGTCAAATTGGTGCTATTTCCATCTGGAACATTTTTAATTGCACATTTCATCTAACTCTTGCTAAAGGGGATTTTTCCAAGACCAGAAGCCAGTTTTGAATCCAAATTTGAGTCCAAATAGTGTTCCTTTTTTTGGTCTAAAGCTGACTGCAGACAAGGATCACAAAATTCTTATAGATTCTTGCAAAATTCAAATATGATATTAAACAGAAGTGCATCATCGATCTGATTTTTGGTTAAACACAAGAAAACAGCAGAAAATCTGTTGTAATTGAAGATATAGTCGTATTGATATTGATATTGATAGCGGTATTGATAGCCAACTAGGTTTGACTGGCTCTGGTTGACCAGAGAATCCCGTGAAGTAACTAGGTTAGATTTCTGGAGCTTCTGAAAGCTCTGGAGCTCTGATCACCTCCTGGTCATCCCTATAAACCAGAAACACCTCCTGGTTAAGGACATTCCGAAACTGCTTTCAAATCCTACTTCTTATAAGCTATTTTCGAGATCTAAACCTTTAAAGTTTCGCCAAACAGCATTTCGCCAAACAGCAAGCAAACCAAACAGCAACCTAGTTAACGCTTTTGTGCGGGACCGACGAGGTAGCTTGTTAGCCTAGTGGGTAGTGTGCCGGCGCGTCGATCCAGCCCTCCCTGGTTCGAGTCCCGGTCGAGTCGGATTCCATTTTAATTTTTCTTTTTTTTCTGCAAACCATGCTTATTATAATTTTCCTTACAAAAGATTCTTCATAAATAGTTTTTGAGGTTTTCTTTTCAAAACCTACTTACCGATTTGAAAGAACAGTTAAAATAAAAGACAAAATTGCTCAAAATAACGCTCAAACCTTGAAAAACCGAATTGATCTCATCGAGTAAATTCTCTTGAACATCTTGATGATGCGCAAGACACCAGAGAATCCAAGCAATGCCAGACGATGTTGTGTCATGTCCTGAACTCTTTCAGAAACTTTCCAATCAACTCATCTTACCCTCAAACATGAATGTATCAACTTCTTCTCGAATATCTTCATCCGTCAAATTATTCGCTTCTTTTGCTTCTAAAAGGAAATCCAAAAACGTGACTTTATTGCCAAGAAATTTTCGATTTCCTTTTTCGAATTCTCGTTGACGATCGGATATTACCTAAAAGTGAAATGTTTGCTCAAATTTTTGCTTTAAACTTTAATCACTTTCTTTGTAAAATCCGTGAGATATTTGACATTTTCATTGAAGCGTTTGCGATGACCGGAAAGGAGCCAATAAGGAGGAAACCTTTACGAAAGTTTTATTATGAAATCATTTATATGAAAAGAATCTGATGCCTAAATCTGATACCTAAATCTGATACCTAAATCTGATGCCTAAATCTGATACCTAAATCTGATGCCTAAATCCGATGCCTAAATCTGATACCTAAATCTGATGCCTAAATCTGATGCCTAAATCCGATGCCTAAATCTGATACCTAAATCTGATGCCTAAATCTGATACCTAAATCTGATGCCTAAATCCGATGCCTAAATCTGATACCTAAATCTGATGCCTAAATCCGATGCCTAAATCTGATACCTAAATCTGATGCCTAAATCTGATACCTAAATCTGATGCCTAAATCCGATGCCTACCAATTCAGTGGATTCATCGACCATTGCATTACAAGAAAACCCATATCGATTAAAGCGGCCACGTAAGGATCCTCTTTGTTCTCGAGAGCGTTCACTGAGACGCCCATTGCTGATTCTAAAGCGGGAAAGTTGATGGGAATTTGATGGGAATTTGGAGGAGTTTCCTTCAAATTCCTTATCTTGGAGGAGATAAGGAATTTGAAGATAAAAACACTAAAGATAAACCGCAAATGATGTCAAGAGCGCAATTTTTCACAATCGGAAACAAATCGATCACTTTTCCATCAGACTTTTCGAGTACTTGGCATAGTTTCTGAAATATTTGTAAATCAGTTCTCTTTTGCTTTTCAGTTTTGCAAAGCTTCTGAAATATTTTTAAATCCGTTTTCTTTTTGGTTTTTGACTTTTGTAAAGCTTTAGAAACATTTGTAAATGAAAAAACGCACTCGACTCAAACGATCAAAAACTTCCACATATCCGTCGAGCATTTTGAAATGAAAAGTTGGAGTCAACATTCGGCGACGAGTTTTCCACTTTTCACCATCTCTAAAAAGGGCTTATGTTTTGCCCAAAACTGGGCCAGAAAGCGTGCGTTTCCAGGACGTTTCCAGGACGTTTCCACGATGTTTCCAGGACGAATTTCACTTACGCAGTCAACAATCCTTTCCCAATCCATGGAAGCACAAATTCGTAATCATCGCTTTTCGTGATTTCAACAGTAGAGTCGAGAATTGGCTAGATCGAGAAATTTAAATAAAAATCAACAAATTTACTTTCAAAAACCATCGGAAAAACCCGCTGGCTGGATCTTATGGGTCATACGACGCCGGCGGCTCTCCCGTTCCCATAGCGCAGTCGGCAGCGCGCTTCTCTACAGCTCACCCGGTCCCGGTTCGAATCCCGGTCGTTTCCCCCCAACTTTTATTTTTCAAATTTTTTTTAAAATGGTACAACTACTATATATTCTAAGATTTTCTAAAGAAGTTTTAGCTTTACTGATCAAAACACGGTTGAGAAAATTACCGTACAGACAGACACTGCTCTTTTATATATAGTACCAGCCCAGAAACCCGCCTAACCGCGGGTTTTTCCGGATGTTTTGCGGATGGACGGCTTTTGTCGCCATGGAGCAGTGGATAACGCGCCAGTCTATCGCCCGTACGCTCCGGGTTCGACCTCTCCGTGCGACTTGAATTGTGCTTTTTAAAAAAATCCAAAAGCACGTTGCACAACTACGTGCAATTCCCTATTCAAGGGCGAAAAAATCATGCAAACGGCCCTCTAGGGGATGAGGAGTAGGGCGCACGGACAGACGGACAGACAGATAGACGAACGGACAGACAGACAGACGAACAGACAGACAGACGAACGGGCGGACGGACGGACGGATAGACGGACGGACAGATAGACGGGCAGACAGACAGACGGGCAGACAGACGAACAGACGGACAGATAGACGGACAGATAGACAGACAGATAGACAGACAGATAGACAGACGTCTTAGTCCCTTTATATATAGTATTAGGTTGATGCAAAAGTCTTTTTCATTTTTTTCGTACTTCTGTTAAAAAGTAACAAATTCACGAATTAATCTATAGTTTGCTCTATAAAAAAAAGTGTTTTTTTGTTCAATTTGCATCTTTTTAAATGAATTTCGGTTCACTTTCAAGCAAATTCGAGAGTGAAAAACGCCTTTTTCGTAAAAATCTATAAAAAACTCTACGGAAAAATTGGCTGAATGAATTTCTCTGAAATTTTGGCGAAATATCAAACGTTTTTTTTCTCTATCTTTTATCTATTGACACGAAGATAGGTTTTCTTTAGCTAAGGTGTCTAAACCGCATCTTTAGCTAAGGTGTCTAAACCGCATCTTTAGCTAAGGTGTCTAAACCGCATCTTTAGCTAAGGTGTCTAAACCGCATCTTTAGCTAAGGTGTCTAAACCGCATCTTTAGCTAAGGTGTCTAAACCGCATCTTTAGCTAAGGTGTCTAAACCGCATCTTTAGCTAAGGTGTCTAAACCGCATCTTTAGCTAAGGTGTCTAAACCGCATCTTTAGCTAAGGTGTCTAAACCGCATCTTTAGCTAAGGTGTCTAAACCGCATCATCGAGTTAGCCCTTTTTGACTACCCGACTTCATACTCTCAAGAAAATCCAGGCATTAAATATTTTTAAACCCGTTTTAATGTTATTTTGCAGAAAAATAATTGCTTTTTCTAATGAAATCAACCGTAGTTTAATTGGTGCATTTGTTGGCTTGAAACGGCAGACGAAAAAAATGAAAAAGACTTTTGCATCAACCTAATAGATACCTTTATCCCTTCTCCATCCAAAGGAATAGCCAAATATTTGCTCATCACTTGTACGCACATCATATGGCCGCCATTGTTCAGTACTTTATCAGCTTCTCGGCGAAACCATGGCTCTAGTTCTGAATTTTCGATTTGCAAATATAAATTTTCTAATTGTTAACGTTTTTAATGACTTTTAGTTTGCTTTTTTGTTTATATCGAGCACTGTACTTCACTGAACAAATCACTGGACAAATATAATCACCCCGCACAAGTTGTCAGCTTCTTGCTTAACCGAGTTGAGTCTCTCTGGATGTAAAACCGATAAGTATCAATAATAATAATATATTCAATTGCAATTTTCTAAAATAAACCTTGATTCTCGAGTCTCCCAATCTCGAGTCCATTTCCGAATATCGGGATTCCCGTTTTCTGCGGCAATTTCCCCATCATAACATGAATTCGTCTCCATTTTGAAAAATATCGAAAGAATTTTGAAAAACAAATTGCAACAATTAGTGTCAATAAAAAAAAGAGAAACATTTCGATGTTTCTGATCACTTTTTTCAGCTGAAAACAATTTTATCCTTTTTTTTCTCAAAGAAACGAATCAATCAAAGCACAAGGACGCTTCAAGCAACCTTTTCATTGATAGTATTAGATTAAGAGCTAAAATTTCTTTATTAAATTAAGAGAGATCTTTATTAAATTCAAACAAATCAGCGTTTTTCAAGTAGCACACGAATTCCTTTATGTGGCTTGGTGACAATTTCTGTTTGTCCCTCGTTTTCGTGAAATCCCATTGTGGCTTTCATTCGATAATTCTTCACAATGTGCATCACCATCACTTTTTCTTCAAGTAAAGCGAAGCGTTGACCTGTAAAAATGCCTATGAAATACTAAAAAAACTTTTGCGACTACGCGACTGTACGAGGGGGATGGGGGACTATTACAGTATTTACGGTAGGTTATTTGGATGTATTTGAATACTGTAATAGTGCCCTACTCAAATAATGACGATGCGCAGTGTTGCATACCGCATTTATTCTAATAAACGCCACTCCCCTCGAACAACTTTAGACGCCTCGTTCTCAGTCCCATTTTGAGATATTTTTATGTTTAATATACCAAAAGATAGCCCTTAATTTCTTCTATCTTTTGGTATATTAAACATTGAAACATCATAAAATCAGGCTGAGAACGAGGCATCTAAAGTTGGTCGAGGGGGGCGGCGTTTATTAGAATAAATACGGTAGTCTAGCTTTGAACGAGTTTTTCTCGATACTGGTTTAAGCTACAATGCGCGTTTAGGTATCAAAAAATAGCCCTGAGTTTCAGCTATTTTTTGATACCAAAGACGTATTTTTTGAAAGTACGGGCGCTTTGAAAGAAATGAAATACTAAAAAGCTTTTGCGACTACGCGACTGTACGAGGGCGGTGGGGTACTATTACAGTATTTACGGTAATTATCTCCAAATTTAGTTGCTGATTGATAAATTTGAGTAAAATGATTGACAAAACAAAAAGCAACATTTTTAGAGTACTCGAAAGGGGTAAACAACCTTTTTCTAGAGCACTAGTAAGGCAGAAGATTTTATTTAAGGATACTAGTATAGAGATTTGTGTTGGTGTAGTTTATTGATAGAGAAATGCGGGTAAATGAGAGGACTTCGATTCTCAGCTAAAATCCCAAAAAGATTACAGGATTTTCAAGAAAACCCTTCCCCATTTCAACTCAAATTTCTAAAAAGTTTAAGTGGTTCAAGGATGAATTTTTGATGGATTTTTGATGGACTTCTCATCTATGGAAATCATGTAAATTTCCAGAAAGTCAAAGAATTGTGAGACCAAAAAAAACAGCTTTAACATCGGACCAAATTTCTGAAAAAGGTTGACCTTGCGTCACTTAAACCTTTTCAGATTTTGACTTGAAATGGGAAACCTTTTTTTGAACACTCTGTAGAGTGTTCAACTCATTCATCACTTTAAAAAGTTACTCATAGAAATCTACAAGCAACCATCTATACAAGAATTCCGTGGAACTCACCAATGCAATTCCTTGGCCCAGCCGAGAATGGAATGTAATCGAATGGATTGTAATCTTTTTCCTTTGATGAATCGAAACGTTCCGGTTTAAAGTCGAGATAGTTTTCACCCCAAACCTAAACACTTTTAAAGTACTTTACTGATGTACTCTATTAAAGTACTCTATTAAAGTACTTTATATTAAAGAAATTAGCCTACATTTCTACTCGAAATCTCTGAACTTTTCGTCCGAATAACTCTTACTTTTGGGTTTCTCTGGATAACGATTGGCGAGATCAAAATCGTTGCGCCGGCTGGGAGAATGTATTGACCTGAAATTGGATTTCTTTATCTATAAAGAAACTTTAGCGATTATAAATCCATATAAATCCAAAATCCAAAATGAAACCTGTATTGAAATCATTTTGTAGATCCCTTTGAATTAGTGGAACGGGAGCCCAGAGTCGATTCGATTCCTTGATTACCGAATCGAAATATGGGGTTTCTTTAATCGATTCAACAGTGATTTCCGTTGAAGAATCAAATCCTGAAAAGGAAATATCAAAATCTTTAAGTTTTACGTGACTGTGACTCTATTGAACAAAAACTAAAAGCCTTGAGCACCAAAAGAACGATTTATAAGCGTTTATAATTAAAAAGCTAACAAGAGAAGGTTAAGGTGACCAAATGGCATCTGCTATCTACCATTTGACGCAGAATTTCACACTGATTCCGAAGATGGTTTCATTTTTTGCTTTACACTACCCTATTAAACGTTATACGAGTTTAAAGTTTTACAAGGCAAATGATGAGAATTTAGTTTTCCAGGTATTTCCAGGTATTTAAAAAGCGTCGGTGGCTGAATGGTAGTGGGTTAGTATGAGAAGCGAACAAGCGAACATTGTCTGGTTGCCTTGTAAAACTTTAAACTCGTATAACGTTTGATAGGTTAGCGCAAAGCAAAAACTGGAACCATATTCGAAATCAGCGTGTAACTCTGCGTCGAATAGTATATAGCAGATGCCATTTGGCCAGCTTTACCTTTCCCTGTTGCACAAATTTCTTGGTGTTGGGCTATCCAATTTAAATATTTTTGGGTCACTAGATGCGCCAAGTCTTTCTCTATCGATTGGTATAAAAACCTAATTAAATTGGACAGCTAAACACCAAGAAATTTGAGCTTAAAGCTAGATTGCCAATGGGAAAAGGGGTGGAGCCACTGGGACATCTTATATACGCCCCACCTGTTTCCCATTGGCAATCTAACTTTGAGCTCAAATTTCTTGGTGTTGAGCTGTTTAATTTAAATCATTTTACTACCAATCGATAGAGAAAGACTTGGCGCATCTAATGAAACCAAGAATGATGAAATTTGGCAGCTCAACATTGAGAAATTTGTGCTCAAAGCTGGGTTGACCAACGGAGCGGAGCTATTGTGGAACCTTTTATACGCGAGGCCACGCCCCTTTCTCCATTAACAATCTAACTTTGAGCTCAAATTTCTTGAACAGCTAAACACCAAGATATTTGAGCTTAAAGTTGCCAATGAGAAACAGGCGTATATAAGATGTCCCAGTGGCCCCGCCCCTTTTCCCCGTAGCAATCCAACTTTGGGCTCAAATTTCTTGGCGTTGAGCTGTTTAATTTAAATAGTTTTACTACCAATCGATAGAGAAAGACTTAGCGTATCTAATGATACTAAGAATATTTAAATTGAATAGCCCAACACGAAGAATTTTGAGCTCAAAGTTCGATTGTCAATGACAAAAGGGGCGGGGCGTCCGATAACCCAAAAGAACGGTTTTTTTTCCGAATTTAATATGCATGCTTTCTCAAAATTCAAAAACCCACCATCTAGAGCTGTTTTAATTTCTTCATAGACTTTTTCCTGGATCTCTGAATGACACGCGAGTGACCAGAGGATCCAAGCGATCCCAGAAGATGTTGTGTCATGACCTGGGAATTGATTTACAGATTTCTATATGAAGATAACACTAGCAACTTAAAAGTAATGAATTTGTAAGAAAAGATTTGCAGTAAATGAGCAAATTAACTATAAATAGACAAATACAAATACAATTATGACTAGATTAAGCCGAATTTTGGGGGGTGGGACAAATGCTACCTTTTTTTTGCGCACCTGGACATTTGCGCACCTCTCTTTCGGAAAAGGCCTTAGGAAAGGTCGTAGAGCTTCAAAAATGTTTTCATAGAAGGAAATCGTATGCGTAGATTCCGAATTTCGACAAATCAGACCTCGCTGACACGTCAAATTTGGGCTAGAAGGCAAAAACTGCGGAAAAGCGTTAAGTTGTGGTTCCTTGAAATAAGGAACCAAATTTAGAGATAAGGAACCAAATTTAGAGATAAGGGACCAAATTTGACGTGTCAGCGAGGTGTGATTTGTCGAAATTCGGAATCTACGCATACGATTTCCTTCTATGAAAACATTTTTGAAGCTCTACGACCTTTCCTAAGGCCTTTTCCAGAGAAAGTTCAAATTTCTGCACTGAAATACCTTCAAACATGAACGTATCGACTTCTTCTCGAATATCCTCATCACTCAATTTGTTCTCTTGATTCGCTTCTAGAAGTAGATCCAAGAATGTAATCTTATTCCCCAATTTCTTTCGATTTCCACTCTCGAATTCTTTCTTTCTTTGAGCAATTACCTAAATTTTGTTAGAAATTTTCGAATTTTAGAAATTCTACATTTTTTGTGAAATCAGTCAGCTCTTTGACGACTTTTTTATATAAAGATGATCTTCCAGAAAGAATATAGAAGGGTAGAAACCTGAAAATAAACAAAATTCGAGCAGTTTAAGCGATATGTCAAAGACAACTACAAGAGGCAAAACTTTGAGTGTTTTTGTGTTCACATGTTTTAAACCAGATTTTCTCGTTGTCAGCACTCTAACTCAATAAAAAGCAGCGCTTTCAACAAAGTGAATAGACAATTCTTTCAATATTTAATTGTATTTACTATTGTAGATACGATTAAATACGATTAAATGTTTAAAATAGGTTTATCAGTTTACCAATTTATCGGATTAAGTGCCCATTGAAGCAACAACCATCCCATATCAAGCAATGCTTTCACATAAGGATTTTTCTCTGTTTCCAACGCGTTTACCGAGACTCCCATTGCTGATTCTGAAGGGTTTTTTAAAGATTTATATAAAGATATTTATATGTCGTAGTCGATGAAGGATTTCAGCCGAAGAAATCTCAAAAATGAAATCTTGAGTTATGGTATTGACTCAAGTCAATACCACAAACTCAAGCTCTCTAAAAGGCGCTTAAAAGCTAAAAACGCATTCTAGTTGCAGTTGCATTTTGCATTTTTCATTGCAAGTTGCATTTTTCGACCAAACTAAACAACAAAAATAAACAATAATACCAAAAAACGAGTTTATAAACAATAATAAAACAAAAATAAACAATAATACCACCGGTTCACGAGTTCTTTGACCTAAAAGCAAACAAAATAAAGCGTCATAAAGAAATTCGATAGGACACAAAAGTAAAAGCTTACCAATCTGTTGGCGAACTCCTTTCCGTTTCCGGCGGACTTTCCGGCGGACTAAAGAATTTTTGGGGCTCCAAACCTTCCGAATATTTCCATTAGATGATCGACAACTTCAAATTGTGTTTTCCTTTGCAATGCCCGCAAAACGACGAACTTTGTGAAATGATCCTGGTAGACCATCAAAAACTTGAATTCTCCATCGGAAACGGCTTGAAGATCGATTAAATCCACCTGGCATCTCTCGTTGAAATTCTTTGTAACAATTGGCTTCACGACTATTCCTTTCTTTGGTGTTCCTTTTTTGAGCTCGCATTCTGGGCACAACTTGACAAAAATTTCGATTACTTCCTTTGAGACCCCATGATAGTCTCGTAGTCCTTGCCACATTATATCTCGTCCGGCGTGCCCAAGTCGTTGGTGAGTGGTCGTTAACAGGCCAAAGAGCTCCTCTGTCTTAACGACTTTCTTCGGTTTGTCCAAATCGCCTTTGGTTCCATGATTGTAAAGCACCTCTTGATTCAATTTGTATCGAAGAGAGAATCGCACCACAAGTTTTGTGTTTTTTTCGATGGCTTGAAGTCTTCATTCCGCAATTGTTGGAGAACGGTGACGATTGGAGAACGGTGACGGTGGTGTATTTCTCGCTTGAAATGATCCTGGTAGACCATCAAAAACTTGAATTCTCCATCGGAAACGGCTTGAAGATCGATTAAATCCGTGCCTTTGACGAATGACGAAAAGGGCCCATTTATAGCCTTTGGTTATAGTATGATAAAATGCGCACTCTTCAGAATGCGTTTTTAGCTTTTAAGCGCCTTTTAGAGAGCTTGAGTTTGTGGTATTGACTTGAGTCAATGCATAACTCAAGATTTCAAGACTTCATCGGCTACGACATATATAAAGATCAGCTGTTTAATGAAATTGTTCGAATTTTTATATAAAACCCACCACAAATCACATCAAGCGCACAATTTTTGACGATCGGGAAGAGATCGACTTCCTTGCCATCGAATTTTTCGAGATATTTGCAAAGTCGCTAAATTTCATTCCTGACTTTTAAATGTGTTTACTAGCTACCGTAATCCTACTAGATTTTTGTTTTATAGTAAATTAGGATCAAAATGAAGAACCCACTCGACTTTCTCGATCAAAAATTGCCACATATCCGTCAAGCATTTTAAAATGAAATGTTGGTGTCAACAGACGTCTTCTCGTTTTCCATTTTGTTCCCGTACTAAATTAAACAATGTTTTTCATTTCTACGGTTTAACTGAACTACGAAGCTCTTTCGTAAGACCATGTTTTAGAAAGCATTTTAGCTCTTTCCTTGAATCGTGGTCTTTTGAAAGTTTCGTGGTCTTTTAAAAGTTTGATGGCCTATTGAAAGTTTCGTGGTCTTCTGAAAGTTTCCTGGTCTTTTGAAAGTTTGATGGTCTTTTAAAACTTTCGTGGTCTTTTAATAGTTTCATGGTTTTTTGTCAAAAAAAAAGCCCGGTTTCGTGGTCTTTTGCAACCTTTTGTCTATAATCAGAATTTAAAGAACAATTGTAAGAACAACAATTTTAGCATCCCAGCAAAACGCAAGGCTTGGCACGTTTTGCGTTTCCTTGGACACGCAAATGTTTGTGAAGCTGACATTCACATACAGCCAAGACAGACATCCTTGCCAACTTGACAATATCCTGTTGAGACCACGAGGAATCCTGTGCGATGTCGCTCAACATCGGCCCCAGGAAATGGTCAGCACAAACGAGAGGCTTGCTCTTTGTGAGTGTCTGTTTGCCGTAAGATATTTCCAGCCATCGAGTCACAAGTCTCGCATCTTTTATTCCGATGTTTGATCTTCCTCAGTGCCTCTTCAACTCAAGCCCATAGAGGTAGAACGACATCGTTATCGGCTTCATCGTCCATCTCATCAGAGAAAATGCAAGGCTTGGCACAAGCCTTGCATTTTGCTGGGATGTTAAAATTGTTGTTCTTACGTTTTTACGATTCTGATCAAATAAACTGGTGCATGTGGAACTTAATAAAATACGTTAAAACAATTTCAAAAGACTTTTGGTGAGGAAAAAACAAAAAATTGCAAAAGACAACGAGACTTTTAAAAGACCACGAGACTTTTAAAGGACCACAAGGCTTTTAAAGGACCATAAGACTTTTAAAGGACCACAAGACTTTTAAAGGACCACGATTCAAGGAAAGATCCAATATTTCACTATCATTGTCAGCAAAGTCCGGTAAATCAAATCGCTAAGATTCTAAATTGAACATCGAGCTTTCCACTTTTCTAAACCGTATCCAATTATCGTTCTTTATCTTCACGAGTATTTAACAAAGATTAGAAGTTTGTTGTTAAATAGATAAATAAACTATGTCTAACTACAGTAAGCTGCGCTCAAAATATTTAAACAATAAGCTATTCAAGTATCCAACTCACCTTGTCAACAATCCAGTCCCAATCCACGGCTCAATAAATTTATAATCGACTCCTTTCGTGATTTCAGTATTTGAGTCCAAAATTGGCTAAAATTTTGTAATCTTTAGATCTTTAGATCTTTTTGATCTTTAGATTCTTTAGATCTTTAGATCCTTTAGATTCTTTAGATCTTTAGGTCCTTTAGATCTTTAGATTCTTTAGATCTTTAGATCCTTTAGCTCTTTAGATCCTTTAGCTCTTTAGATACCTTAACAGCTTCAGCATTCAACGGAACGAGAAAATACTTGTTCACCAATTGTAATTTCATATAATTGTGCCCTTCACTTAATGCCACATCAGCGTGTTTCCGAAGCCATTGCGGGAGTTCTAAAGTTGAATGTTTTAACTAGAAGAATATTGGAAGTTTAATAATCAGGTTTATTACCGTAAATCCTCCAATAGAAGCTCTAATAGAGGCTCTAATAGAAGCTCTAATAGAAGCCCCTATCGAAGCGTCGCGTACTCAAAGTTTCCTCTTCAAACAAACGCTCATATCTCGACACTAGTTTCTTTGTTTCTACACGTTTAGGTATCAAATTAAAGCAGAGAAAATGGGTAATTTTTTGAGGTATAACACTTGTCTACAGCTCTAACCAGCGTTTAGAAAAAACTGATTAAAAGAAAATGAAAAATCGGCTTTTTTTGCCACTTTTTAATCAAAAAAACCGATTTTTCATCATTTTTCAAACATATTTTTCTATGCCCTGGTTAATGCTAGAAATATTTATTATATCTCAAAAAATTACTTTATTTTGATACCTAAACCTGTAGAAACAAACGTACTAGTGTCGAGATATGAGCGTTTGTTTGAAGAAGAAACTTTGAGTATGCGACCCTTCTATAGGGGCTTCTATTAAAGTGTTTACGGCATTAAATTGCTCAGAATAGATCTATAAAAGCTGTTTCTATTTTTCTCTTATCTGATCTAGCCAAGTTTTACCGTAAGTTTCGTTTTTTCTGCAAGTTAATGCGTTTGCTAGAAGCTAAGCTGGATTCTGGCCTATTTTAGCCAGTTCTCTGCAATTTTAGCCCACAAAAGGCTATAAATTTCTCAGAAATCAGCCCTGGATCTGGCTAAATGCCTTGTTTGGGTTAAAAATTGACTCTAACTTGGTTTGTACAAGCAATAACGTGTCTCTGTCATAGTTTAAAAGGTTGGGAAACTTGTCTTGCTTGGATTTGGATGGATTTTGATGAATTTTGATCGGGGAATCAATAAGATCCAAGGCTGATTTTTAAGTTATCTAACTAGTGGGGAATTTGGCTGTGATAATAGATCAATATCTTCATCAATAAGATCAATAAAGCTTTATTAAAGCATCTTTATTATACAAGCTTTCACTGACTCCATGTTGGCAATCTGCCAAGCTCAAATCCATTTCCAATGATCGGAATCCCTGGCGGTCCCCAAACACTTTCCACCATTCGATGAATTCGGCGCCAATTTTGGACGAATCTTGCCAATTTCCATAGCAAAAATGCGAATAGAGAAGATATTGATAAAGCAAAGAGGTTCATTTTGAACTAAAACTAACTAAAATCCTTTTAACTTGTCCAAGCACTTCAAAAAAAGCTGTCAAAAGTGGCTCAAATCAAACAAAAGCAGAAGAAAAGATGGGGAAAAGCGGGAGATTTTTGATGAGAGCTCGTAAAATCAGTTGAACTCTCATAAAATAATTGAGAAAAGTATAAAGATTGGAAAGATTTTGAGCGTAATTTGAAGAGTTTTAAAGAAATTTATCTTTGGATATCTTTGGATATCTTTGGAGATCTTTGAATATCTTTGAAGATCATTTTGAAAAGTCAAATGGATCAAATGATGTGCGTTTACTTTTACGGATAGCAGAAAGTCTAAAAAGATGTTTGAATCAGTCAATTGAATGACTTTTGCATTGGATTACAAATGAAAGTGTAGACTAGCAAGTTATAATTACTAGAGACAAGATTGAAGCAGCTACTAGAGACAAGATTGAAGCACTGGTGACAAGATTGAAGCAGCTACTAGTGACAAGATTGAAACAGCTACTGGTGACAAGCTTGAAGCAGCTACTAGTGACAAGATTGAAGCAGCTACTGATGACAAGATTGAAGCAGCTACTGATGACAAGATTGAAGCAGCTACTGGTGACAAGATTGAAGCAGCTAGAGTTGAAACAGCGAGATCCCTAGAGTTGAAAGCTTTGGTAGCTTTGATAGATCAATTTACACATCTACTATTAACAATTTGTTTGTTCTATAGCCTAAAATTGTGCTAAAACCGTCTGGTATCAAACCAGGAAAATCGTTGCATTCTCTGATAGAGTTCGAACTAGAGCAGATCAAAAAATGCGCCGAACAGCTAGTGACAAGATTGAAGCAGCTACTGGTCTTGTTGATGTTTTTATCACTGATAAAAGCATCAATAAGACCAGTAGCTGAGATAATTGATAACATAAAGGATGACAAAAATGATCTTTTATCAAAATTGGGGCGCTTTTTTGAGTTCTATTTTGGCCAGCTGGTCGAGCGGCTAGGAGTCTTATCTTTTAAGCGGAAGGTCGAGGGTTTAATCACACTGGCAAGATTAAAATCTTTCTTTTTTCCACCAAGTGGGTTTTTTCTTTCTTTTGGGTAGTAGGGATAATGGGGATAACGACGGCCGCAGCGCCATAAAAATTGCGTTTTTAGACCTTTATGTTATGTATGTTATATTATGTTATCCTTTGTTTGTGGCGAATAGCCACTAAAATGTTACCTAACTCTGAGAGTCTAAAAATTGGAAAAGTATTGCGGAAATCCGAGCGCCTTCATTCTATTTCGCGGCCCAAATCATTTATTGATTTTTTATTGATATTGATAAAACTTTTTCGACTACGCGACTGTACGAGGAGGGTGGGGTACTATTACAGCATTTACGGTAGTTCAAGTGAGATCAGATATCTCGAAACAAGAAATAACGTGTCTTGAGTGAAGAGTGTCAAGCACGCAAAGAAGATTTCTTTACAAGCACATTATTGGCTTTCAATTGAAGATTTCTTTACAAGCACATTATTGGCTTTCAATTAAAGATTTCAATAAATCTGTCCCTAGTTTTCTTCAAGTTTTAGCTAATTGACAACGTAAAATATAGAGGAAAATAGAGGAAACGTAAGATAAAAAGAAAATTCGTTAATAGTTCGTTAATTTGTTAATAGAAATTTGTAGATATGATCAAATGAGTACTTTTTTTCGGTAAATTGCCTTGAAAATGGCAACAAGAGACTGGGTTTTCGTGAAAAAAGATATGCTTTTTTTTCGCCTTTTCTTCGCCTTTTCTTCGTCTTTTCTTTCTCGATTACGAATTGATATCAATCTTTCCGTAATGCTCGTGAAAAGATATCGATCTTTGATCTCCGGAAAAAGTTACAGACGCCAAAGAAAAAGTTGGGATTGGAAATTTTCGTGGAAACGGTGATAAGTCAAATTTAAAGCTTTAATTTTGATTTTAATTTGATTTTTTTCATATTCTAATGATTTTTCTTTCAAATGCAAAGGTTTTAAATGATATATAGATATAGATATTCAGGAATTCAGGGCCTTATTCAGGATCTGAAATAAAGTGCGCTAGATTTAAGAAGAATACACATGAATTCATACACATAACACGAAAAGGGCCAATAAAAAAGCAAAACGATAGAATCTATGGAATATATGGGTAGCACAGATAACGTCAAGAATCCACTAGAGCTTCAGGATCAAGCTCAAGCTCAAGCTCAAGCTCAAGATCATCTACAGATAATTTAAAGCTTTCGAGACTATTGGACTCTCTCAAAACTCTGAGGAACGCAAAACTCGATTCCAAATTCTTGCAGTTCTTATTGGAAAAGAGTTATACACAAACTTATTGGAAATATCAAATAGAATTTCATTGAATCAAAAGAAAGCCAAGCAACAACAAAGCAAAAAAGCAGAGCAAGCAGGAAATCAAGCACCCAATTCAATTCAAACAATTGTCCCAAGAATTTGGGCATAGTCACGCCAAATTGGGAATCAGCTCAGTCGTTGACTGCTTCTTACCCTTCAAAGAGGGAAGCACTTTATACCAGAACGCTTTGCCAGGTCGCAAGCGATTACGCGACCGCATAAAGAACACCTCACCAGTCATTTACATTTCTCTTTCGCTTTTTGCCTTGCTTTCAAATAAGATTTGAGCTTAAATTTCTTCCCTTCGAGGATGGGAATTTGAATCTTTATTTAGTTTTAGAAAAATGAGAGAGTGTGATCGGGGGTCTTGGCTGGTTAAACAGCAGTTAAACAGAGAAAACAATGCGATCTGCCTCGTCGCATGATTTTCTTAGGATTTCGTGATCCAATTGAGTTCTATTTTCAATCATTTGAAACCTGAAAACCTTAAGTGTCCTCTTAGAGGCAAGTTAAGTTCAAGAGAAATGGGGACAAGTCAAAGTTACGTTAATCGAGAGTTACCGTAATATTTTCAACAAAGGTTTTGTTCAATTTTAGACAACTGACAACTAATTCCTGTATGGTAAACATCATCAAAAAATTTTCAACAAAAATCCGGTTTCGGTCAATTTTCCAAGAAGTGAACCGGAAAATCACCGAATCACGAAAATTTAGGGAACTTTTTATAAGTACAATCCGTAATCGAATCTTTCGTACTTGATCGTAAACATGATTTTATCAGCATTTTCCAAAAGCTTTTTTATTTTTTGGTGCTCGATCTAGAGAAATTTACAGAAAAAAAGTTTTATTCTAATAATGATACAATAAACTTATAAACAAAAGTACTCGTAAAATGCAATGAATAGAAGATAAGGCTGTAAATTTCACAAAATTTATGGCAAAGAAACCTTTTTTAAAGACATCTCCATGGATAACAACGAGGACAGAAGGTCCGATTTTGATCTAAATCCCACAGCGCTGCGATCTCCTCGCTGGAGAGTTTCACCTAGAATTTTAGTTTAGTAACTAGTGCGCCATTTTATTACAGTACTGTAGATTAAGGATTACTGTAGACTTAAGTTCGACAAATTTTTAAACTTTTATATAGATTCAAGAATTGTCTTTCAACCATTGAAAGCAATTTTTTGTCTTCTGGTGTGTACCAGAACTTCCAAGCAATGCAGCACAGATACTGGAAGTTTACAAATTGTTCATACCTGAGTGGTCAACTTGATATTATCGTGAATGCGTTGTGGGGTGGCCGATTTGGGGATGATTCCGACATTTGTGTGCAACGGGAAAGCGTAGAGAATCGTCTAAAAGATCGAAATTAGATAGGTGGAAATAAGATTTCTCAGATATTGCCAAAGAGCAAATAACTGCTGAACTAGAACTATCAAAAGAAACTGCTCAAGTTTCATAGCTCACTAGAGTATTCAATCTTTTTACCTGTGGTGAAACGTTGTGCGTTTGAGCGGCTTTCTTCACAGCATCCTCATTGAGAATCTCGAGATTTCCCCAGCAGAGCGAGGAGAACGCCTAAATTTAAACAAATTCTCATTTATCCTTCAAATAACATCAATCAAAGTGATAGTAGTTTGCCTAGTTTTGGCTTAGATTCTAAAGGGTTCATCCCAGTTACAGAAAATGGGACTTTTCAGTACGAGCTGTATTAGAATTGCTAGTTTCTAAGGTTCTGAATTCTTGCACTATTCAAGCCAAAAGATCTTACATTATACTAGTTCGATTAGATAAAAAAAGATAGAATCAAAGGTTCGATAATAGACTTGTCATCCGATGGATCGAATCGGGATTACATCAGATCGGATTGCCTCATATGATGATTCGATCAGAAATATTCAATCAATTCAGTGAAAATCAATTTTTTTACTGCCATTCATTCTTTATGAACGACTTTCTTTATTGCTAGAGTATAAAAAAACTTGTAGCGACTCTTCGCTTATCACCCAAATTGCTTAAAGTAATTGGTTTTTGTATAATAAATGTAACCGATAAAAGCCTCTATCGAATTGAATCCGATCCGATTCAATTCAACAAAATTTCGTTCAAATAGCAACTCTCGATAAGTCTTTTGACTATAATTAAATCAAATTTCGACTTTAAAAATCAAATCTTCGCAAATCTTGCTTGAATCTTGGGCTAAAATCCCACCCTAATCACTGATGTCTCTGATTAGTGGTTGACTATTATATAAGTGACTGATACTACTGCTACTGTAGCTCGTTTTTACTCAATTCTTAAACTCACTTGAATGAAAATCCCCTTGGTTTCGCAGAAAAACTTCAGCGCCGGCTTTGTGCAATATGGATGGTATTCGACTTGATTCACGGCAGGAATCACCTAAAAAATTTGATTTGATTTGAAACTCATCTAGAGTTAATCTAAATTTTTAAGAATTTTTTCTAAATCTTGACCTTTGCATATTTGAACAGCTCTTCTAGATGGAAAACCTCATAGTTGGAGACGCCGATTGAGCGGATTGTGCCTTTTCCTGAGAAGTTTAAGATAAAATTAGTTATTTTATTTAAAATAATCGCTTACCAACAAATTCCTCCAACGTTTGATATACAATTTGTCGTCCTTTTTTGTTAATTTCATGTTCTTCATCTTTTCCCGTGTCTCGATCGCGTGGATAATGGAGAAGAACGAGGTCGAGATAGCTAAAAAGGAAAAAATCTATCTATCAGTTAATTCTAGAAATCTTTGAGACGTTCTCTATTGGCATAGCTTCAATTGAGTATATTAACTTAACCGAATCACAGATTTTAATTGAAGCCAATCCAAATACTCAGTGTGTTCCAGCAAAAAATCTAACCAGATTCAGAAGAACAGGAAAAGTCACAAAAACAGCTCTCGAACAACCAAACCCAGGTAATTTGAAGTAAATAGCATTCAAGATATGGACTAAATGCTAAAGATAATCTGAGTGAACAGCATACATAAGCCGGAAAAAGTTATAGTTATGAGTTGGAGTTATTACTAGCAGAAAGTTAGGAATTAGACTTGAAGATCTGGGAGAATTGGAAGCATCAAACGTTTTTCTATTTGCTACAGCTTCTTTTCCAGGATTATCAAACACTCACTCAGTTTGCAATTTCTCGAGCGATTCTTTCAAACACCGTTTCGTGTGAAAAGCTGGGTCTTCATTGATGATTGGGACTTTTGTCGTGATGAAAATGTCCTCTCGAGTCAGACCGAATTTCGGTAAAGAGTTCTAAAAAATTAAATAATTGGTTTTGAAATTTCAGAAGGTTTACCTTCAAAGCATCGCCAATCTCCTTTTCATTCTCATAGATATGAGCTGTGTCGAAGAGACGATAACCGGCTTCGAGAGCTGCTTCGATCGCTTTCTCCATACTGTCAACCGTGGTGATCCTTGATAAACCTAAAAATACACTTTAAAAGAAACTTGGTTAGCAAAAAGACCATTTTTTCGTACTTTGGCGGTTGGGAGGGGTCACTTTTATCTTGGCTTCGTTGGATCTAATGTTTTGAGTGGTTGTATTTATACCTTTTATCTATTCTAAGATAATCAAATACGCTTAATAGATTGTTGAGCTAGTTTTTTGGCAATTCTAGCCTAATCTCATGTACTTTAACCATCAAACGCTACCTCAAAATCATGCTTACCTTGAAAATCAAATAAAAGCGGCAATGTGAAACTTGAAACATGTTGTAAATAATGTAAATAAAAGTATAAGCATTTTTGATTCTCCTAGAATAGGTAGATAAAAGGTATCAATACAACCATTCAACACGGTAGATCCAATTAAGTCAGAATAAAAGTGACCCCTCCCAGCCACCAAACCCCATTTTTATGTTTTTATAACAAACTCACCCAATCCAATAAACGGGATATCATTTCCAGAATTCAACACATGCGATCCACCAGTGACTTGTTGAAATTTTGCGGTAAACGTCAAAGAAGTCATTTTTCCTGAAAACAAATTGTCAAAAACTTATTAAGGAAAATACATTAAGTCAAAATCGAATTTTATAAAAGAATTTTCAAGGATGAACTATTTAGAAATGGATATTTCAAAGGCAAATGTTTTTGTGTTGTGTTCATTTTTGCGTTTTTTGTAAATCGATCAACAAAGAGAACGCACAGAGTACAAAAAGAACAGAGAAAGAGAAATGTTTTTGTCGATGTATCGAATGAGGGGAGAAAAAACAAAGCAGAAAAGTAACGTATTACGGTTTCAAACATTGCAATTCTGGGTCGAGACCTTATCTAAACTGCTAAATCTTTTAACCCAGAAACACTAATTCCAAATGATTTGCTAAAACGAGAGAAAAACAAAACGATTCGCGGGTGGGTTGGATTGACTGACGTTTATAGAGAAAAGATGTTCAGAATAACTCTAATAACTTTTAATAATTTTATCGGTGTTATGAAAGACACAGGTCCGAAGATCAACAAAGCGGAAAGACCGGAAAAAGTACAGAAACTCTAAAACTTTAGAACTTACATTTGTAAAAGAAACATGGAAGGAGGGGCGGAAACAATAAAAGGAGGAGGGAAATTTGAACAATAAATAGAATCTCATAAAAGGATAGAAAAAGGAAAACATACACACGCAAAAGACACGGCGAAGCGGGCAACGATTCTTGAATTTTGAAGGCAGGGGACTTCCTTTTATAGAAAAAAAAGGGAGACGCTGCCTTGAGTACGGTAGCTTAGATGTAGTTTAGAACTTAGGGATGGAAAGTTGCAAACCTGTACTCGAATTGCGGGAATTGTGATACTAGCAAATGCGTTTTTTGCAACAAAATCCTTTGCGTCAATTTCATTTGCGCCAAATTTGCGCTTAGAAAAATCACTATGACAAATCACTTTTTTCCAACTTCTAACCAACTTTTTTCAATTTTCTGCTTCACAATTTGAGTTCTCACTGTTTTCAATTAGAAAACACGTTTAAATACGGATAGAAAACCTATATGGACCCCAAAAACAGTCATTTTTGTGTCCCAAATTGGGCTTTTTATTCTCTAAATTAATCTCATGCTATTTTCAGATTCAGTGATAGCGGAAAAATAGCGAGCATTGTCGACGAGAAAAAACGAAAGAAAAAAAATATAAATGATCAATCAGAGTTGGTAGGAAAGTGTATTGAAAAGTGCAAATTTGACGCAAATGGCACTGTAGCATGATCAACCGCGAACCCTTCTCCCAATGCACGCTATGACACCCGATGGTCGTTGGTAATAAGTTCGAGTAATTTGGAGTCATCCAGTTGGAGTGCCGCTCCACGGCCCTCTGCTTCTTTCAAAGATTTGTCCTCAGAACGAAACTTGGCAAACCATACTTGACACGTTCTTTCGGAAGATAAGTCCTCCCCATATATCTTTTTAATATTAGCAGCTGCCAAGCCTGCACTGTGCTCTTGTAGGAACTCATGAAGCATGACATGACGAATATTTCCCGGTGGCAGATTGTCGAGTGCAATAGAAGAAATGAAGAAAAATACAAAAAAATCAAAAGCTGGAAGCATAATTTTTTCGCAATAATTAGAGGAAATGTTGAAGTAAACAAACGCCTCTTTCAGCTGGTTTTATGCTGTTGTTTTTTATCTGCGAGTCTCGCGAAATAGTCCGCAGTTTTCAATTCACCAATCCAATATATCATAAAAAAAAGGATAAACAAGAAAAGAAAAGCAAAAGATATAAAATAACAACATATAGGTGGCACCAAATGGTCACTGATAAAGCTGACACCCGCAGGATCATAGTTATGATGCACGCTCTCTAAATCGATTTAGAATAGAAAAAGAAAGTCTTTCCTAGATACTTTCCTTATCTCTACAAATTTGGTTCCTTATCTCTTTCAATTTGGTTCCTTATCTCTCTAAATTTGGTACCTTATCTCCCTAAATTTGGTTCCTTATCTGTACAAATTTGGTTCCTTATCTCTACAAATTTGATGCACGCTTAATTATGATGCACGCTGTAGACGTGAATGCAAAAGCAAGATTATTGTGAATTCTTGACTTTCTATTTTTGACAAAAGAAACCTTTTTCAAGTTTCGTTTTCTTTTTCTGGGGTCCCTCGCTTGCAAAATTCATTCTTTTAGACCGTTTTGCCGCTTTTTTTGAGAAAATATCGATCATTTTGAGGGAGAAAAAGTTTATTTTAAACGTATAATTGATTTTTCAAAACAATAAAAGCTTTGCTTCTTTGTTTATCACCTACTAAACAAAAAGCATTAAAGATTAATCAAAAAAAAAATGCAGCTCTGCGAGTTCCGCGAAATAGCCTGCAGTTTTCAATTCACCAATCCAATATTAATTTTCTATATGCTAAATTTTATGAAACAAATATTTCAGAACCCTCAAAAATCACCTTTCAACTCTCCAAAAAGGATATTCTTTGAGACTCGGATCTTTACTGATAAACATTTTTCGAACAAAAAAGATAAAAAAGTGTTTAGTGATCAGTAGAAAATCAAAAAATTACAAATTTTTTGACAAAAAATGACTCATTCAACTGTTTTACACTGAAAAAATTCAATTTTCAGCTAAATTTCCTCAAAAATGATCGTCGAAGTACTCGATTTTAAAGGGAAAAATGTGTCTAGGGTAAGATTTTTTAAAATTTCAAAAACTATTCTAAAATTCCCATTTTTCTTATCGTTTTATAGAATTTTTACAATCAAATTGATCATAAAAGTGGCTGTGTTCACTTTTTCGTTTTTCAGTGCTGAACAAAAAATTGCAAACTTCATCTATTTTTTCTGATTTCTCCTCAAGAAAATAAATTTCTTTTTCTAAAATAAAGTTACTCAGTTATTCAGTTATTCAACGTTTTCTAAAAAGTGCTCACTTAAAAAGCGATCGTAATCCGAGTTGATTAATCTCATTTAAACTACACATTAAAGTAAGTACAATAGCTTTTTCTTAAGTAAACCTTTTAACAAAATTGTTAGCAAAAACCTCACTAGCGAAAGTCGCCAAGTGCCTGAGATCAACTCCATCTTATAGAATCGACTACGCTGATTCCGAATCTGTTTTCAGTTTTTGCCCTCGAGGCCCGTAACGCGAGATATCTGGGTTACAAGTTTTAAGCCTTCTTACTTGGGTTCATTTTTCCAACTAGTGACGTGGTGCACCGCTAAAGCTGCCGATTACGAATCCAAAACACCCTAGTTCGATTCATAACAACGGATAATATTTTGTAAGTTGTATCACTTCTGTACTGGACGTTCAGTGCACCCCTTTTTTGAGCTCTTTTGAGATATTCTTGGCACAAAATTGGATATGTAACGACTGATCCTGGACAATTTGAATCACCAAGTGCGTATTGCTCAGCGCTAGCAAATCATTGTCAAAACTGTTTTCACAAATGTTTTATTCGTTGCGCATTTTGTGTAAAAAAAGCTTTGACTGCTTTTTTGTTCGATTTCATCTTCTTAAACTTGATTTTGTCTTACAATTTGAATTGATAAAATGCTAAAAAAATTGGTTAGATTAATCAAATGATAAAATGTTAAAAGATGGGGTAGCTTAATCATAAAACCTATTTTTTCTACCTTACTGTTTCAATGTAATTTGAGTCAGATTAAAAAAACTAAAAAAATTGACCAATGATGGGAGCAAACCAGGGTGCTTTGAACCCTTAATAAGCAGTTTTAGTGATGCACCACGTCACTAGTTGGAAGAATAAACTTAAGTAAGGAGGCTTAAAACTTGTAACCCAGACATCTCGCGTTACGGGCGTCGAGGGCAAAAACTGAAAACGGATTCGGAATCAGCGTAGTCGATTCTATAAGATGGAGTTGATCTCATTTTAAAAAACCACGGGCACCTAACGATGTTTCCTAGTCAGTCAGTATTCAAAATTTCAGATGGATATTGTGATGAATGAATTTCTTTATCTGATACGAGAAGATCCAAAGATTTCCCTATATGAAACAAGAATTTTGGAGGCGTTTTTCGAGATTGAGTTCGTCGAATTTTATATTCGTCGAATGTGTCAAGAGTTTTTTTTAGATCTGAGCAATCTCGTTGCCAAACTCTAAACCGTGTTGTAGATTTTATGAAGAATTGTTTACCGAAACTGAGAGAGAAATTCGGAAATCAATCATCGAAACAAGCGGTCGAGAACTTTAAGCCAATCAAGGTGATTTTCTATGAAATTCTTTCCTCTTTTTCTTAGCTGGCTAACGAAAAAATGATTTTATCAAGCAAAAATTTGTTTGGTAACTTGGCTAGTTTGATCTGTAAGTCAGATTGGGTATTTGTGGACCAGGTAGGGCAAGAAAAAGCCTAGTAAAAACCCAAGAAAAAAACAAAAATCTAGCTGGGATTGAAGCCTTGATCTCCGATTAAAATTAAAATAAAATGCAAAGCGTCTTTTAACCAGTCATTCGTGGTGCTTTTTTGCAATTGCTGTCACAAAAATAGTGCTTAACATTTAGGAATTCGATGGTTCTGTGCTTGTGGTGAGACACGAGAATTGGGAGGCGCTTGTTTCATGGATGCCTTTAGAAATCATCCAAAATTCAACTTTCACCAATATTTGGTAAATGGAAAAGAACTTTTTATAAAAAAGTTTTTAACATATTAAACTATTAAAAAGGTAAGTATGGGAATACTTTTCAGGTACACTCCAATGTTGGCCTTTTACTTGTCAGATACGCAACTGAGTGAGAAGGATTTGAAAGTGGTGAGTGCCTTCGTTACTTAGTGACTCAAAAGTACAAAAATTCAAGTTAGAAATTTTCTGGAAGTCATTAATGAGTGTCATTTCTTTCAGATCATGGAAAATTGTCGTCGTAGACGTGATCAAAAGCAAATCTCACAAAGTTCAAGCTCAAAAATGGTGACTCATAATGATGAGAGAGCTCCGTCACCCCCAGCTAGAAGGTAAGGATTTGAATTTGATTTCTAAAAGCGTCAATTTTTCAAACTACCGTTATCTTGTCTCTATTTTACATCAAATCTATCAACTTTTTATCTAATTTGGGAGGATATCGAAAGATATAAGTGGAATGGAGACAAGAATAGAGACAAGAATGGAGACAAGAATGGAGAGAAGACAACAGAATGGAGAAAAGATTTGAGAAATGGAGACAAGATTAAGGGGACACGGTTTAGAAAGCACATTACTTACGTTACGTCCCTTCTTTCTTTCATTCTTTCTTTCATTCTTTCTTTCTTTCCTTTTTCCTTACTTCTTCCCCCTTCTCTATCCCTTTTTTTCAGCAAATTAAGGTATCGAATAGCTCAGTGGTTAGAAGAATTGCCTGAAAAACAAAACAATTGAGTCCCCTGAGCAATTGATTTGTGTTTATTGGTTTATCAATCTTTCAAATCTGTTTTCCTGTCTCAAAAGATTCGGCATATAAACGCGCGCTTTCTTTTGCATTTGCCAAAGCAATTGAGTCCCCTATCAATCTACTTTCTTTCCCATTCCTTCACTTCTTTATAAAGAGATCAACAAAGAGATTTCAGCTCTTCTCGACTCACGAGAAGCAACTTCACTTGTCCGATTTGTTTTGATGATTGTAAGAAATCTTTTCAGATACATCTAAATTTACTTTAGATGATCAATCATCGCATAAACCGATGATCATCTCCGAGTGTGGGCACACTCTTTGCCAAACTTGTGTCAATAGATTGTAACTTTTCATAATCTAAGCAAAACAAAGTCAGTAGAGCATGGGTTTTTGCAGGAAACGGGTCATTTTTAAACAGAAAACAGTAGCAAACAACTCTTGTATTCAAGTTTTAGAAAACAAGTGCTGTATGCTAAACTGATTGACTGATTTTCTACAAAAAACGGAAATAAAAACAAAAAAAAACCTCAGATCTGTTTATAATCAGAGAAATTTGTATTTATAAAGGTAAAAATAGCATTGATATTATCATATGCGACCAAATTACCATAAATAACCTTCAATTTACATATTAATCTGCTTATATGTCGTAGCCGATCATGAATGAAAGTTTTTGGCAAATCTTTCTAGTAGAGTAACCCTTAAAAAATTTAGCATAATTATAAATGATTCTGCATTGAATGATACTAAATAATAGGTTGATGCATAAGTCTTTTCGTTTTTTTCGTACTTCTGTTAAAAAGTAACAAATTCACGAATTAATCTATAGTTTGCTCTATAAAAAAAGTGTTTTTTTGTTCAATTTGCATCTTTTTAAATGAATTTCGGTTGACTTTCAAGCAAATTCGAGAGTGAAAAACGCCTTTTTCGTAAAAATCTATAAAAAACTCTACGGAAAAATTGGCTGAATGAATTTCTCTGAAATTTAGGCGAAATATCAAACGTTTTTTTTCTCTATCTTTTATCTATTGACACGAAGATAGGTTTTCTTTAGCTAAGGTGTCTAAACCGCATCTTTAGCTAAGGTGTCTAAACCGCATCATCGAGTTAGCCCTTTTTGACTACCCGACTTCATACTCTCAAGAAAATCCAGGCATCAAATATTTTTAAACCCGTTTTAATGTTATTTTGCAGAAAAATAATTGGTTTTTCTAATGAAATCAACCGTAGTTTAATTCGTGCATTTGTTGGCTTTGAAACGGCAGACGAAAAGGAACAAAAAGACTTATGCATCAACCTAATACTTGATGATTGGACGTGCCTAGGTCCAAAATTCATCATCGGCTACGACATATAGACAGACCTAAAATAAAAAGGTTAGAGGCCGGCTTAAAAATCTTTGTATCAGCTAAAACTACAGTAAAACCTTAAATAAATTAAATTATTAAATAAAATTTCTTTAAATTTAAATAACAAAAGAATTTCAAGAAAACTAAAGCATTGAAAAGTTAAATCAAAACTAAGGGAGTGGGACAAATGCGACCTTTCTTTGCGCACCCGGACATTTGCGCAGCCGGACATTTGCACACCTTTTTTTCCGCACTTAGCCCATTAGCGCACCTCTTTTCGCGTTTTAAAAAAGCTCTCAAGGCTAATATTAACCAATTTCTATTCCAAAAGTTGTTTTCTAGGTAATTTGAGGGTGTCGAATTCAAATTTTGACATAACAGAGCGTGTGGAACCAATTTGAAAGACAAAACGGCTATTACAGAAAATTGTTGATTTTTCTCTTTGTATAACTCCATCCGTTCGCTTCCACACGCTCTGATATGCCAAAATTTCGATTCTACGCCCTAAAATTACCTAGAAAACAACTTTTGGGATAGAAATTGGTTAATATTAGCCTTGAGAGCTTTTTTAAAACGCGAAAAAAGGTGCGCTAATGGGCTAAGTGCGGAAAAAAAGGTGCGCAAATGTTCGGCTGCGCAAATGTCCGGGTGCGCAAATGTCTGAGTGCGCAAATGTCCGGGTGCGCAAGGTCTAAGTGCGCAAATGTCCGTCTGCGCAAATGTCCGGGTGCGCAAAAAAAAGGTCGCATTTGTCCCACTCCCAAAACTAAAACTAATCAAAACTAAAACGAATCAAAACTAAAATACTAGAGTTGAATGTCCAGAATGTCGTGCTCCAATTCAGCGTGTTATCGTCAACTTTGCTTTCAAAAGTTCGTTTTTTGCTATTCTTCGGAAAGTTTTATTTAAAGCTTTAAAAGTCTTTTTTCAATAAAATTCTCTAAATAACATAAAAAAGAAGAATTTAGACGCGATCGAAGAACGAGAGCTGCAAGATGTTCAAGTGAATCAACTAAAAACTCTCATTTTGGCTCAGGTTTTAATCCTTTTCCTTTATCAAGGATTTCCCTTTTTAACTAAAATCTTTTTTTAAGTCATTTTCTTCAATATTCTATTCAGGAAAATGAGATGAAAATGAGCAAAATCCGACTTTTCTTAAATCCACTTAACACTTTGAAGTAAATCGAGAATAATGAATTCAATCTGATATTAAAAACGACGAAAATCTTTAGAAACACATGGTTTTGGTAAGCGGACTACCGGAAAAGAAACCGACGGCAACAAAGATTTTCAAAGATTTGATAGCTGTGTTCGCTGACGAGCCGTTGAAGTGAGGAATGAAGGCTTAGGCTTTGGCTTAGACTCAGGCTTAAGCTGCTAGGCTTAGGCTCAGACTCAGACTCAGACTCAGGCTTTGGCCTAGGCTTGGACTTGGTGCCAAGCCTAGCGCCTCGCACTAAGTCTATTTGGGTTTGGGCTGAACCCGCATTTTCTGGATCTCAGCCGGTTCCCGGACTAGGCTTAGGCTTAGGCTGCTAGGCTTAGGCTTAGGCTTAGGCTCAGGCTTGGACTTAGTGCGAAGGCTAGCGGCTAGCGCCTCGCACTAAGTCTATTTGGGTTTGGGCTGAACCCCCATTTTCTGGATCTCAGCCGGTTCCCGGAAGCTTAGGCTTAGGCTTAGGCTCTTAGCCGGCTATGGCGGCCAAAAAACCTATCAAAATTTCAGAATAGAATTCGTCAAGCCGGCTTCTCTCGGTCAAGCACTTCTCACATTTAGTCAACTTGATTTTGCTTTAAAAGTTTCAAAGTTTTCAACAATATTTCCCAATTTCTTTAGTTTATCACACTTTACAACGAGAAAAGATATGGGGATACTGATTTTTTGATGAAAATCGAGCTTTTTAAAGAAACTCCTTCAAGGAATTTATCGGTTCCAACAAAAGGTGTAATTATTTGGAAACAAACAATGCTGAAATTCAGATGAGAACAGTGATTCGGAGATTTCGAGAAGTTCTTCGCCTCCTCAGCGAAATCGGAATCTTGTGAGTGAAAAGTTTTGCATAGAACAATAAAACGACTGTTTCTCTATGTGCAAAAAATTGCAGGAAATTGACAAGACGAAGATTTACCTAAAAAATCTCCCCTCACATGCCACAAATCAGAGTGTGATCAAATGGATCTTCAAAGACAATCCGAATTTGGTGTTGGGAAGGTGAAGCTAACCGCTGTTACGTCTAAATTTTTATGAAATTCAGTTTATCTCTGAAATTGGATCCTTTTGGAATGCAGACTTGTATCGCAAAGTTCCGAAATGAAAAAGAAGTGGACAAGGTTTGAACTTGAAATTTGCAAAAAGCTCAACAAAATGATTTTAGATAATCTCGGAGTTTAATAATAAGGTTTATCCGGGTACGGAAACAATTCTCCATGTTCGACATTTCAAAGCAAATCAACCGAAAGGAAGATCAAAATCGAGAGGTTAAAGAAAATATACTGAAATCTCAAACACAAATGGTAGCCATGAGGATCAAAATGAATTTATTCTGTATTACGAATTACTAGTGTGCTTTTCCTTGAATCCACTAGACGTGGCTAGATCTGTGCGCTATGAATAATGAATGACAAAACCAAGTTGATTCAATAAACGCGTGTGAAGATGTTTCGATAAAGCTCGAAGAAACAATGTGCCCCGGAGACAAAAAGGAATCACTTTGATGAAAATTGTGGAAGTATCTCGAACAAAAGAAAACAACTTTCACAAGACCAAATGAGAGGAAATTCTGACTAAATGGGGGAAGAAGGCGTCCTCTGTACGCAGAAGGGGCGACCTTTTATACCCTGGAGGGACATCCTTTTATACGCAGAAGGGTCATCCTTTTATACGCAGAAGGGTCATCCTTTTATACGCAGAAGGGTCATCCTTTTATACGCAGAAGGGGCATCCTTTTATACGCAGAGGGTATCCTTTTCAACGCAGTAGGGGCATCCTTTTATACGCATGTGAGCGCGACATTGTTTAGGGTACGGTATTTCTGGTGTCTTATTAGAATTCAGCTTTTTGCTGACTCGTCGTCACAATCAGCCCAATATACTAGTTGGTTTTTAAAAGTTTTCTTTTAGATCCCCAATCGCCGAAAGCCGTTGGTGGACGATTTAATGGTAGACCGTCTTTGTCTCCAACTCGCGCAGCACAATCGTCAAAATTTTCGAATCTGGGTAATTGAAAATTGAATCTATCTACAAAAGAACCAACATATTTAGCTCAAAGACCTCAAGGTCAGTTCAATCCATTCAATTTTCCAATGCCTCCAATGATTCCTCAATTCCATAACTTTCAAATCCTTCCACCTCCTTATCAACCTCAAATTTTTTCAAATATTTATCAAAATAATCAGGTGAGATCGATTAAAGACAAATCTAAAATGAACTAGATCACTTCTTCAACGATTTTTATCTCAAATCTCCCATTGAGCACATCTCGCGCGGATCTGATCGAGTATTTTCATAACAAGACTCTTGAAGGAGAGTCGATTCAAGTGGCTGAAGTGGATGGGTTTGTTAATTTGATCATTTAAATAAAGTTTCTAATGGCTAATCCGATTTTTTGAATGGTAAAAAGAAAATAAACGAATCCTGGAAAGGAATGCATCCGAATTTTTCTTTAGAATCAAATTTCTCCCATCGCTTCAACCAAATCCCATTCACAAAACCTGCTTGATCACTTTCAAAACGCCAAGAGCAGCTCAATTGGTTAAATACAAATGATTTTAAGAAAGTATTTATCATTTTAGGCTCAACGTTATTTCTTTGGAAAGCCTTTTCAACATCCTGGTTGTTTTTTGAACATCGAGTTACGGTATTTTGATTGTTAAACTGGAATTACAAAAATTTAGTAACCTTCAACCGCAAACGAGTCCTTCTATACAGGTAACAGCATTAGAATCAAAGATTTTAGTTTTTTTTAGCTCAAAGATGGCTGAGAAAAAGCCCGTAAAGAAAAACGGACGGACAAACACTGCTCTTTTAGTTGTATAATAGTTTATAGTGTGTGTTCCTTGCGAGTAAGTAATTACTTCAGTATAATTGCCTGAGTAATTTTTACTTGATTAATCGACGTTTTTTGGCCGAATAACTACGAGTAATCCTCTTTACACGCCGAGTAACTACGAGCAATCTTCTTTATACGCCGAGTAGCTACGAGTAATCCTCTTTACACGCCGAGTAACTACGAATAATCCTCTTTACACGTCGAGTAACTACGAGCAATCCTCCTTACACGCCGGGTAACTACGAGCAATCCTCTTTACACGTCGAGTAACTACGAGCAATCCTCCTTACACGTTGAGTAAATTGAATATCTTTACATCGCGTGCGTGCGGTATGTGTGCGTTTTAAAAAATGCATTACTCGCGAGGAACACACTCGAATAGTTTATTCAGTACAACCGACTCCGGTGGACGCAATTTTGTCTGGACAGGAATCGGAAATTTGCATTTAATTGCTAAAAATTGATCATTAAATTAAAGATTAGCATAATGAATGTGTTTTTAATGCAAAATCTTGAAAAAAGATCAATTGTTGAGGTCTTGAAAACATCCAAATTCGGCAAATTCGTGAAATGAGCTGGAAAAGAGTTTGACTTTCGCAGAGCTCGAAGTACATTTTCTAATTTGCTAATTATCATGTACCTTTTATTACGAACTATGTAATTGGTCATGCATTTTAGGAAAATCGAGTTTTAATCAAAAATCTGCCTGCATCGGTGACCGAAAATGATCTTGTCGAGATGTTTCATCAAATTTGCAAAATCGCTCATGATCAAGATTTAAGGCCAAAGTTGATTTTTGATAGTTAAAAAACCAAAAGCAATTGTTTACATAAATTTAAAGCAAATCACCAATTACAGGATTAATTTGAAGCGACTTCCAAATGGGACAAGTGAAGCGATAATTTCCTTTCAAACTTTGGAAGGAGCGCAGAGGGTCAGAATTTTTTGAATTTTTGCAGAATTTTTGCGAATTTAGATGTATTCTGAAAAAGTTTTATTAAAAAATGATTTTTGATTACTTTAATACATCGAATTTTCAGATTTCTCTCCTCTACAAAGCACACGATTTCCAGGGACAAACCATACACGCATCGTTGATTTGATTCGAAGAAACTCTTCAATTTATTCATACTTTTTGTTCACAGTTCTTCTGAATTCAATAATAGTAATCAAATAAAACCTTTATGCATCCGATTTTTCGTGATTAAAGTGCTGAATCCATTGTGCAAACAGGGATTTCCATCGGTTGAGCATTCGAAATTCACTCTGAAACTCGATGCTCATCAATGACTAGCGAAAAACCTATTTAAATAAGTAAATCTATCTGTTAGGTTGTCCAGTAATGAATGCGCGCCTGCTCTTGAACAGCGTACCTTAGGGCTATACAATTTTATCAAACCCTATTCTTTATATGCTGTTCAAGATTTCTTATTTATTACAACTTTTCGTGTTTTCGACGTTAAACTAATTCATTTTTGATTTAATTTCTGTGTTTAGATGACCGAGATGAAGTTTCGTATTCGTGCCAGTCTTTGGTATGACTTCAAATTGGGCAAAAATGCCGTTGAATCCCATCGAGATCTCTGCAAAGTATTTGGCGAAGATGCTATTTCGGAAAGCCAGTGTCGCCGATGGTTTCAACGATTTCGAGAAAGAAATGAATCTTTGGAAGACGAAGACCACCAACGACGACCTCCTGCGATCGATAATGCAGTACTGAAGCAGGCGATAGAAATGGATCCTCGACAAACTACACGTGAACTTGCAGAAATATTTAGAGTAAGCCCTCAAACAATTTTCGAGCATTTACATCAATTGGGGAAAACGGGAAAGGGAAATGGGTTCCTCATCTTCTCAGCAATGCCAATAAAGCTACTCGTGTCACTATGGCCGATATTCTTCTTTGTTTGGCAAAAAATACTGGGTTTTACAATGAAATCCTTACTTGCTATGAAAAATGGATTCAATATGATAATTCTACACGAAAACGGCAATGGCTAGAATCTGGCGAGGAGCCAATACCAACACCAAAATCCGACTTCCATGGCAAGAAAGTAATGCTTACTGTCTGGTGGAATTCGCAGGACATTGTTTATTTGGAGCTGCTTAAACCTGGACAAACAATCACGGGTGAAACGTATGCACAACAATTGGGACGAGTGAACAATGTATTGCTACAAAAAGGCCTTTATCCTTCAAACATAAAGTTCATTCAAGATAACGCCCGTCACACGTTGCAAAGATTGTTCAGGAAAAACTCGAAGAGTTGGGCTGGGAAACTCTCCCGCATCCGCCATATTCTCCGGATATTTCTCCTTCGGATTACCATTTATTTCGCTCAATGCGAAACCATTTGGCCGTTCAAGAGGTTCAAGAAGTTCAAGAGGTCGAAAAATGGATAGCCGACTTCTTTGCCTCAGAACAAGCCAATTTTTACACGGAGGGAATTCATTCTTTGCATGGAAGATGGAAACAAATATTGTTAACAAATGGTGAATATATCGTTGATTGAGCTGTTAAACTGTTGGTTTTAAAATAAAGAGTTGTTATCTTAAAAACGCGCATTTATAACTGGACAACCTAATATAATCTATCTATAAATTATAGTAGCTTTTTAAGATTATTTTCTAAAAAAAATCAAATTCTTAAAGCTATTATAATCTTCTCGAATCCATTTTTCTAAACCATGTCCCCATTTCTCTTTCGATCGCAATCTTGCCTCTATTTTTAGCCAACTTTTTATCCAATTCTGTGCGGATGCACAAAGAATAACGAAAGATACACAAAAGTGAATAGATTCGATAAAAAATCGAGACAAGATTACGATAAAAAAGGGAGGCTTTAAGAAAAACTATTTGACAAAAGCATTTTTACCATAACAAGTTGATACTTTTGTGCCTTGTGGACACGAGGCTTGTCAAAAGTGTTTCATGAAATTGACTCAAGAGAAGTAAAAGTTTACAAGAAAAGCAAAAAAAAGCATTTAATTTCTAGAGACTCTTGTCCAAAATGTCAGTCTCTGATTGCTTTCGGAGTTGTGTCGATGGCGTTAATTGGTGAGTTGAAATAGGAACAGTGAACACTTAACTTGAGTAAACAGGAGCAGTGAACACTTAACTTGAGTAAACAGTAACAGTGAACACTTAATTAGAGTAAACAGGAACAGTGAACAATTAACTTGTGTTAAAAGATCACAGTCATAGTTTAAATCTTAAATGACAGCAAACTATCATAGTTTTTTAGATGGATAACTAAACGGCCTGCCAAAATAGTTGTGTTGACAAGATTTAAGCACAAAGTTTCCCTGAAGAATTCTAGGTACTCTCAAAGCCCTTCTCCGACAGAAAGCTGCAAAAGAACGAGAAAATAGAAGCTCTTCTTTGACGGTAAAATGATTCAGTTCTTTATACAAGCAATTTTATCTCTAGCTATGGCTCTAGCTTTAACTCTAGCTAAAAATAAAATCAAAATTTCTACACAAAAGGTTTAGGAAAGTTGTGAGACTTCGACAGAATCATCCGAGCAACAAAATGTATCCGATGTATGAAATGAAAGAGAAATATCCGATCACTTTTGTGCCTTGTGGACACGAGGCTTGTCAAAAGTGTTTCATGAAATTGACTCAAGAGAAGTAAAAGTTTACAAGAAAAGCAAAAAAAAGCATTTAATTTCTAGAGACTCTTGTCCAAAATGTCAGTCTCTGATTGCTTTCGGAGTTGTGTCGATGGCGTTAATTGGTGAGTTGAAATAGGAACACTCAGATATCAAAATAGGTCTGTTTTATCATTTCATAGTAAAGATACCGTCTTCTCTCTAAGAGTAGTGCCGAGTTGATGACTATTTTACGGTTTCCAAGCTTTTGATTTCGTAGATTTTGTAGAACAACTCAAATATGGATTTTTTTTTTAATCCTAGGGGAACTAAATAAAAGTTCTTAGCATAATGGTCTACTAGAATACCAATATGCTAGCAAGATTCTCTAAAAAAGTGATCCTTTCCAGAAAATGACATTCATGAGACTAATTCAAAATCTTCTAGATTCTCGATAAATTGGATTCGCGGACGCCCACTCCGACGCAAGGATCACCGACATCCGACGAGGCAAATGGCAAATTCGTTTCCCAGACGCATCACATGGTTTCCCAGAGCACCTGCGGTGGGCCAATAAAAAAAAAACACGGTGTGACGCAGGTCACTTCCCGGCCGCGCAAAAATTACTACTCAACTATTACTTCAAATAAAAATTATTGCTTTTTTAAAACTTTTCGAAGCTTTCTGAGTTTTTTCAAGCTTTTTTAAGCCTTTTTAAGCTTTCTAAGCTTTTTTGAAGCTTTTCGAAGCTTTTTAAAGCTTTTTTAAGCCTTTTTGCAGCTTTCTGAGCTTTTTGGAGTTTTCTAAGCTTTTTGAAACTTTTCTGGAAAGTCTGGAATGTTGGAAAGTCCAGCTGGAAAGTTGGAAAGTCCATTGCCTTGATTCAAAGTGTGATTGAGTTTATGGCAAAACAGTTTTCAAGATACTCATTTCTGTTGATCTCTCTTGCAGGCACAAGAAGATCTTGGCATCGCGTCATTTGTTTCTCTTTCAAGGCAAAGTCAGCCCATGGTACTTATTCTTCTTGAAAGCCTTCATTTTAACTCCTTCTGAACCATTCTTCTCATCGATGGTTCAGAAATTTTCATTTCGCGCGACATTCGACGGACACTGTGCTCCAGGTTGCTTCTGATTCTTTCGCGAACCTTCTTGATCGAAGTTTTTGTGACCACTGACTTCTTTCGACCATTTTCCAATCGATCTCTATCGTTTCTCAGTTGCTTAAATTATGCTTTACCTGCTTCATTGTCTTTTAGAAAATCATTTCAAGCACTAGATCTTTCTTTTCAAACTTCAATAACATTTTTCAATAACATCCGTTTAACTTGTTTTAATGACTTTTACAGAGAGATGTCAAATGTCACAAAACACAAAAGAATATTTAAAGGGCGAAAATTAAGACAGCTATTTTTCAATGATCCTGGAGAAAATGGTGCATCACGTGGTTCCAAAGCTCTCGACCTTTTTAACACACAAAACATTTTTTTAGAAAAGCAGTTTTACTTTTACAATATCAAAATTATAACTTTGAAGTGTTGACGTTCCCAAGAATCGAAATCACGCATCTTTAGCCCGATTCTTTAAGCGCTAAGCTCAAAATTCTGCAATATTGAGCCGATCTGGAAGTCACACTCTATGTTTTGTGGCATATAAAATGTCAAAGTTGCTTGATTTGTTCAAAAAACGAATTCGCGAGCTTGAGCCTGTAAAGCGGCGTCGTAGGCGACACCCGTGCTAGCCCGTGATGCGCGGCCGGGAAGTGACCTGCGTCACGCCGTGTTTTTTTTTTATCGGCCTACCGCAGGTGCTCTGGGGAACCACGTGATGCGCCATTTTCTCCAGGATCACCGAAAAATAGCTGTCTTACTTTTCGCATTTTAAGTCGAGTGATTCAAGTCGAAATTTTACTCGAAATGGTCGTTCTGGAACTCAGGACACTAAAAACGAACGCAAAACCTATATTATTTTAAGATTTTCTTTTCCATATTTTCTTATATTCAAATTCCTTTTACAAGCTTTTTTTGAAGAAAGTATTCATCGCATGCTTTTTCTTGTTTATCTTCTCGATTTTTTTCCTGGAGAAAAATTTATTGAGGTCACTACATTCTTCAATGATCCTGGAGGAAATGGCGCATCACGTGGTTCCCCAGAGCACCTGCGGTGGGCCGATAAAAAAAAACACGGTGTGACGCAGGTCACTTCCCGGCCGCGCATCACGGGCTAGCACGGACGTTTAATATTATTTACTTTTTTATTTGGTTGTTTTCTTTGTAGCAGATATTCAAATTTTTATTGACAATGTTACTAACACATATACAAAAAAAAACATAGCAATAAATATAATCACAATACCTTTCATATCACTTATTTATTTTTTTTATGTTTAGTGACTAGACAACTAGAACAATTCGTTTCATATGTGTTTTTCGTTTTAGCAGAGTCGATGCTATGATTTTTTATTATTTTATGAATCATTATTGTTTTTTTATATGCTTATTAATTACATAATTACATAAATTTATAATAATAAAAAGTTTTTCTTGTTCTAATATTTAGTAATAAAATAATAATATTCATGTCCGAAAAAAGCTTTAAAAAGCAGGAAGAAGCTTAAAAAAGAAGAAAAAAGCTTCAAAAAGCATTAAAGAGCTTCAAAAAGCTACGTGTATTGGGAGATAAAAAAATTATAGGTTATGTTGAATTTCTCTATTTTGGTGTAGTTTCTAGTGTTAAGGGTACTTTCCTCCGGGTCCACCAAAGTGGAAGTTCCCCGCCATCTCTTCATTGAAAGTGATCTTCCTGTGTTGAAAAGTGATCAATTGTGAAAACTTTCTTGTTGGGTTCATGACAAAAGTAGAAGAATGCTAAAAAGAAAGAGAGAAACAAAAAATGTTCAGCGATTCTTTCAGGCATTCACCGCGTGTTGAGAAGCTTTTTGAAAAAACGGAAAGCTTTTCCCAGTTCCATTATTGATGAAAGAGATTTGTTGGCTCAATTTTTTGCAAAAGAAAACAAATATAATGTGGGATTTCAAGAAAAATAGGTAAAAATTAGTTTATTGACCCGACAAATGAACGACAATGATCACTGTCTAGAAAAAACAGCGTGAGATCGTGGGAGTGGTCCTGTTCCACAAAGCTACTAGCTTCTTGATTTCGCTTGAACTGGTTTCTGGTTTATTTGGGATCTGATATTTGCCGATTGCTAGATCTGGCAACTGTGAAACTGGACCCAAGTTATGGAGTGGTTTATCCATGAGCAAAGTCCAAAATTCAAAGAACACGAGTGTAAAATAGGCGAAGCGTCACAGGTAAGAAGACAACACTCATTCTAAAGGCTGACGCTAGAATTTTAGCATTGGCAGAGCAGATTAAACATTGGCAGGCCAGAGTCTTCCAAACCTAAGGCTCCAAAAACTACTTTCGTTTATGATACAGCCCCTAAGATTTGAGAAAACAGTTTCTGGAAACGTTTCGAGCCTTATTTGACCCGACAGGGCTAAAACATGGCCCACATCGGAAATCTCGATATCTTCCACTACCCTCGTGGAAGGGAATGGTTTCTTCAGCGTCGTTCGCCCACTTCTTCGATAATATAATTCGGTGGCACTAATTCTTGCTCGAAGTTCTAAAGATGACCTCTTTATTATCTCTACTTCTAACATTGAATTGAGCATAAATTGCTCTAAAGTATGTCAGCCGTTTTCTGTGATTCAAGTCAAATTAAAAGAAAACAAACCTTTTTAACTTCCTCCAATTCTATAGTTCTGTCTAAATTTTGGCTTCCTCTCCTAATAGTGTCGAAGGATTCTTCTTATCTCCCGACCACCCAACTGACGTTTTGCCGAGAGGCCTTCGGGGCTAGAGAGCATGCAGCAACCTTAGCCCCGCCTTAGATACCTAAGGTTGCTGCATGCTCTCTAGCCCCGAAGGCCTCTCGGCAAAACGTCAGTATTTATTGTCGGCAATAGTTAATGAAAAAGTGAATTATATTAACTATCGGCAATAGTTAATAAAAAGTGAAATATATTAACTAACGGCAACGGTGCGGATAGTTTCAATTTACTCACTCGAAGTCTTCGACTCAACCGCAACAACTGCTCCGTATTGATGTTCCATTTCCCATGTATTACCATATCCTAAAGATTCAACTTTTTTCCTACTTTTGGACTGATTCAAGGTTCACACGGGCAAACAGCTCTTTAATTATTAACTGGCATGCATTGTAAAGCAAATCGTTTGCATCATGAACCCGAGCAGAATCAAATCGAGAAAATCGTTGAAAATCCTGGGGTTCATGTGCAAATAGAGAGGCTGGATTTGGGCCTTTTTTAGGTTTTGGAGAAATGCTATCCCGGGAAAATCCCGGGATGCTAAATGGATTTTCGGTGTTTCTTCTTTTCATTTCCGCTTTGTCCTATAACCTTTCAGGCCTGAAAAGCTTTGAGTATTGAAAGCTTTCACCGGCACCGGCTTTCAATTGAATTTGGTCTTAGAAAAAATGTTAAAATGTTCCCAATTCCCAATTACTAAGGAAACACCAAAAAACCTTAAAAAACCTTAAAAAAACTCAAAAAACTTAGGAAGCTTAAAAAACTTTAAAAGCCTTAAAAAAGCTGAAAGCTGAAATCTATGAAAAATCAGAGTAAAAAACTGCAGCACTTGGGGGGCTATTTCTAGCCCCCCAATCCCCCCAAGCACTCCCCGGTGAGGGAGGGGGTCACCCTGAGCTATCTTGGAGGAATCACCCTTACCTCAAGCTCTGACGAAGACGCGCCACCGTCTCAGGGAGCAATTGCCCTGGGTCTCCGAGTTTTAGAGTCTTTGCTTTGACTGAGCGTTGTTTGAGCTGTGCACCCTTTCCGACAATCTCTGGCTTTAAAGTACCCGGGTACTTAGGAGTGCCATTCTCCTTTACCTCACGGAGGACATCCGCTACAATGGCGCACGGAGGACATCCGCTGCCGATAGAGGCTCGGTGACTCCTGCTTTTTATGACCCCCGCAGTGGCCATAGGCGAGAAACTGCGCGTTTATCGGTCCCAGGGAGTCCAAATCACCTTGCCTTCAAAAAGCATCGTCTGGCACATGGAGACTTTTTCAAATGGTTTAATTACCCAAGTTTCCAGAAGACGCGCGTTTATGTGCGCCGTCAAGGTACAAACAGAATTCCCAACAGAGAAAACAAATTTTTTCAATAAAACTTGAATATTTTTTCTTTTTTAATATTTTTACAATCTTTTTTCGAATTCTATAAATTTGAGTTCTGGACTATTCTTTGACACCAAAACCATAAAAATCGACGATTTTTAAAAAAAGTTTTCTTTAAGCCAAAATTAGCACGAAAGAGCTTTTTGGCAGTGACGATTCATGGTCGCTTGATAAATGAATAATATAATTAATGATCTTGGAAAAAACGAATATAAGAACCTTGTATTTTCTGTGTTAAATGAAAAAATAATTCCAACTAACGAATTCGAAGAAAAAAGTATAGAATACTTAGTGTAAGTGATATGTTCTTTTTTATGAAAGCTTCACTAGAAGTTAATAAAGTGAAAAATGGCGTCAACACTTTTGACTCATATTTAGCGTCAATATATTCGACTGCGAAGGACTACTTTATTTATGGCACAATCATCAAAAATGTTTGTGTCAGTGTTGCCGGTCAGTGTTGGTCCTTACCACGGCCTTGGTTGACGAGATGAGGAAAAGTGCAATGAAAAGCAAGAACATCATAACTAAATTGTTGCATAATAAAGTTTCATGTAAAATTTATTTCATTTACAAATAATAACTGCTGGAAGAAGTATAGGAAAAGACAACTTTAGCTAGGTATCAAGGTACGGAATCTAATGAAAAGTAAAATAGACAAAAAAGAACCTAATGCTGTCTGAAATTCTTAGAAAAACATTTAAATGTACAAAATTCTCCCAAGAGTTCATTGGTTATTTGGAGAGATTTAAAATTCTCCTTCCAAGGATTGTTCCTTATCACGATGGTGAACAAAAGCCGTATCATCGAATCTGAGTCAGGGTTTTGGATTTGTTGAGTCAGAGTTTCGATTTTCCAAAACCATTCCGAGTTTCCTCTGAAAAAAATGCTTTCTTTCTTCGAATTTGTAGCTTAGCTTTTAAAATGAACTATTTGCCAATGAAAATTGTTCAATTATTCAATTTTTACCAATTTAATAAGTAAGAAAATGCTTTGTTTTGTTTGACTAAGCGGGATTTGTATGCCTCGATTTTCCTGTTCCAATATATTATCCATATGTGTTTTTCTTTTGACACAAATATGCGTATACTTGAGAAATTCTAATGCAAATCTAGAAACGCCCTTATTTCTGTTGGATTCGATTTTGAAATTCGTATTTTATTTGAAAATTTGAATCCATTCTACCAGTTTTTCTGCCATCTGACTTGCTGGAGTTCCTTTTTCTTATTTATTTATGCCTTATGCCTTTATGCCTAGACTGCAAAACTAAGCGCAAATTCCTTTTGATATTCACGCTTTAAAATGGTAGATTTAGTTTGGAGGAAACTGGCGATTATCGCAAAATGAAAGATTTTCCTTGATGGGCTACAATGAAAATGGCTGTGTGAGAAGAGGTCAGTGAAAAGTTCGCTTTCTAAAATATTAGAATAAAAATTTATATAATAACATTATAACAAATTAGGTTGAGCACAATTGCACCTTCCATTTCATTATCTAAAAATGAGTCTTAAACTACAAAATACCAAACAATATCTTTCTTTATAAACATTTATCGTTTACTTTTTTGTCATTTTAAAACAATTTTATAGTATTTTAGAATAATGGTGTTTTAAAAAATATTGAAAAATGAAAAACATAAAGAAAACCGCTAAACGAATTATTTTGAAGTTTTTCTTGTAAATCCTAACTTTTTTATTTTGTCACTAAAATAGGTTTCATTGGAAGAAACAGTCTAAATCGTATCATCGTTTTTGTCGTTTTTGTCGTTTATCTTGTAGATAATATTCTCAAAAAAAATCTCTTAAAAGTGTCTAAAGAACAAACCTGTAAACTTATGTTAAAATCTTTGCTTAAAACCCACAATCCACATAATTCGGGTTATTCCTCATGATCTCCTTGTAAACTTTTTCAGCCTCATCGAATAGACAGAGATGCTCGAGTGCTCGCCCTACATAGCTGTAGCGCATCGTCACCACGACACTTGGGTCAGCGTCACCTTGAGCTACATCAATCTGAAAAATTGCCAATGAGGTTTTATTGGAATACGGTTCTTTGTTTTTACCTCTATTTGTTCCAAAGCTTCCTCGAAAAGTTTCCGCGCCTCCTCGTAATTGCAAAGACTCATCTGCAAAGCGCCCATATTGTTATTCATCTCGACTGGCACCTAAAAGATCAACATTTTCCATGTTTCACCAACAAAAAACTTCAATCACCTCAACTCCTTCTCGTTCAGTTAATATTTTGGTTGCATGTTGTTAGGATACAAGAGATTTCTAAAACAGTACAATTAGCGTTCAACTTATGTGTTCAACCTGCGCATCAATGTGCGCGGTGAGTTGTGCCAAATCGATCAACGCCTCGACATCATCAGGCCAGATTGTCAAAAGTCGAGTGAGCATGTCCCTAAAATAAAAATATTGAAAGCGCATGATTTTGTTTCACATAGAAAATCCATTTAAAGTCATCCTACAAGTGAAAAGAGTATTCCCATACCTCACTTCTTGTGCCCAAGAATCCCGTTCTTTTGGCGGCGCTTCTGCATGTGCATACGACCGAGAAACTAAATCAACTCCAATATTAGCTCCTTAGTTTTTTTGATTACACATTGATTTTTTGATTTTTTGATTCAAAACTTCAGCGCTGTTTGGTTGAACTTACAGAGTCTTCTCAAAATAGGCAATCGCCTAAGCACAGATTAATTAACGCAAGAAAGGCTTAACAAGCATTCTCGAATTCCTGGCGTTCAATGTACATTTGACCGAGGCCGAATTGTGGAAGGACAAAATGCGATGAAGTGTATTGGGCCGTTGGATAATAATGCTAAATAAACGTATTGAAGTTTTACATTTATAGAATACCTGAAAAGCTTTCTCGTAGTTCTTCTGATAATGAAAGCATCGTCCTAATTGAAATGAACTCTCAGCTCTGATCGCATGGAGAGCCACGTGGAAAGCGTGCCAAGCCAACTTCTCGACTCGATCAAATTCCTTAAACTTCCGATTAGAACTGGATAAACGCACGAAACATTCCTTGTGTCTTTCCTTGTTTGCCCGTTCTCGATGTCCTTAAAGCAAAAAAGTTTAGCATAAGATTGTTTGAATCAGGTTAAAAGTAAAAATAAACAAACCTCTTGCACATAAAAAGCAGCTAACGTGTCGAGACCTCTTATCTGGTCTTTCTCAACTCCCGGGTAGTCGAGAAAGGCATCACCTAAATTAGAAATTTCAAATCACTTAATTGCTTAATCTACCTCCTGCAGTTTCCAGTCATCTGATGAATTCATCGACATTTCTACCTTCAATGTGATATCCAACCTAAAGATGAGAGTTATAAAAGACATGTGACAAGTTATTCTCGTAAAAGAATCATCATCAAAACTGTTTTGAATGAAACCTTAAACTTTTAAAGTTTAATAAGATCCCCAAAAAGTTCAGCGACAAAAAATATTTGCTAACTATGTAAACTTTTAAACTCTTACCGCAGCATCGACCCAACAATGCAATGGAGCCCTTTCTTGTCGCAAAATGTCCAACATCCCGTAAAACATCGGTTTCAAGTCGTTTCAAGTCGTTTCAAGTCGTCGGCACCTAAACAAAAACAATACAATTGACTTTTTGGATTATTGTTAAACCCTAGGTAACTTGAAAACTTAACTTTCAAAGTGAAGAATCCGAAACCCTTTGCGTTGTAAAAATTCTTGCGCCACAGCTCGTACTCCGAGAAGCCACCCGGACCTTAATTCTCGCAATAGTCGGAAAAGCCTAAACCAACGCAATATTAATAGAATGTACAAGGCTTTTGACTGAAACAAATTGCTTAAACACGCATCACCTTTAGTCCAAGCTCGCTCGTCGCACAGAATGACGGATTGTGAATCAGCTCTTGCACCAAGGTCAAGCAATTCTAAAGATGAAGAAACTTTTAACTTATTAGTTAAAAAAAACCAAAAGTACAGCTTTCTTGTTGTCATCGTGAAGATTTCCAGTTGCAACCATTTCCAAAGCAATTAATGCCGTTTGCGGGTGCTCGGAGAGCTGAAGAATCTAAATAAATGAATCAGTGGATTGAATGATGTAAACTTAGATGCACCACAAATACAATGATTAGCTAATATTTTCCGCTTGATAAATATCATAATGCATTTCTTCTCAATATCAACTTGCTCTTAAAATCACCAAAGTCAAAAGTAATACAGCCAGGTGCAAAAGCCTTTTCACCCCCTATTCTCTAGGAAAGTTCATCGAGATCTGTGGATAAAAGCTATACCATTCTTTAGGTCATTTATAGTTTCAGTTACACCAATATGTGTACAACTTATTTACATAAAAGTGGCCGCTATCCAACTTCTGTCAATTCCGAAAAAGCGAAAAGAATCGCTGGATCTCCAGGAATTTCCAAAATCTCAAACGCTGTTCTGAGTTTTTCTATTAGATTAGAGTTAACAAAGATGAAATAAAACAAAAAAAAAATTGAAAAAATTAATTGGCTGAGAAATATGAAAAGATTAACACAATGTGAAAGGCCTTTGCACCACGTTTTTCAGGAGCATTTTGACTCTGGTCGTTTCTTTCCGAAGGAACAGAGGCTGTATAGCGGCCAGTTTTAGGTAAATAAGTTGTACACATATTGGTGTAACTAAACTATAACAGACCTAAAGAAAAGTATAGCTTTTATCCAAAAATTTTCATGAACTTTCCTAGAAAAGGGGAGGTGAAAAGACTTTTGCACATGACTGTACCTTGAGCTCAAGCGCGTGCACCATATCCGATATTCACAGAGCGTGCGCAGCCGCCATTGCATCCGTTAACTAAAAAGGGAATTTTCAATGATGTAAAAACAAATAGCACCTATTAGATTAACTTCAAATAACGGACATAAACAATTTTAAAAAACCTTATGAAATTGCACTCGAATTGCGCGTGAATGCTGAATGAAATCGATCGCCAATTGGAGTCCTATGGGAGTGAAATGAGGCTGTTGACAGGTGAGGATGCCGAGCGGAGTGTGTCCATTCTCTAAAAATAAACATATTAAAAGTATACTAGATCAAATTAAATATTCATCGTTAGCAACCAACATAATACAAAAAATGTCAAAGCTTTAACCAAACTGTTCAATTAAAGCATGATTCGAAATAGCTTGACCTTTACAGCACCAAAATCTGCTCATTTCGATCAGATTATTCACTGTAATTCAAATCATGAACAGCATGGAACAGCTATCACGATCCAAAATCAAACACGCGAAAAGCTGTTAATGAGTTGACAAAGCAACACGACATAAGCACCAAATTTAACTTCAAAACATCTAGCACAGCAAATAATATCCTTTTCTTGATAAGGTTTCAGCTTAATAAACATAATTGTTAGATTTGATTTGATATAGCGCCAATTTCAAAGCCTTACCACGAATAACATCCCGAACAAGTTGACTGTGATGAGCGACGACGAGGGCATTCACAGCGAAAACACGTGTTGTCCGAGACCGACACTGCAATTCTCCTCCGTCAAACGTCCGAGCACCGAATTCTAAAAAAACAATATTATGCGAACTGAAGGAAATGGGTCGATAATATCAAGTAATATCAAAAGTTAAAGCAAATTTAAGCTTTAAAAACACTATCAACTGAGAAATGAGGTTCGAAATCAAACTTAATGTGAAACGCGTTTCTGATGGATTTTTCAAAACGCGATGTTCAGGAAGCATCTTTACTAAGGTTTACAAGGCTTAGGAGTCTTTAAATCTTAAAATGATACCCCGTTTTAACCACAAAACACAAAACAACTTTGTAAAAGTTTTTAAAAAGTGTCAAAAAAAGGCAAAAGCAATAAACACACTCGCAATTTGGTGCGAAGAGGAAATTGTGAAGGAATCGTAAACATTCATTTTGATCGCGAACGAAAGTGACGCAAAATTGTGTTAAACTTGGTGAATTTTGGCGAAATCGCCAAAATACCCAAAAATTCCTGAGATTTTGAATGTTTTACAGAAGAAACAGGTGGTTTCCAACAACAAAACGATAAAAAAATCTTCCCAAAAGTGCCACTTTATAGCTTTGCAAGATGCTAAAGATATTCAGCTAATGCCCTAACATTTTATTCAATGAGGAAAAGGATATACAAGCAACTCTTCAAACTTCAAATTTTATTATTCGGAAACAATCTTTAGTTATTCCCCTTCTCAAAAAATCTCCTAAAAACCTTTTCAGTAACTATCGTCCCATTAAAACTTTCAAATAGTTGGTGTTTATATAGTTGTACGTCCTTTAAATCTAAGTTGGAATTTAATAAAATAGATAAATGTTCTGCATTAATAGTTTTAGTTTCAATAGTTATATTGTTATTCTCAAATTTTTTCTCTTGTTCTTTTAGCGTTCTATTTTTGTTTTTTTTTTCCTTCTCTAACTACCAAATTTCTTTCAATTGGTTGAAATCACAATTAGTTCGTTAATTTATGATGTAAGATCTATACAAAGATCTGCATGTTTTTAGGTTGAGGAAAAAGTTCGGACTCAGCTGCGAAAAATTCAATTTTTATACATTTTTTTGCGCTTATAGTGTTGTACTAGCAGTGTTGTATAGTCCGGACGTTGCCCCATCCGACTACGGTCTCTTCCAGTCATTGCAGCATTTCCTGAAAGATCGCCGATTTGAGTCATTTGAAGAAGTTGAAGAAGCTTGCCAAGAGTTCTTTGATTCGAGCGAAGGAGTGGTACTTCAGATGGACAGATCCGAAAGCTTGCAGATCGATGGCGGAAAGTCGTAGATAATGATGGGTTATACTTTGCGGAATAATTCTTGTTATTTTTGATTAAAGTGCACATAAAAATAGAATCTTTCACAGCTGAGTCAGGACTTTTTCCTCAACCTAGTAACAAAGAACTTTAACTAAGCACATCCACCTAGTTTATCATTCTTTATGGATAATTGTAGCGAGCAAATGACAAAGGCATCAATGCACTAAACATACAATGACACTAATCAACTAACAGAAAGGCGTAGGTGAATTTAAATTTTAGACAGCTCTCATCGATCCCGCGTTCAACACAACAGCCGCCATCTCGGCGAGTCTACAATACGATACGACGGCTGGGCGATCGGTTCTAGTAGCCCCTTTGAAGAAAATGCGATTGAAAGCGAGAAGTAAAACCTACGATTTATTTGATTCGACTCTCTTTTTTAGTTATCAGTATTAACTCTTAGTACTAAAGTCTGAAGAGGACTCCGGTGCCGGTACCGGATTCTTTTTTCCTTCATATCTCAACTTTCAATTGACCGATCAAATTGAATTTGTTAATTAACTAATTTCTTTTTTTTGTTGTCAGGGCGGGAAGGGTTGGGACTTTTTTTTTTTATTATTTTATTTATTTATTTATTTTTTTTTGGAAAAATATTTTTTATCTTAAAATCTTGCAAGTAAACGCAAAGCAAATCAAAAATTTAAGTATTTTCATCAATTTTCATCATTTCTATAGTTCTGTCTAAACTAAACTTTTTGTCTATAGTTCTGTCTAAATTTTGGCTTCCTCTCCTAATAGTGTCGAAGGATTCTTCTTATCTCCCGACCACCCAACTGACGTTTTGCCGAGAGGCCTTCGGGGCTAGAGAGCATGCAGCAACCTTAGCCCCCTTAGATACCTAAGGTTGCTGCATGCTCTCTAGCCCCGAAGGCCTCTCGGCAAAACGTCAGTATTTATTGTCGGCAATAGTTAATGAAAAAGTGAATTATATTAACTATCGGCAATAGTTAATAAAAAGTGAAATATATTAACTAACGGCAACGGTGCGGATAGTTAATATTTTTCGGATTTTTATTAATTTTCACCAGGTTTTTGGGAAATTTTTTTTTCCAAAAATCAAATGTAATTGATTGGTCAGTTAGCATTCAAAAATCGACTCAAAAAATGATTCAGACCGCGCGGATAATTAATATTTCTCACTCTTTTATTAACTAGTGCCACTAATTAATATTTCTCACTTTTCTATTAACTAGTGCCACTAATTAATCTTTCTCACTCTTTTATTAACTATTGCCACTAGTTAATATTTTTCACTTTTCTATTAGGAAATAAGCGAAAATCCTTAACATATACACCCGGGTATACATAACATATACAATGAATGAACGTAAATCGTGATTTACTTTTAATAATTGAAGAGCTTGAAAAACTTCTAATTTTTTTATAATTCGTATCTTGAGAAAATGTGGTAACCAAATATATTTTTTCCCAGTCATTAATTTCTTGATCTGGTACTGAAAATGGTGAAGTTGATCATAAAACATGTGATAAAAATGATCCTACTAATTTTGACACAAAAATAATTGAGGTTATATTTTGCTCATATCTTGCAAATTTTACATCTGTCCTCAACAAAAAGATTAACGCGTTACCAAAGACTTCAATGGGTTTGAATAAATACAACAAATGTGATAGAATTCAGTTTAGAGTTCAGAGTTTAGAAAGAGTTTAGATTTGTCGAAAAAATCAGGAGTCACTTAACAAAAAGTACTCTTTTTCCTTAACAACTCGATAAAATAATACATGTTTCAAAATTGTTTTAATACCAATGAACAATCATGGCCTTAGTTCTAGTTCATCAAAAATCAGGCTTATAGCCAAATTTCCAAAAAGATTCACTTAGTAGTTTCGCTTGAAATGCAAGTTTTGTGAAAATTTGGCACAAGCATATCTACAGGTCGTAATTATTGCAACAAGATACTCAAGGCATTGCACACCAAGAAGTTTCACTGGAAGAAGATTTTAAAACAGAAATAGCTTTATTTAACAGTAACAAATAAGGAAACAAGAGATTATTCGATATGACCGCTTTTTGCCTTGATAACAGCCCTTAATCGGTTCGGATATGCCTCCACTGCGGCCCGAATGTCATCTTGAGGAATCGCCTTCCATCCTTTGGTCAAAGACTTCTTCAAAGAATCCAAACTTTTGTGTTTTCCTCTAAGATTGCCCAAATGGAAAAGTCCATCACATTGAGATCTGGTGAGTTTGGAGGCCATTCATCCTTGGTGATCACTGAGGGAAAGTTGGCCACACACCAGTCCTAAACCGTCTTCTTCGTGTGAGCGGGAGCTCCATCTTGCATGAAGGTCCAATTTTGATTGTTATTGGCTTTACACGCCCATGACACGCCCGTTTTCCTGTTTGGAAAACGGTCTTTGAACTCTTGTTGCAATAATTATGACGCACCCTGTAATCCATCATGTTTGAAATGTGTTGAAAAGGTTTCCTTGATTTACCCTAGGTTCTTGTGAGAAAAATATAAATCAAAGGCACTAGAAAGATTGTTTGAGCACAAAATGACATCGGTTAAACTTCTAGTTTTTCAACACTGGACTAGAATTCTAATACTAAAAGTAAAACATTCGTTTTCCTGAAAGTCTTAAGATTTTCAGTGGATTCTCAATGGCTAACAAGGTCGTTTTTCTAGGCTTAAAATTTGTTTATTGATTAAAAAACTGAAAAGATTTGATAAGCGGTTAATAAGATACATGTTTTGCAGAAAAGTAGCTCTTTTCTGTGAAATCTTATTTGATGTTTTGATTTTGAATATCTCTGATTCACTTGGCCTTCCTCTAAAGATCTTTTGTGTGATAAAAGGGACGGAGCCCACTTTGTCTGGCTTTTCTTTGGCTTTGAAACACTGAACCAACGATTGATTATATTGGGTTGATGAATTGAAAACTGCGGGACTTTCAACTAAAATTTATTGAAGATAAAACGATCAATTCATTCGAAATAATTTCCATTATTATTGAAGACTTCTGCCCATTTTACAGGCAATTTGCGGATTCCTCTTTCGTGGTAGGATTTTCGTTTGTGTGTGAGACAAGTGTGAGACTCAAAAATGGAGGACTGGAGATGTCAGCTGCCAGCCCAGTTTGAGCACTTTCTTCAAAAGAAACCCATTTTGGTGTCAATAGAAAAGTTGTAGAGAATCAAAAATTAGGCTTATAGCCAAATTTCCAAACAGATTCACTTAGTAGTTTCGCTTAAAATGCAAGTTTTGTGAAAATTTGGCATTTCTTTTGTGTAAATTTGGCATTTCTGGAAAACCAGTTTTTGAATCGTTCTGAAAATTAGGATATAAGCTTGATTTTTGATTCTCTACAACTTTTCCATTGACACCAAAATGGGTTTCTTTTGAAGAAAGTGCTCAAACTGTCACATATGACAACAGCCCGCAGTTTTCAATTCACCAACCCAATAGTTCAATATCAAGACAAATTTCAAGTTTCAAAAGTTGAAAAAAAGCTGTCTTTTTCAATAAATTTGGATTTTTAACGTATTCCACTCAAAAAAACAGCAATGATTACGAGGGGAAATTATTTTTTACGAAAAAGCCATTCTTTTCTCTGTTTAATGTCTGCGTTTCTCCAGAAACTCAACTATTTTCCCGATTTTTCGCTTTTCCCAGCTTTTCCCTCAAATTTGTAGTTTATTCTCGACCCAAATCTTTCTTTTTTATAAACATTCTTATTATTTATGCATTGATTTCAAAAAACTATTTAGTTTTTTTTGAAAAATGGAGGATTTTCTTCGACATATGTTATCTCCAGAAGAAATTGCAATAAAAGAGGTGGGTTAAAAGAGTTTTAAAGCTGAAAATGGGGTTGAAAATCGGCATCTATAGCTCATAGTGTTTTAGCTAGATTTTGCACTAAATTTTTTGGTAAAACAAATTACTCAGGATGATCGGCGAACAACAAAAGATTCAGATCCAAATATCCAACTTTTATTGAAGATTTCATTGCCATCATTTACATTATTTACATCATTTACATTTACATTTACATTATAGAGAATTCACGAGAAAGAAGAACGTTTTCAAGCGATTTTCCGGGAACATTATCATTTGTGGGATGATTTCGTTTACTCTGTACAAAAAGTGATCGAACCTTTTACCGAAGAATGGATACAAGAAGTATATAAAAGGAAACCAAAGAGGAAAATGTAAATGTTTTTATTGTATTTCCTCTTAAAACACTCTGGTTTTTATTGAGGTTTTAACCGAACTGGCTAAGTTTAAATTACAGATTGCAAAAAATCGAGGAACGCTTTGATGTGTTGTTGAAATATTTGGAGGAGATTCTTCCAGAAATGTTGAATAAAATTGGGATTAATCCATCAAGTAAGCATGATTTTTCAATTATTATTTAGAGCTCTTCTAGAACCAAGTCTAGAACTAGGATTTCAACTAAATCTAAGGCTAGCCAGGAGCTAAGTCAGAAACCAGGTTCAATCCTGGAAATGTTGACGATTCAGCCTGACCATGTCACAAGTCCAGTTTGCTTTTTTCTTTTTTTGGAAAATCTATTCTATTCCTATTGTTAGTCCGAAGTTGGAATGTTTTAAACTAATTCTAGAGTTGTTCCAATAGGCTTCTTGGACTTGTAAAGCAGGCCAGTCCAGGGCAAAGATCGATCGGAATCTAACAAGCTCAAAGATTTTTGTGAGCCAGTAAAGCCAAGTCAGACATGGTCAGATAAGTCAAAAGTCTGCGAAAACCGTTGCCGAAAAGCCTAAGCCCAAACCTAACAAGCCCAAATAGACTTAGTGCTGGGCGCTAGCCTCTAGCCTTCTCATTATGTCCAATCCTAAGCCTACGCCTGGCCCGGGGAAATACATCTTTGGAATCAAGATCTGTCAGATCCAGTAAAGCCAGAAGCTGACTTTGAACCGATTCTAATCATAGAAAGCGACTCCAACTTGTCTTTATAAACTTGAAATCATAAATCTAACGATTTCTTTCAGTAATCAAGACTCAAGGAGAACAATTTGAAAAGATGGGCGTTTTAGCAAGAGCTTGTGATGTGGTAAGTGAACTCTTCAAAAAGTTTTACCAAATTTAATGTTCAGGAAAAGAAAGGTGAGAGCTTCAAGATTGAGAATCTCGACATTTACATGCTGACTTACTCGATGCCGGCAGTGATCGCTGGGAATGTCGATATCAAATCATTATGGTAAAAGTGTTTTTTTCAAATAATCTTTCTTTAAACATTCCCCTTTCTCCCGTAATCTTTTCTCTATTTTTATTGAATCTTTCGTTTTTTTTCTCTAATTATATGAGAAAGGATATCGAAAATATAAAAAATAAATAAACTGGATAAAAATAGAGACAAGATTACGGTGAAAAGAGAAAGAGAACACAATTTTGAAGACTAAAGTAAGTTAATTCTAGATAATTCTTTAGGTTATGCATGGAGAATTCTCTGTTCATCGCCTACACATCCAAAGAAACAAATCCGAGTGAGGAAACGAAGAAAAAGGTCTACTAAACATTGAAAAGAATAAAATAAACACTTTAGAAAAGCATAGATTTAATGAATTCTTTTGATTTGATTTGATTTGATGAATGATGATGTAAAGATTTGATGAATTCACTTATTCAAAGGTTTAAATGTGACTGATTTCAGGTTATGGCCTTGTGGAAAAAAGAGAAATTACTGGCGATATCAAAACTGAAAGCTGAACCATCAAAAAATGAAAAACAAAAGGCTGAATCATCAAAAAATCTTGAAACAAGAAAAGCTGGGAATTTGCGAAAAAGTGGTACTTTTCCAGTGAGCGAACTAGATCAAGAACCGACTTCAGAAGAACATCACGAATTTTTACAGGTAATCGTTTTTGGCAAGATCATTTTGAGTAGATCTTGATCATTTCAAGAACATTTTGAGTAGATCTTGATCATTTCAAGAACATTTTGAGTAGATCTTGATCATTTCAAGAACATTTTGAGTAGATCTTGATCATTTCAAGAACATTTTGAGTAGATCTTGATCATTTCAAGAACATTTTGAGTAGATCTTGATCATTTCAAGAACATTTTGAGTAGATTTCGATCATTTCAAGATCGTTTTGAGTAGATTTCGATCATTTCAAGATCGTTTCCAGTAGATTTTGATCATTCCAAGCTCATTCCGAGTAGATTTTGATCACTTTAAGATCATTTCAAGATCATTTTGAGTGATAAATGCTCTAAAGCATCTCCTAGCTACCATAATTTCCCTTAGATCTCCATAGATACATCCAATCTTAAATACATCCAAATCGATCTCCACGATTTCTTATTGTAAATTGTGATGCATTAATTGATTATGGTAAATTGGGTTACGATAAATTGTGATTCGTTGGGTCACTTGTGGGTGTGAAAGCGCTTTAAATTGATCGCGAAAAGTTGAGAAATGAATTTAAAATGCAACTTTCAGAGAAGTAAAGTGAAGCTCGAGGAAGTCAAGTCCATTTTCTCGACTCGCTACTATTTTTGGGAGATTTACAATCAACATTTCGGTGGTAGCATTTCTTTTTTGGCTCGAAAACTTTTCAAAAGTGATATCATTTTGTCGGAATGGTTGTCATTTTCACACAAATTTTTTCAAATTAATCTTTAGGTTTGAATTGTTAGATGAACGAGTGAATATTCTTTCTGAATACCTTCTTAAAACGATTCCAAAAGCTTTAAAAGAGATAAATGTATCAATTGAAAGTGGGTTTTCAAAAGAATTCAAATTTTAACTTGACTTTCAAGACTTAATTGACTTAAATTGACTTGAAAATGCAAAGTTTAACAATTCTAGATTTACTGTTTAGGCATTAAAGCCGAAGCTCGTGCTTTTGAAGAGTCTAATGAATACATTCCGCATTGCGAACTGGTAAGTAGACATACAATTGCTAGAAAAGCATTCAGTTTTTGTTTGGCTATTGTAATTTCTCAAAAACTTTAGATAGAAATCGATGAATCTCTGAAAATCGAGTGCTCGAATGCGGTGAGTTTAGTGTTCAATGTTGCGCTTGAGATCTACACTCGGCCAGAAATCAACACAATTTGGTGAGGAATTCAGGGAAAGATCAGAAATTTCTCAAATTTAGACAAAATTTTGAAACTTTATTCTCAAATTTGCAGGATTTCGAGTGTAAACGATAAACTGTACGCTTTCACTGCAAAGAAAAAAGATTTGAGTGATGAAGAGAAAGAGAAAGTGAGATTGCTTTAAGTTTTTCAACACGATTTGGTGTTGATTTAGTTTTTGATTTAGTTTTGAAAAAGAGTTACCGTATTTTCTCTAATAGTAGTGCACCCTGAGCGTTGCCTAAATTGCTGGAAATCTCGAAAGGCGCTTATCAGAACCTATCGATGTGGGATCGGAAAATGTAGCTGACGATGAGATCTTGTGGGGGATTAGAGTGTTGAGCTTCTGTGAAAACTTTGAAAGCCCTAAAATAGTCATCAACTCGGCTCGGCGGGGTGCACTACTATTAGAGAAAATACGGTATCCACAAACTTATCGGAGGTGACTGGAATTTCCAAAAACGAAAGACCCTCTCCTTTGAATTAAAAGAGAAAGAAGAGAGAGTGTAAAATGAACTTTATTTAAAGCTTTAACTTTCCTTAAAACTTTGTTTAATATTTAATATATTGTAAGAATTTTTGAATTTAAAACACAACTTATTCATTTTTTTTTTACAGAAAACTGATGGTTCATTTCCATTCCCGAAAGGCAGCTATTTTTCATTCACCGATTTGGATGAATTCGATGAGGAAAAAGAGAAGATATCATCGAATGATTAGAAATTATTTGAAAATTATTAAAAAATAAAATTGGAAGTGCCTAAACGATAAGCCATTGATAAAGCCATTGATAAGATATTAAGATTTTTGAACAAATCGATCAAGAAGAGAAAAATATTCTGGTAACTGGATTGACTAGATGAGGTTTTGTGGGTGAGCTCCTCCGGGTAAAGCGTCGCGTAGAGCAGCCTGCAATGATGGTGGATAAAGCCTAATTTGAAGTTAACTGGCAGGATGGGCCAAGTAAGCTACAAAAAAAGTTGAAATTTTTTAGTAAAATGGAACTCACTACATTTTCATCGACCAATCTATAGACTAGATAGCCAATTTTAAAAACGATTCGCCGTTCTAGAGTCGGATAGTCAAATCGTTGTCCGTTCAGCTCCGCGAAGTCCATCTGAGAATGCAAACTTTATTACTTCAAACGAGCTTAATGTCAGAAATACTTATGATTTTAGTGAATAAGAAAATTAATGATTACAGGATTTTGAGTTTTTCAAGTATTTTTTGCTTTCATTACATTTACTTCTAGCTACACTGACCAAATATTTTTTTGTTGCATAGGCATTACCAATGCTTTACTATCTAAACTTTTAGACTACCAGCGGGAACGCCGCCTGAAATGTGTTTTTCGTGATCAGCGGGTAAAACGACTTTCTTAGAAAGTTTTTCTGGTCAAAAGAACCACATAAGAACAAGAAATAACTCTCGAAAGAGCAATTTTACCCGCTGATCACCAAAAACACGTTTTTAGCCTAGTTTTAACCGAAAAATTGACGAAATTTGATTTTGACATTTTGGTCTGACTGAGCTCATTTAAGTGCTTATAAAAGTTTTAAAACGGAACGAATCAACAAATGGTCTTTGCTACTGGGTTCTTATTAAATACAGCTTTCGAACAAGACCAAACTCGTTTAAACTCGTCCAAATTTCGTGCAAATGTCCTAACAAGATACTAAAAAAAATCCTTTTAGTTGCCATTTTATTTCATTCAAACTTTGACGGCTTGATATCACGATGGAAAACACGTCTTTCTTGAAGATATTTGAGAGCATCGAAAAGCTGTGATCCCCAATCAATCACCGTTGAAATCGAGTAGCATTTCTCGCTATTTTTGATAACTAAATTGATGATTTAAGAAATAAATCAACCTCACTGAGTTTAAATACAATTTTTGACGTCGCCCCTCTCGCAAAATTCGGTGACAATATTCAAGCGAGCTCCTTCACCCGAATGAAAAACATCAATGTATTCGACGACATTTGGATGTGAAAGCTCTTTCAAGATATTCACTTCACGCCGTAAACTTCTTGGATGATCCGCTGCGGAGAGACATTTCACAGCTACAGTTCTGAAAATCACCAACAATTAATACTGGGTGTGCAAGGATGATAACATATTGTGGCGATTATAACATATTGTAGCCACTAAAAAGTTATCTAATTCTGCCTAAAACCTACCTAAACGCCTAAAAAAATTGGAAAAGTATTGCGGAAATCCGCCTTCATTCTATTTCGCGCCCCAAATCATTTATTGTTTTGCAACTTGTTAGCTGAATATCTTTTGTTAAAACCTGTATAAGGCAACTGTTGTTCATTTGATTTTTCTTCTTTGTTTTTACTTTTCTCTGTTTTCCTTTCATCGTGTGAAAGTTGTTTCCTAATTAGGACGAAATTGTTTCCGTTTTTATCGTCGCCTTTAATTCAATTGTCGATTTTGTGTGAAAATTGCGCAAGTGAGAGCGCAAAACTCAAGAAAAGCCCAAAAATTCCCAGACAGTCGGCTATTGAATAAAGTGTCTTAGGTCATGTGAGATCAGATATCTCGAAACAAGAAATAACGTGTCTTGAGTGAAGAGTATCAAGCACGCAAAGAATATTTCTTTATAAATTGCGCGTCATTTAACCTCTCTAGCTAAGCGGTTTCTTTCCCATTCAAAAATGCTTTATTGCTTTTGATCATTTTGATATTTTGACACATTTTTGTACTTTTTCTTTTTTAGGATGCTTCTCCGTTCATCGTCAATCCATCATTGCTCTCTACAAGCAGGCTGTCTCGATGGACGACATTCACAAACGCCTAAAAAGTCATCGGAGTGTTGTTTATCGCACAATTCAACGATTTCGATTATTGGGAACATTCGAGGATTGTCCAGGACGTGGAGAACGACCAAAAGCTGCCTCAAAATTGGATATCAAATTTGTCAAGGATAGGATCAGAAAGAATGAATCCGTGAGGCAAAGCGCAAAAGGAATGGGCATATCGAAGAGTTCTGTTGGACGAATACTTGAAAACAAGCTTCAACTAACTGCCTACAAGAAAGACAAGACTCAATTTCTCTTGAAAGGACAAAGGAAAAATCAGATCAGCTTTTGATGCGATTCAATGGGATCGATCACCACAACATGAGAAAAGATGAGAAAATTTTTCTGTACAAGGAGAAGCAATCAGAATGAGCAGAATGCAGACAAGCTTAAACAAGCAGAATGATCGTATTTGGGCCAAAGCTCAACGAAATTTGATAGTGACTCGTAGTGGACACCTTGCATCGGTAATGGTGGTGTTTGTGCATCAGGAAAGGCGAAGAAGAGAAGAAGTGGCAATTGTTTGGACATTTTGAAAAACGAAATCACCCCATGGGCTAAGAAACACTTTGGAAAACGAATTTGAACCTTCCAAAAAGATGGTGCCCCCGCCCACAAGGCCAAGAAGGTTCAAGACTTTTACACTGCCACATTTCGCTTTTTCTGAATGGCCACCTAGTTCTCCGGATCTCAATCCCCTTGACTTTTCTGTTTAGTCATTGCTTGAAGCAAAAGCTTGCAAAAAATCCAGATAAAACGATCGATAGGTTGAAGAAATTCTTGCTTAAAGCATGATGGACATCCCCTACTTGGTCGCCACCGTGGACGCTTTTCCCAAACGTTTGTAGGCTCGTAGCAGCGCCAATGGTGACCGATTCGAATTCAATTGTTCATTTATAGTTGTTAAATATCAATGAAAGATAAAATTTTGCTTTTTTTCTTTATTGGTCGCTCTTGTCGCCAAAGTTTTGTCGCCATAATCCTGGGAGATTTTTCAGTACCACATACAATTTCCAATTTGAAAAACAGCTAAACTTATGATAAATTTGATCAGATTTATTCATGCGAACGATAAAAACTTGTACAGAAAACTACTTTGCACGACTTTATCAGAAAATTCTCATAAACAAACCTTCCATTAATTTGTTGCCTGAAAACTGTTCCAAAGCCTCCATGCCCGATCACGTCAAGAGACATAGGATGTATGCTCGCTAGAATTTGAAAGATTAATTCTGATTTTAGCCAAAAGTCAAGATCGATTGGTAGAAGAAAGAAACAAAAAGATGCTGAGGTGGGAAAAGTCAGAAGAAGTCTTATCTCTTCGGGAAATGGCAGCGACGAGTCTACAAATGCTCACAAATTTACCCTTTCTCCCAATCATAAATCTTTTCCCCAATCATAAAATCTGTTCATCGCAATTCGTCGTTCAATTCCATTCTGAAATTTTGATAATCATGGACAAAAAGTGATATCACAATTGATTCTACAGTCAATTGCGATATCACTGTTTGTTCCTCCAAAATTATAGCAACTCCAGTCAATTAAAATGCCTTTGATTTACTTTCATAAAGCTTTATCAGCTTTTTTTCTGGTTTTTTTTCTCGTTATTTGATTGTATTTTATATTATTACTCAAAAACGTTGCTAATTTTAGGAATGGTTAAGAAATCTCTTCATCGCGATTCGATCATAGTCTTGCACAAAAGTAGTACATTAGCGACCGAACTGAAGACGAAGACTGAAGACGGCTGAAGATCAAGACTGTTTATCAATTTCAAAAGATCAATTAATAATAATAATAATAATAATACTTTATTCAAACGATAAAGTGAAAGAAATTCATTGAAGAAATTGTTGATGAAAGCCTGGGATGAGTTGGATACAGCCTACCTGATCGCCACGGTCAATACGTTTCCGAAACAATTCAAGGCCTGCATTAACGCTCAAGGCTCCCCACGTTGAGGTTCTTTGTCGAAAAATAAATGAAAATTATTATTTTATCAATGGTTTAATTATTTTTTTGAGATGGCAGTTGGCTGATTCTAGTAAATACCATTGTTTTGCCCAATAAACAATCAAAAAAAATTGCTTTCAGTTGTAAAAAATAGCTTAAAGATTTAATATTTTGACCAATTTTTAGTATTTGTCCGATTTCGCCTTGTTGGTTTACTTGGTTCTTTTGGATCTTTTGGATCTTTTGGATCTTTTGGCTCTTTTGCTACCGTAAGCTACCGTAAGCTTTCTTTCAGCTTTTCTGAATGATTTAATTTTAATCCCATTCGATGCTGTGAATTGAATGGGATCAAAATTAAGTCGACCTCAACTTGTTATCGTAAAAATGCTTTTGTCAAATAGTGTTTCTTAAAGCGTCCCTTTTTTATCGTAATCTTTTTTCCATTTTTTATCGAATCTATTCCCTTTTTTGTATCTTTCGATATTCTTTGTGAATCCTCACAGAATTGGATAAAAAGTTGGCTAAAAATAGAGGCAAGATTACGATCGAAAGAGAAATGGGGACATGGTTTAGAAAAATGGATTCGAGAAGATTATGATAGCTTTAAGAATTTGATTTTTTTAGAAAATAATCTGAAAAAGCTACTATAATTTATAGATAGATTATAGATAGATTTACTTATTTAAATAGCTTTTTCACTAGTCATTGATGAGCATCGAGTTTCAGAGTGAATTTCAAATGCTCAACCGATGGAAATCCCTGTTTGCACAATGGATTCATCACTTTAATCACTAAAAATCGAATGCATAAAGGTTTGATTTTATTATTATTATTGAATTCAGAAGAACTGTGAACAAAAAGTATGAAAAAATTGAAGAGTTTCTTCAAATCAAATCAACGATGCGTGAATGGTTTTTCCCTGGAAATCGTGTGCTTTGTAGAGGAGAGAAATCTGAAAATTGGATGTATTAAAGTAATCAAAAATAATTTTTTAATAAAAGTTTCTCAAAATTGCATCTAAATTCGCAAAAATTCTGCAAAAATTCAAGAAATTCTGACCCTCTGCGCTCCTTCCAAAGTTTGAAACGAAATTATCGCTTCGCTTGTCCCATTTGGAAGTCGCTTCAAATTAATCCTGTAATTGGTGATTTGCTTTAAATTTATGTAAACAATTGCTTTTAGATTTTCAACTATCAAAAATCAACTTTGGTCTTAAATCTTGATCATGAGCGATTTTGCAAATTTGATGAAACATCTCGACAAGATCATTTTCGGTCACCGATGCAGGCAGATTTTTGATTAAAACTCGATTTTCCTAAAATGCACGACCAATTACATAGTTCGTAATAAACGGTACATGATAATTAGCAAATTAGAAAATGTACTTCGAGCTCCACGAAAGTCAAACTCTTTTCCAGCTCATTTCACGAATTTGCCGTTTTGGATGTTTTCAAGACGTCAACAATTGATTTTTTTTCAAGATTTTGCGTTAAAAACACATTCATTATGCTAATCTTTAATTTAATGATCAATTTTTAGCGATTAAATTCAAATTTCCGATGCCTATCCAGGCAAAATTGCGTCGACCGGAGTCGGTTGTACTGAATAAACTACTCAACGTGTAAAGAGGATTGCTCGTAGTTACTCGGCGTGTAAAGAGGATTGCTCGTAGTTACACGGCGTGTAAAGAGGATTACTCGTAGTTACTCGGCGTGTAAAGAGGATTACTCGTAGCGCACGCACACACAAGGTTGGTGAAAAGGCTTATTAGCGATTAGCGAAAATCATTGCAAAAATTGACGCGAAAAAATCACGAGCGCTGACTTATACACGATTTCTTTTAAAGCTATTCAATTGTTTAACTTATTTGGTGGCGAATTCCCCTCAAATGTAAAGTAAAGATATTCAATTTACTCAACGTGTAAAGAGGATTACTCGTAGTTACTCGGCCAAAAAAACGTCGATTAATCAAGTAAAAATTACTCAGGCAATTTTACTGAAGTAATTACTTACTCGCGAGGAACACACTCTATAAACTATTATACAACTAAAAGAGCATTGTTTGTCCGTCCGTTTTTCTTTACGGGCTTTTTCTCAGCCAGCTTTGAGCGAAAAAAAACTGAAATTTTTTATTCTGCTGCTGTTACCTGCATAAAAGGACTCATTTGCCTAAGCCTAAGCCTTAGGCTTAGGCTGCTAGGCTTAGGCTTAGGCTGCTAGGCTTAGGCTTAGGCTCAGGCTCAGGCTCAGGCTTAGGCTTAGGCCTAGACTTAGACTCTGAATTGTATAAACAAATAGATGAACCCCCATTTTATCAAGAATAATCAGCTGTAGTCATAATCATAAATTTAGATTTTTGAGAGGTAGTTAGACAGGGGTACTACTAGAGGGATAGAGTCCAATTAAAGCATTTACGGTACATTTTTTCTTTTTCTCGCCGCTCACTTAACCGATTTGGCTACACTTTGTTTCATTCGATAGCCCTGATTAATATCTATCGAATGAAGGCAAGTGTAGCCAAATTGGTAAGCCAAAGAACCAATAATCTAATCTAGGATTGAAACCTTGACCTCTTGACTCAGATATAGGGCTCTTAGCCAGCTATGGTGGCCAAGAACCTAAACCGATTATCAAAATTTCAGAATAGAATTCGTGAAGCCGGCTTCTCTCGGTCAAGCACTTCTCACATTTAATCAACTTGATTTTGCTTTAAAAGTTTAAAAGTTTTCAATAATATTTCTCAATTTCTTTAGTTTATCACACTTTACAACCAGAAAAGTTACGGGGATACTGATTTTTTGATGAAAATCGAACTTTTCAAGGAAACATCTTCAAGGAATTTATCGGTTCCAACAAAAGGTGTAATTATTTGAAAACAAACAATACAGAAATTCAGATGAGCACAGTGATTCGGAGATTTCAAGAAGTTCTTCGCCTTCTCAGCCAAATCGGAATCTTGTGAGTGAAAAGTTTAGGAAAATCGAGCCTTTCAAAGAATTGACTGAAAAAAAAGCCAATAACATGAAAAGTTCTGCATAGAATCATAAAACGACTGTTTCTTTATCTTCAAATAGTTCCAGGAAATTGACAAGACGAAGATTTTCATAAAAAATCTTCCCTCACAAGCCACAAATCAGAATGTGATCAAATGGATCTTCAAAGACAATCCGAATTTGGTATTGGGAAGGTGAAGTTAACTCTGTTACGTCTAAATTTTTACGAAATTCAGTTTATCTCTGAAATTGGATCCTTTTGGAATGCAGACTTGTATCGCAAAGTTCCGGAATGAAAAAGAAGTGGACAAGGTTTGAATTTGAAAGCTCAACAATTTTTTGAGCTTACAAAAAGCTCAACAAAATGATTTTAGATAATCTCGGAGTTCAATAATAAGGTTTATCCGGGTACGGAAACAATTCTTCATGTTCGACATTTCAAAACAAATCAAACAAACAAAGGAAGATCGAAATCGAGAGGTGATGGAAAATATACTGAAATCTCAAACACAAGTGGTAGCCATGAGTATCAAAATGAATTTGTTCTATATTACGAATTACTAGTGTGCTTTCCCTTGTTATTCAGTCTGGATTGGTAGGATTACGGTATTTAGTCCGGAATCGGTGCTGAGTCTAGATTGGCTATATTACGGTATTTAGTCTAGAATGGGTATTCAGTCTAGATTAGCTGGGACTGGCACTAGACGATCTAGCCACTAGACGTGGCTAGATCTTTGCCTTATGATGATTAACAAAATAATGATTAACAAATCAAGTTGATTCAATAAACGCGTGTGAAAATGTTTCAATGAAGCTCGAAGAAACAATGTGACCCGGAGAAAAAAAGGAATCACTTTGATGAAACTTGTGGAAGTATCTCGAACAAAATAAAACAACTTTCACAAGACCAAATGAGAGGAAATTCCGACTAAATGGGGGGAGATGGCGTTCTCTGTACGCAGAAGGGGCATCCTTTTATACCCAGAGGGCGTCCTCTATACGCAGAGGGCGTCCTTTTATACGCAGAAGGGGCATCCTTTTATACGCAGAAGGGGCATCCTTTTATACGCAAAGGGCGTCCTTTTACACCCAGAAGGGGCACCTTTTTATACGCAGAAGGGGCATCCTTTTATACGCAGAAGGGGCATCCTTTTATACGCAGAAGTGGCATCCTTTTATACGCAGAGAGCGTTCTTTTATACGCAGAAGTGGCATCCTTTTATACGCAGAAGGGGCATCCTTTTACACCCAGAAGGGGCATCCTTTTATACACAGAAGGGGCATCCCTTTATACGCAGAAGGGGCATCCTTTTATACGCTGGAGGGGCTCCCTTTTATACGCATGTGAACGCGAGATTGTTTAGAGTACGGTATTTCTGGTGTCTTATTAGAATGCGGCACCTTTTTGCTGAGTCGTCGTCACAATTAGCCCAATATACTAGCTGGTTTTTAAAAGTTTTCTTTTAGATCCCCAACCGCGGAAAGCTGTTGGTGGACGATTCAGTGGTAGACCGTCTTTGTCTCCAACTCGCTCAGCACAATCCTCAAACTTTTCGAATCTGGGTAATTGAAAATTGAATCTATCTGAAAAGGAACCCCAAGCATATTTAGCTCAAAGACCTCAAGATCAGTTCAATCCATTCAATTTTCCAATGCCTTCAATGCATCCAATGCTCCCCCAATTCCCTGGCTTTCAAATCCTTCCACCTCCTTATCAACCTCAAATTTTTTCAAATATTTATCAAAATAATCAGGTGAGATCTATTAAAGATAAATCTAAAATAAAGAAAATAACTAGATCACTTCTTCAACGATTTTTATCTCAAATCTCCCATTGAGCACATCTCGCGCGGATCTGATCGAGTATTTTCACAACAAGACTCTTGAAGGAGAGTCGATTCAAGTGGCTGATGGGGATGGGTTTGTTAATTTGATCATTTAAATAAAGTTTCTAATAGCTAAGTCGATTTATTGAATGGTAAAAGGAAAATAAACGAATCCTGGAAAGGAATGTATCCGAATTTTTCTTTAGAATCAAATTTCTCCCATCGCTTCAACCAAATCCCATCCACAAAACCTGCTTGATCACTTTCAAAACGTCAAGAGCAGCTCAATTGGTTAAATACAAATGATTTTAAAAAAGTATTGATCATTTTAGGCTCAACGTTATTTCTTTGGAAAGCCTTTTCAACATCCTGGTTGTTTTTTGAACATCGAGTTACGGTATTTTGATTGTAAAACTGGAATTACCAAAAAATTTAGTGACCTTCAACCGAAAACGAGTCCTTTTATGCAGGTAACAGCAGTAGAATAAAAAAATTTGGCTCAAAGATGGCTGAGAAAAAGCCCGTAAAGAAAAACGGACGGACAAACACTGCTCTTTTAGTTGTATAATAGTTTATAGAGTGTGTTCCTCGCGAGTAAGTAATTACTTCAGTAAAATTGCCTGAGTAATTTTTACTTGATTAATCGACCTTTTTTTGGCCGAGTAACTACGAGTAATCCTCTTTACACGTTGAGTAAATTGAATATCTTTACATTTGAGGGGGATTCGCCACCAAATCAGTTAAACAATTGAATATCTTTAAAAGAAATCGTATATAAGTCAGCGCTCGTGATTTTTTCGCGTCAATTTTTGCAATAATTTTCCCTAATCGCTAATAAGCCTTTTCACCAACATTGTGTGTGCGTGCGTTACGAGTAATCCTCTTTACACGCCTATTAACTACGAGTAATCCTCTTTACACGTTGAGTAACTACGAGTAATCCTCTTTAAACGCCGAGTAGCTACGAGTAATCCTCTTTAAACGCCGAGTAGCTACGAGTAATCCTCTTTAAACGCCGAGTAGCTACGAGTAATCCTCTTTAAACGCCGAGTAGCTACGAGTAATCCTCTTTAAACGCCGAGTAGCTACGAGTAATCCTCTTTACACGACGAGTAACTACGAGTAATCCTCTTTACACGCCGAGTAGCTACAAGTAATCCTCTTTACACGTTGAGTAACTACGAGTAATCCTCTTTACACGTTGAGTAACTACGAGTAATCCTCTTTAAACGCCGAGTAGCTACGAGTAATCCTCTTTAAACGCCGAGTAGCTACGAGTAATCCTCTTTAAACGCCGAGTAGCTACGAGTAATCCTCTTTAAACGCCGAGTAGCTACGAGTAATCCTCTTTAAACGCCGAGTAGCTACGAGTAATCCTCTTTACACGACGAGTAACTACGAGTAATCCTCTTTACACGCCGAGTAGCTACAAGTAATCCTCTTTACACGTTGAGTAACTACGAGTAATCCTCTTTACACGTTGAGTAACTACGAGTAATCCTCTTTAAACGCCGAGTAGCTACGAGTAATCCTCTTTAAACGCCGAGTAGCTACGAGTAATCCTCTTTAAACGCCGAGTAGCTACGAGTAATCCTCTTTAAACGCCGAGTAGCTACGAGTAATCCTCTTTAAACGCCGAGTAGCTACGAGTAATCCTCTTTACACGACGAGTAACTACGAGTAATCCTCTTTACACGCCGAGTAGCTACAAGTAATCCTCTTTACACGTTGAGTAACTACGAGTAATCCTCTTTACACGTTGAGTAACTACGAGTAATCCTCTTTACACGTTGAGTAACTACGAGTAATCCTCTTTACACGCCGAGTAACTACGAGTAATCCTCTTTTCACGTCGAGTAACTACGAGTAATCCTCCTTACACGTTGAGTAAATTGAATATCTTTACATTGCGTGCGTGCGGTGTGTGTGCGTTTTAAAACTCGCGAGGAGCACACTCTAATAGTTTATTCAGTACAACCGACTCCGGTCGAGGCAATTTTGCTTGGACAGGCATCGGAAATTAGCATTTAATCGCTAAAAATTGATCATTAAATTAAAGATTAGCATAATGAATGTGTTTTTAATGCAAAATCTTTGAAAAAGATCAATTGTTGACTTCTTGAAAACATCCAAAACGGCAAATTGAGCTGGAAAAGCGTGAAATCAGCTGGAAAAGGGTTTGACTTTCGTAGAGCTCGAAGTACATTTTCTAATTGGTTAATTATCATGTACCGTTTATTACAAACTATGCAATTGGTCATGCATTTTAGGAAAATCGAGTTTTAATCAAAAACCTGCCTGGATCGGTGACCGAAAATGATCTTGTCGAGATGTTCCATCAAATTTGCAAAATCGCTCATGATCAAGATTTACGGCCAAGGTTGATTTTTGATAGTTGAAAGTCTAAAAGCAATTGTTTACATAAATTTAAAGCAAATCTGAAGCAATTCTCTGAAATATTACAGGATTAATTTGAAGCGACTTCCAAATGGGACAAGTGAAGCGATAATTTCGTTTCAAACTTTGGAAGGAGCGCAGAGGGTCAGAATTTTTTGAATTTTTTGAATTTTTGCGAATTTAGATGTAATTTTGAACTAATTCTATGAAAGAATGCTTTTTGATTACTTTAATACATCCAATTTTCAGATTTCTCTCCTTTACAAAGCACACGATTTCCAGGGACAAACCATTCACGCATCGTTGATTTGATTTGAAGAAACTCTTCAAGTTTCAATGAAACTCTTCAATTTTTTCATACTTTTTGTTTACAGTTCTTCTGAATTCAATAATGAGCAATTTTCACACAAAATCGAGAATTGAATTAAAAGCGACAATAAAAACGGAAACAATTTCGTCCTAATCAGGAAACAACTTTCACACGATGAAAGGAAAGCAGAAAAAAGTAAAAACAAAGAAGAAAAATCAAATGAACAACGGTTAGCTTATACAGGCTTTAACAAAAGATATTCAGCTAACAAGTTGCAAAACAATAAATGATTTAGGCAGCGAAATAGAATGAAGGCGGATTTCCGCAATAGTTTTCCAATTTTTTAGGCTTTTAGAGTCAGTTTTTAGGCTGTTAGATAACTTTTTAGTGGCTACAATATGTTATAATCGCTACAATATGTTATAGTCCTTTGTTGTTGGTGATAATTGTTGATGATTTTAAGAACTGTAGCTGTGAAATGTCTCTCCGCAGTGGTTCATCCAAGAAGTTTACGGCGTGAAGTGAATATCTTGAAAGAACTTTCACATCCAAATGTCGTCGAATACATTGATGTTTTTCATTCGGATCAAGGAGCATTCGTAAATATTGTCACCGAATTTTGCGAGAGGGGTGACGTCAAAAATTGTATTTAAACCCAGTGAGGTTGATTAAATGGAAGTACAAAAAGAAACGAAAAAAAAACTTTGTGGATAGCCCGTGGACAGGACAGTACAACTTTGTCCCTTGTGGACAGCCCGTGGACAGGACAGGACAACTGGGTC